GCTCCGTTTGTTTGCTTGCTTCCTTCAAGTGGCAACTGTCCTGGGCTTGTACGCTCGTCAGAAGACACTCTCAGTGAGCCGCTCGTGTGAACCCTCTCTCCGGTGGTGGGAACTGCGCTGCCCAGTAGCGGGGGGGCGGGAACGAGAGCTCCCCCGCCCCCCCCCCCCCCCCGCTGTGCTTCTGGTGGGCTTGCCTGCGCCGCCGGGAACACGTGCCAAGAATAGGATCACTTGCCAGGCGCGTGAATGATTGCCACCGGTGGCAAAGCATTCCCGGTGAATAAATCTGCTTGGATAAATGTGCAGGAGCAATAACTTCCTTTTAGGAGTTAACGTGGTGTGGTCTTTTTCCTCCCTTGATATTTGACCGCCCCCCCCCCGCTCGACCTCCTCCCCCATCAACTCTCAGCGCTAAAGCAACTCACCGGGCGTGCGATACGCAGACCATCTCTATGTTAACTATAACTTAACTATGTTTTTTATTTATTTACATGGTAAGGCCCCACTTAGCTACATAGCTATGTTTCAAAAGCGACCTGGCCACATGGCATAACTCAACGAAGTGGCCTTATCATCACGTGGAAATGTATAGCAGCCAAATGCTCTAAAGCGCACGTTTATTGCATGCCTCCTGTCAGGCCAACCTCGATGCCAATGCGTGAGGTGTCACTTGAAAGCGCGCGCGCGGTTTTCGTAAGTCAACTGCGTTACCGTGCCGTTTGACGTTGACGCCTGACAGCTGTTGCCGTTGTGCGCGCCGTGCGACAAAATATGCGAGTTCTCGCGCCACGCTCGAATTCGCCGGCCCAGCAACGGGCTCGGACAACGTGCCACGCGGCGTACGAGCGGACACGTGAATCCCCGGGAACCTGCAGGGATGTTGAATAATAGGGGGGGACATGTTAAAGGGTGTGCCGCCTTCAAATTGCTTGATGACGCCACTGCTGGTAGAAGGTCCCCCCCCCCCCCACACCGCTAACTAGAGGGTGCTCAAAAGTGTATTTGGCCTACTCTTCCATGCCGGCCATGTGTCTTGCAAGAGGCTGTGATAACCTTTTGCTGATGTTGTTGTTTGTCATTTTTGTTTTGGTGCCACTTCTTCATTTGTTTATTCATTTTTTTATTTTGCTGGGTAGTCGTAAAGTTTTCGTTCGCTTGGTATCTACGTGTGTTTCTGTGTTGGGCTTCTTTCGCGCCGTGTGTAGCAAACCATGTGTATGGGAGTTGGTCCTCATATATAACCAATGCGCAGCGTTGTGGGATGCTGTTGGCATGAACGGCGTGGAATAAAATGAAAGTATCATTATTATTAGAGGTCTAAGCACCCACACTTCACCCCATGACACTTGACATGCCAATTAACTAACGAACGACGGTGCAGCTCTTTAAACTGCCTGGTGGAGAGATTGCCAGATATATAAAAGAAAAAAATACGTGCCACATTGCTTAAACATGAACAGAGAAGAAAACTGGGATTATATCCACTCTACCCCCCCCCACCGCCCCAGACACACACACACATAAAAGTTTTTTTGGCCAATCTGTCTCTATGCAGATGGGAGAGGCCACGTTGGCTTGCGCATTAAGCGTGCGTTGCGTTACGGAAAATCTTACTGAACGGGTGCTCGAAGGAATGTAAACCTCACACTGATGGGCAGGCGGGCGTGTGGGGCAAGAGCATTGATCCCACGAAACATTACATCACCCTGAAGGCGCCCATAATTTACTTGGACCCTCGGTAGCTAGGGACGGTTGTTTGTGCGGGTGACTGCCGATGTTCGGCGATGGACTCGGTCCACTTCCGTAGGCTCACAGCTTTTTTTGTTGACCCGCTCGCACTGATGAGGGATCCCCGTACTTAACCGCGCTGGTCGACGCAGGTTACCTGTATAAAAGACACCTGGGAGCCAGAGATCTTTCTGATTGAGAGGGGCTCAAATACTTATTTCCCTCATTAAAATGCAAATCCATTTATAACATTTTTGACATGCGTTTTTCTGGATTTTTGTTGTTGTTATTCTGTCTCTCACTGTTCAAATAAACCTACCATTTTAATTATAGACTGATCATTTCTTCGTCAGTGGGCAAACGTACAAAATCAGCAGGGGATCAAATACTTTTTGCCCTCACTGTAGCTGTGAGGGACTACAGTAGTGCGTGACGGATTTTCCTGCACCGCCCTGTGCTACTAAACATGTGGCCTATAGCACCTGTTATGCATGTCGGCCATGAAAGCACTGTCCAGTTTGAACCAACCGTTCCGCTTCTGAGATTTAGCTGTTTTAATGAATATTATTATTGAAGTCCACGTTAAGATTGAATATCTTTGGTTTGCCTGTGGTGTTAAATCTGTCTGTGCGGTATGCATGCCAGGGGTTTACCCCTGGTACTCCATTCGCTCACCAATTCGAATTGGCCAAGCAACCCCGATGCAGTACTTTTGCGCAAAAAAAAGTATTGAAACTCTGCGAGGCTTTTCGGAGTAAATAAATTGCATTATTTAACGACTGCTGTTCACCTGTTAGCATATCACTTGCAGCGCATCGTTAGCATCATTGTACCCCGGTGACGAGATGTTAACTACCTCGCCCGGTATACATGAGGTCGTGGGTTCAATCCAGACCGTGACGCCTATATATTTGGAGTTTGAATGTCTCTCTCCCGGTGGACGCGTGGACTTTTCTCCAGGGCTTCCGATTTTTCCCTCCGCATTTAGAATCAACGTCACGCGTTTAGAGTATTTGGCTGCTATAAATTGCCACGTGACAAGCCACTTCGTTGTGAACTATCATTTGTGGCCAGGTGGCTTCTAAAAGAGAGCAATACAGATTTAAAGCTTTCGTGACTGCAAGGATTTATCTTCTTTGGTTCTTTCAGTAAAGTCACGTAGAATGAGAATAAAATAATAAAATAACACAATAAAATTCTCACGACGTTTCGGCCACAACGCAAGCGGCCGAAACGTCGTGAGAATTTTATTGTGTTATTTTATTATTTTATTCTCGTTCTACGTGACTTTACCGAAAGAACCAAAGAAGAGCAATACAGCTCAATGGGCCTTACCCGGTAAAAAAAACAAGTTTAGTTTTATACAATCGCATAGTGATTTTCACGAATTATTATTAATCGGTTCTCACTCGATGCACGACTTGTGCATCGCGAGCACAATAATCGATTTCAATGGACAGATCACTGTGGTGGTGGTGGTGGTGGTGCCTAGTACGACGTGGTGGTGGGGGGGGGGGGGAACGTGCGTATCACGGAGGGACCAGAATGACAAGGATTTATTTGAGTTCATTTAACGTATTCAACAAACTATTCGAAGCACTTTGAAGTGCAAGCAGTAACTTTGCACGTGCGTGCCACGTGGGATCTCGCAATGCGATGGTTGGTTTTCCAGCAAGTGTGTGCGTGTGTGTGTGCACGTGGTGCTCGCTCACAGCAATTGCCCGAACCGTCTGTTAAGGTCACATGGGGGATTTTTGTTTCGTGCGTGGGAACTGTGGATAAAATACGTACAGATGTAAAACTCAAAAGCGGGCGTTCCACCCCGTTTTGTTCATTTCAGCAGTAGTACATTTTAAACAGAGTGTGTACACTCCGTGTGATTTCTCAGCTCTCGCGCTGAATGTCATAACGTGGTGGGAACGTGGCATAAGAGCAAACAGCATTTTGTATTTGTTTGTGTTGGAGACACAAATGCTTCTGTTCTATTTATCGTGGCACCTGAAATGCTGCCATCTGAGATCGCGCGAATATTTTTTTCCCAGTTTTATTCCATTTGCGCTTTTGCCGTTGTTGCCTGAGACATCGTGTCCCATTTGAAACTCTCGCTGAGCGACACACCACCCTGTACGTCTCGCACCACGGACCACATGATAACGCCAACTACAGCAGCCTGCTTCGATAAGTCACCGGCAACCAGGCCGTCCACTGGCTCACTCACTCGCCTCGACATGAATGTATCAACGCCACTCACAGCGAAAGAAGAACCCTGAGTGTTAGGGAATGGTCATCCGAAGCAGAGGCCACCACATTTGAGATCTCTTCATGAGAGATTTGCTATCCATCTTCCCGCACTCCCGACTATAGAGCAAATTGTCACATGGCAGTCAAGACCATTAATATTTTGTTTAATCTCAGAGCTGAATTTAACGTGATGGTTTTTGTTTTTATATAAAGTCATTGGTTAGTGGGCTAAGATTATCAACTCACTACACTTCAAAACCCAGTTTATTTATGGATGGCCGAAGGCTGGAATTGGTCCTAAGCTCTCAGTGGCAGCTGCTTTAGGACTGGTCCCAGAGGCACCAGTATACCTCATGTTAAACATTTATATAATATGCTGGTGTTATCTTTTTTGTTGTCATAGTTTAGCCCTGAACTGTGAGACTATTGGAATCACGTGGTTTTTTTTATTATTGGAATTGTTACAAGGTAATTTGAGAATGCGGGGAAACTCAACAATGTATCCGCGACAAGTGTCTGACTCGCATTTGTGTGTGGCAGGTAAAACAAAGAAAAACATCTGTGCACTGCCATTTTTCAAATCCAATTTAGTATCATTTTAATAAAACAGACATTTGTTTTCCAGAGGTTGCTGGTTTGGTCTCCCAGCACAGCAGTAATAGTGCAACGTTGTTAAACCCCCCCCCCCAACCTATATTCACTGAGCAGTAAAAATATGTGCACCCCAGTTTGTCTATTGGCAGATTGCATATGTTGGGTAAAGTGCGGGTAGTCCCACCAATTCCAAGACGTATGACCAGTATGGAAGGCCAAGTACTTTCGAGAGGATCTCTCTTTGAGCTCCCGCTGGTGGAAGCCCTATTTCCAGCAGCGCTGTGAGCAAGCAGTTTCAGACCTGCACTTTTCCCCATCATTTTCGAGATTTCGAAAATCTTGAAAAGTGGCTCGGCTAGAGGGCACCTCGAACTTTTTTTGTGGGCTGAACGCAAGAGCGGCATTCATAGTAATTTCCGATGTCATTTCATTTGCAGGCTCAGTACGATTCTTCTTCGTTGCGACACATCCGATAAGAAGAACCGCACGAGACTCCAGTGCAAGTCCTCGCCAGGCTTACCGTCACCACCGCACCTCCTCACCCCCCCCGCCCCCCATCCCTCCGCCGTCGAGCGACCCGCTCGGCCGGCGCCATGGCCCTCCTTCCAAAGACTCCATCGCCGCTGCCCGCCATCGTTTTGCTGGCACTCGTAGCCAGCGCGTGGGCAGCCAGCCTGACGGTGGAGACGCACCGGCACGAGCCGGGCGGCCTCGGCGCCGCCCCACACGACTTGCCGTACCGCAACCTGACCATGGGCGGCGGCTCGGACGACCAGCAGCAGCAGCCCATCGTCTTCCACCACGTCTACAACATCAATGTCCCGCCGGGATCGCTGTGCGCCGTCGACCTGGACGCGGGCCCCCCCGACGGCGCCGGCTCCGACTCCCGGCCCGTGGTCGGCAGCGGCAGCGGCGACGGCGACATCGGCGGCGGCGGCGAGTCAGACCTGGGCACCGTCACGCAGAAGACGCACGAGACGGGCAGCCAGGTGGTGTTCACGCACCGCATCAGCATCCCGAAGCGGGCGTGCGGGTGCAGCACGGAGGGGCTCCCCGACCTGCGGGAGCTCGTGCGGCGCGTGGAGCTCATGGAGCAGGAGATCTCGTCGCTGCGCCAGCAGTGCTCCTCTGCCGCCTGCTGCGGAGCAGCGCCCGGAGCCGTAGGTCCGTCCGTCGCGTCCATCCGACATGCGTTGTCCGATTCCAATGGGGCAGGTCAACAATGCCGTTAAAAGCTCGCGGTGGCGAGATGGTTTACACGAGGTCGCGGGTTCGATCTGGACCCTCACGCCTGTATGCATGGAGTTTGCATGTCTCGCTCCCTGTGGTCGCATGCATTTTTTCCTCCGGGTCCTCTGGTTTTTCTCCTACGCGTTTTCGAACCGATATGCCTGTGGAGTATTTGGCTGCAATACATTTTCCACATGCGAAAAGGCCGCTTCATTGGGCTATCATTTGTGGCCAGGTCGCTTATGAAAAAGATCAACATAGCTCAGTGGGCCTTACCTGGTAAAATAAAAAAATAGTTGCGTTTATATTTAAAAAGTAAAATTAGATGACCTCCCCCCACCACCGCTACCCAATTCCGTGGACTGCCCTGGGATTCGTTGGCACCTCCTGGATGAATTTTGATTTAAAGCTTTCGTGACTGCAGGGATTCATATTCTTGGTTCTTTCGGTAAAGTCACGTAGAAGGGAAACAATAAAATAATAAAAATATAAAACAATAACATTCTCACGATGTTTCGACTGCAACACAAGCAATCATCATCAGGTGTGAAAACCACAATACATTTTCTTGTGGCTTTACCGAAAGTACCAAGAATATGAACCTCCTGGATGCTTTGTCACCATGTGCCTGGCATCATCGCCCCACCCCCATCCTATTTCACCTTCACGAAAAAGTTATGAAAGTAACCGGATAAATGTTCGCCAAACACATTAGTGTAAATTTGAAACATCTGCACGAAACCTTTTACCAAATGTTTGTGATTTCAGTTACTCATGAAAGGGATAATTGGGTGACATTTTGCCTTTCTCCTGCAAATATATATCACAAGTTCCATGCCCCTTTTCCACAGTGAGCAGCAGAAGGTCATTTTACCAAAACATTCGCCAACTGCCGTATATTTTTTAAACGGTTATAAAACAGCGTCCATTGCAACAGCGACGAGTTGCATAGTGTGCTTCGACACCGACCCCTACGCAGTCTCCGACTCTCCGTTCACCTAACCCAACATCCACCGGCGGCGCCCACCTCTCTCGCAGGCGGCACAGACATCGCGTCGCCCTGCAATGGGCACGGCACCTTCAGCACCGAGTCGTGCGGCTGCGTCTGCGACAAGGGCTGGACGGGCAAGGCCTGCTCGCAGCCGGCGTGCCCCAGCGACTGCGGCGGGCGCGGCACCTGCGTGGACGGCGTCTGCGACTGCGAGGAGGGCTTCAGCGGTCCCGACTGCGGGCAGGCCGCCTGCCTCAACGACTGCAGCAACCGCGGCGTGTGCGTCAGCGGCGGCTGCGTCTGCGAGCGGGGCTTCGCGGGCACCGACTGCTCCCAGCCGGGCTGCCCCAACGACTGCAACGGCAGGGGCCGCTGCGTCGACGGCAAGTGCCTGTGCGCCCGGGGCTTTTCGGGAGAGGACTGCCGGGAGTCGCGGTGCCCCAACAACTGCAACGGCCGCGGCCGCTGCGTCAACGGGCGGTGCGTCTGCCAGAGGGGCTACGGCGGCAGTGACTGCGGCGAGGGGGGAGCGTGCGTCAACGATTGCAGCGACCGCGGGAAGTGCGTCGGCGGGAGGTGCGTGTGCGAGCCGGGGTTCACCGGCCCCGAGTGTAGCGTGCTCAGCTGCCCCAACGACTGCAACGGGCATGGCGACTGCGTCAACGGCGTCTGCATCTGCGACAAAGGCTTCGTCGGGGAAGACTGCGGCACGCGTGAGCTCCGCGAGACTGCCCGCCCCCCCCCCCCCCCCCCCACCCTGCTTTTGTGTTTGTGCATCGAAGATAGCGTTTGCCGTGCCGTTGAGATGGGGTCCCCCCCCCCCCCCCAACCACTGTTTTGGGTGTCATGATGCACGTCGTCATTCGTGCTGTAGAGATTAAGTTGAGAAATATTCGATGTGCCACGTGGTACCTCTGCGCTAGCAATGAGTTGTAACTGCTGAGATCCTGGGTTTGACATGGGTCTCATCCAGCCGTGCTTAAATCAGGTTCCCAAGTGTAGCGAGTTGTTATTTTTAATAAAAATGTCAGTTTTATTAAAAATGTCAGATGAAAGTGGTCACTTGAGGGAATCTCAGAAATAGTTCTATAACATCTCCTTCTATGGGCCATTCTCCATCACGTGACAATGCAGTGCTTAGCTAGAGTTCCAAATGGATTCTTTGTCTTTTAGAATGTAAGCCTTTTATGTCATTCAGTTATGGTGGTAACGCATTGTCAGCATTGCTTCTCGATTCTCACAACTGTTGTGGTTTCCTGTAAATACTGTGATATGAGTAAAATATTAGTTGATACTACGTAATATATATTACATGCCCTCTGGTGAATAACCTACATTGCACGTCATCTCGTTAGGCCTCAGAAACTTAGCAGGTTTCGCGCCAGGAAAGTGCATGGATGGGCATCCACCATTCATATAACAGGTTGTCATATGGCAGTGGGGCTATTGGGTGGGAAGTAGAATCCATTGTTGTACTATACTTCTTGGCTTCCGCATCTCGGCTGTCAGCCTTCACCAACCCCCACTGATCGGCGTCATGAAGCATGGTCAAACAATCCTCTTAACCCTCGTGATGCAAAGAAGGCCCTCATCCAGCAGTGGATTGACAAAAGGGCTGTACGTATATCACACGAACGTAACGCTACATAAACAATATATTTTTTATAAGTATGCAGAGCCTACAATCTAAAGAAATGTGCAAGCTTTTTTAATAATTTACAACCGATTAACAATGCATGCCATGTCATTTAGATGGGTTGTTTGACCTTACTTCACCACGATAGTCAAAGCACAGTGGTAAACAGTTCAGATATCACATGCCACTGGTGCTAGCCGTGGCTGAGAATCGAACTTGCCTTGCGGGTTTTAACAGCGCAGAGTGCCAGCCACTGCACCACCGATCCACCCCATGCGACCATATTATTATCAACGTTTATTTACCAAGAAAAGCCTCACTGAATCTTAATGCTCCTCTTTGGGAAGGTCCCTGCTAAGTTTCACATTCGGGGGGGGGCAACGACCGCTACGAATGTTGCTCTGTTCTGAGTACGTCGCCGCCGGTTTGGCAAAAAGTGGACCGAGATGCTGCTGGCACGCAGTGGCGCCTTTTTTTTTCCTTTTTCGAGACACGTCACGGCATCCGCAACATCCGCTGTGCATTTTTTTTTTTGTTTTACGATTCGGTACGCCCGCAGTATTAACCAGGGTCGGCCATGTGGCTCAGACCGCGGAGCTCCGCAACGAGCGACAAATCGCACGACCGCTCGGCCGCGTCACTGCCGCCCCCCACCCACCGACCTTGTGGAGATTAAATGTGAGCGTTTGTGTCTTTCCGTTTTCAGCATTCATCGGCCCCAAAGAAATATCCTTCAATTCCATCACGGAGTCTTCAGTGCAGGTGGGGTGGGCAGCTCTACCCTTCCCCGTCGAGAGCTGGGAGATCATATTCACGTCCGAGGTGAGTCGAACGGCGAGCACGGGTGCCAACGTTTCGGCTGACAAAGGTTGCCTCAAGACGTACAGCGTCAGCGCTGTATACACAAGCCCTCTGTTGTGTTGTCGATTGCGCCGGCGTGCTCGTTGGGCATCGACGTCCGACGTTTCACCCCACGTGCCGGAGGCATCTTCAGGAACCACAGAAGCTGGCCTGCACGCGGAGCGAAGAGAGCTTGCCGAACAACAAGCAGCGCAACCCACGCACACCTACGGTTTAGCACGCTTGCCTACGTACTTTAGTGGGGTATATATATAAGTGGATTATCCTTTACTCACGATTATTATCATCAGCTATTGTCAATCCACTGCTGGATGACAGCCTCCCCCATACCGTTGTGAGCCCAAGATGTTACTCGACCATGACTCACCAGGCTGATCAGTGAGGGGGTTTTCTGAAGGCAGGAAGCATAGACATCGGAGCACACAGTACAATACAACAATTTATTCGGCTGCCTGGCTCCCTGTGGACAACATAGCACCGCAGCAGCCGACTCCAACTGTGTGAATATTCTTAAACTCAAAACGACATCTGATTCCTGTTGTCTTATCTAGAATTTCGATTTAAAGCTTTCGTGACTGCAAGGATTCATCTTCTTTGGTTCTTTCGGTAAAGTCACGTAGAATGAGAATTAAAATAATAAAATAATAAAATAAAATAACACAATAAAATTCTCACGACGTTTCGGCCACAACACAAGTGGGAATTTTATTGTGTTATTTTATTATTTTATTGTTTTATTCTCATTCTACGTGACTTTACCGAAAGAACCAAAGAAGATTATCTAGAATTGTATGCAGTGCTTTTGTCAAAGCGCTTTACGAGAATTTTAAAAAAATGGTACATTAGTATTGACTGATGGGGAAAAGGGATGGGATTTGAGTGTTGGCGAGGGGATATTAGTCCGCACCGCGTTGTGCGGCAGTGCCAGGGTATGGCACCTCCTCGATGCCCCGTTGGGAGGAAATTTCGCAACCTTTATCCGGTCCACCAACCCCCTGCCCAGGCTCAAAACCTGCTTAGCTTCCCAGACGTCACGAGGTCAAATGCATTCTGGATGATTTGGTCACCGGCGTTGTCGGACAATGATGTCTTAAAATACTCTTTAAATTCTTTCGGTGAAGTCACGTAGGTAGAAAAATAATAGATCACGACGTTTCGATCGCAGCACAAGCGACCGTCATCAGGTGGGACCAACGACAGCAAGAAAAAAAACTGCTGAAGTAGGCGAGAGATCTGCCGTGGCACGAGGTTATTTAGTAGGCCTCGGCAGTAGGGGGGGGAGAGAGAAGTGGGGGGGAGGAGGCGGGGCAGAAAGTTGACCCCGCAGCAGCACCCGGGTCACTGGAGTAAAGTGGGCCACCGCAGCAGCACTGCTGCGATGTCATCAAATCTTAACGCGCTGCTGTGGAGCAACAGTGTGTGTGTGTGGAAGCAGGGGGAATCAACGCATCTCATCGGGCTTACCACCAGTTGCTTAGCCCAATTGTCTGTCCAGTTGGCTACTATGCCAACCATTGCAATGATAGCTCATTCGGAAAAGCACATACAAGGAGAATTCCATCACGTGTATCCACGTACCAGTAAAATAAAGATTTAGTCTAACGGCCTATTGGGTTTCGCGAGCAATATTGTTTGAGCGAGTGAACTCTGGAGCGGTTTCGATCTTCTTTGCCTCATCTGCAGTGTCAGGCTTGTGAAACACATGCTGCAGGGATACCGGATGTTCTTGGCAATGGTACTCTTATCTTATTTTCTATTTAAAGAGCGCCCTTAGCATAAGCTTCTTAATATATCTTTTTTTAAACAGCGGTAACATTACAGAGTGATTTAGGTGGCAGGTTGTGCGCAAGGGCTGAGGAATGAATGACCCCAATAGAGGGGTACTTAGGATTCACGGAAGGGCTACAGGAGAGGGACGGGAAGAAGTGGAGGGGCAAGGGGAGGGAAGAGGGAATCGGCGATGAAGAAGAGGCGGTGAGGATTTCAGAGAGGAACAAAAGGAGGTTAAGGAGCGGGGACGACTCCATCTCAACCATGGGGCCTGTGTTTAACGCAAAAAAAATATATATATTGCGCACACAACTCATCACGCATTGTTGTGGCGCGTCACGGCTGAATGCGCACATTTCCCCAGTCGCGTTGCTAACTTAGCGGCGCGCTCCTAATGGCGATTTCAGGACACCCCAGACAGACTGCTGTCGACGCTGAGCAGCACCGAGACGAGCCACACCCAGACGGGTCTGGAGCCTGGCGTCAAGTACGACGTCTCGCTGGTGGCCATCAAGGACAACAAGAAGAGTCAACCCACCACGTCCTTCTTCAGCACCTGTAAGCGCACCTGGAGGTGTTGCTCTCGATGTGCTTTCACGTTTTGCGCCGCGTGTTGTAAGACGCGGATGCCCCGTGTTTTGTTCCCATGGGCTGGGATTTTTTTCAGTGGGCGGTGGCCGAAAAACGCAGGTTCAGATCCAGGATTTTTCAGTAAGTTGTTTCCGTTGCCGCAAGCTCCCGAGCACGTGGAGTGACAAGTGGGACGTCATGCCAAACAAACATGAGTTACAGATTATTGAAAGTATTTGGTTGCTGGAAATTTCCACGTGAAAAGCCACTTCGTAGAGCTTCAATTTGTGGCCAGGTCGCTTATGAAAAGAGTGACATTGCTTTACCTGGTAAAAAAAAAAGTTTAGTTTTATTTATATTTTGTTTTGGTGATTTGCTTACCTTTCCTATAGTTTGCACGCCTATTATGTTTTTGCATTGTTTGTTATTGTTGTAACGTTCTGACGTGCCCTTGCTGGACGACTGTGAAAGAGAGCTTTATAGCTCATTGGATTCCTCCAGTAGAAATAAATATTCTCATTCTTATTCTAACAGCCCCGAAAACACATCGGGGGAGAGCCCTACAGCACAGTAGTACACCTGGAAATAAACAAAACGTTGAGGATAGGGACACATGGGACCAGGCAGTTTAGTCTTGAGCCCATCTATGGCTCATGAAGAGTTAGAACATAGACGCAGGTCCTGGATGCCGCTTCTGACACAGAACTAGGCTGCTGCTGGGCCAGTTAAGGCAGATTAACATGGATGGTGAAAACAACACGTTAAAATACATGTCCCCCCCCCCTCCCCAGTGATCGACAGCCCCAAGGATCTCAAGGTGGAGGACGTGAAGGACACCACGGCGCAGCTGTCCTGGACCTCTCCGTCCGCCTTGGTGGACGGCCTCGTGCTCACCTACGGCCCGACCAGACCAGGCGCTCGCAAGACGGAGGTGTCGCTGCAGCCCACGGTGACGGAGCATGCGCTGCAGGGCCTGCGCCCGGGCGTGCATTACACCGTCACCCTGCACTCCGTTCGCGGGCCCCAGACAAGCGACAAGCAGATCCAGAGCTTCGTCACCGGTGAGCGGCGGTCGGGCGTGGACGAGCGCTCGCGTTGAACGGTTGTTGACATGCTCGGTTTGTGCCACGTGTTGTTGAGCGGGGTTGTGCATCGTTTTCGTTTCGCTTCCACGTGCTGGGAGCCTCTTCGGGAACTGAAGAATGCAGTGCTTGAAACGGTGCATTTCTCTCTTTTTTTATTGCAATGAATTTTACGGAGCTTTGCGTGCCGATGACGCAGCCTAAAATATGTGAAGTATGTACGTCGAACTTCTTTCGCACCGTACCTAGCCAACCGTGCTGACCGGAAGTGCGGGCAATATAATTATGGAAAGAACATTCGTCTGGGTTTGTGGGTCTTGAATGTCAATGGCCTGCTGTGAAGTTTGGTCTCAAAAAATGGCCAGTTCGCAGAGATTCTTGCAATCAAGCTAGACTGTCGGTGAAATAAATTGACGAGTGAATGTAGGATAGGTTTGTTGTCAGGTAATGTGGATACCGTTAGATTTTTTGGGGGGCGTTGGTTGTCAACTATGCAGCAGCTCTGCTCTGACAGAAGGATCAGATGTTGAGTTGTGGTAGCATTGGCAGAACTGACCACGATACTTCTTGATATTGATTTTTGCCTTGCAATCATTTTGTTATTAAGTGTGCAGTATACTCGTTCTTAAATAGTTTACCTAGCAGGTGTTGCCAAGTCTGAGAGAGAGTTAACCGAATTTAGTTGTGTACATTTGTCTGACGTACAATGCAGTGCAGGGAAGGCTAAAATGTAGTGCCATGTGTGTTCTTAAACCGTCAAATGCATGGTAAGATGCTCAATCACAATGTTGTGTTGACCACTCATTCATAAAAGCGCACACTGTACCGATGCAGTACGAAACACAGCCTGTCTCACTCTCCACATCTGAACACACAAATTATGGTTGATGGGAGTTTGTGACTGGCTACTCAGCAAAATGGACATGATGTCATCAACCGCGGTGGCTCGGAAACGGTATATGTGGGCACAATGCACCGTGTCAGTTTGCACCTACAGCAATGAATACAAAGCGAAGGAGACGAAGAATAGATCGAGCTTGCATGGAAATTACGTGATAAAATGGTGTTTCGCTGAGTGTTCATTTGACGGAGGATCATTTCTTTGTAAAAACCGACGATAACCGGTCCCTTAGTATGGATGGAATGGCCATTTGTTGAAAAATCATTCATGTTTAAATGTTTTTTTTAATGAAAATACTGACACTCGTCTCTAAACTTGTCTTATTTGACCAAAGGGTACCAAACAACCGATTTGGATACAAAAGACTATCTTCCAGAGAGGCCGCCAGAGTCGGTGATAACTCCCACTGAAAGTCCAGTTGATTCGCTGAAAGAGCTGCAGATTTACGACGTCAAGCCACACAGCATGACGGTGTCGTGGGCGATCATGCCCGACATCTACAACCACTTTGTCTTGCAATACAAACCGTACGGAAGCACTGAACTGCCCTCGGAATATTCCGTGCGTGGCAATGTGACAACCGTTGCCCTCAAAGAGCTCCGCGAAAACACAGAGTATGAGATCTCTCTTGTGGCGTCGAGGGGACGGAAGGTTTACAAGCCCGTGAAGGCCAGGGTGACCACAGGTATGAATTGCTTTGCTGGAATTTTCCATCCCATCTGCAAATTTGTACTAACGCCATTTCCATTTGCTTCACAGGAAACATTTCAATGGTTAACGCTTACATATTTACATACAATACCTTGACATCTTTTTCCATTCCTTTTCAGGGAATATTAACTGAAAAAAAAACCATCCATCGCTGCACCATCTCTCTGCTTTCATGACTTGTGTGGCAGTATATCTTTGCTGGAGGTATCAGCAGTATTTGCTTGCAAATAAGCCTCACGTTTTCCATAACCACTTTCGGTAATTCATTCCTATCGCACGCACCTTTGCACCATTCATACAATTGTCTTGAAAAATTATTGTAAAAAAAAAAAAACTTCATACGAATATAAAACAGCGGCATGGCTACACATTAACATCACCAAAAGTATGTTACGGCGAGACATTTTTTTTATTTGTAACATGTTTTGAACATTTTGTTGGAAAATCGTATTTGTCAAGTATTATTAATTTAAACGTGAAAAGTGAATGTACGGTAAGTAAATGTTCTATAGGTGATGAAAACTAACCATTCATTGTTTTTGGTAGAAAAAGAATCGAAACCCATTGCTGAGACCACAACAGAGTCACCCGTTGATAAGGAACTCTACACCACTGGGATGTGGATGACAAGACAAGTTTCAGTGATATCAATACTTGGGGTTCCAACTGATTCAGCAGATGAATTGCACATAACTAGCATCACATCTGAGAGCATGAAGGTGTCGTGGGTGGTAGATCCAAAAGTCTTCGAGCGCTTCATTGTGCAATACAAGCCCATTGACAGTTCTGAGAAACCACTCGAAAAAACATTGCCTGGCAAAGTTTCTACAGTTGATCTTACAGACTTGAGCGATGACACTGAATATATCATTAAGCTCATTGGTTACAGGCGAGGAAAGCCTTCCAAGCCACTGGTGGCTCAAGTTAAAACAGGTACATCTTCATATGTTTTAATATATTTTCTTTATTGCTTCAACATTCCATACGTTTTCAAAGAGTATGTGGGATGTTGTTAAGACAGGTACATTTCCATATATTGCAATCTTTTTCATCATTACCTGAAAATTCTACATTTTTTCTTACAAATATTTTTTTATATTTAAACATTATTTTATTTACCTTGCAGAACCCATTGCGAGATCAACTCCTTTACCCACGGCAGTCATCTATGAGGCCATTACACCAACCGTTGTTGAGTTGCCTGGAACTACCACACACGAACCTTCAAAGGAGGTTTCGGTATCATCTGTGTCTGGGGTTCCAACTGATTCCGCCAATGAACTTGTCATATCTGACATCACGTCTGAGAGCATGAAGGTGTCGTGGGTGGTAGATCCAAAAGTCTTTGAGCGGTTCATCGTGCACTACAAGCCCGCGGACAGTTCTGAGACGCCACTCGAAAAAACATTGCCTGGCAAAGTTTCCACAATTGACCTGACAGACTTGACGGAAGATACAACGTATACTGTTGAGCTGATCGGTTACAGACGAGGAAAGCCTTCTAAGTCACTGGTGGCACAAGTTAGAACAGGTAATTTTTCAACATTCTTTTATTGATGTACTTTCCATGAATAGTTAACTCATTAAATCTTGACTTAAAAATTTCGTGACTGCAGGAATTCACATTCTTTGGGTCTTTCGGTAAAGTCACGTGGATAGGTTCAAAGAACATACGTTTCGATCGCAACACAAGCGGTCGTCATCTTGTGTTGCGATCGAAACGTCGTAGTTTTTTGTTATTTTCTTTCAACCTACCCACGTGACTTTACCGAAAAACCCAAAGGATGGTTAACTTATTTTCAGTGTCATATTTAAAATAATACGTTAAAAGTGTAACACTCGTTTACCCTTGCATACCTTACAGGGACAGATTTCTTACATGGAGTAACTGCTGGCACAACAGTCACTGCGCAATTGCTTGATACAACCACTCAGCTGGCCGTGCAAGAAATATTTGTGTCGTCACCCTTCGGAGCTCCAACTGACGCAGCCGATGAGATGCGCATTATTGACATTGCCTGCGATAGCATGAGGGTGTCATGGGTGGTAGATCCTCGAGTGTTTACGCGTTTCACTGTGCGATACAATCCCGCTGACCTTCGTGAGAAGCCCGTCGACAAATCGTTGCCTGGACATGCATCTACAGTTGAACTCACGGATCTAAGAGAAAACACAGAATACGTCGTTGTACTTCTCGGCTTAAGACGAGGAAAGCTATCTAACCCACTTACGGCGAAGGTCACAACAGGTATCTAAATATATATTTCGCATCTATTTGCCATTGTTGCTTATTTAAAAAAAAAATACGTAGCTTTATGCACAAAGTAGTTGCGTTGTGTGCCGATCTATCATATTGCTGCGGATGTGCTGGGCTCACTCATTCCCCCCCCCCCCCCACATCTCATGTCAGAATCAGAATCTTTATTTATACTGGAGGAATACGATGAGCCATGAAGTGCCATTAAGCTCTTTTCATTGCCACCACCAGGAAGACATCTCTTTAGCTCATTTCATGCTACTCCCTCTCTACCTAGATCAACAATTCCCACCCCAGCCCTCTCCCCCACGCATCTTAAAAGAACGAAGGCCAGACATGATACATGGCAATAGACACTCATGATGCGAGACATTGTCCAGAGTACCCAGGGAATATCACGTAACCGTTATGCAAATCTAAACCTCTCACAAGTTCTCTGTGAGACCTTTATACTATCACTACACAAAAATGTAAATACCACACATCCCCTATTCTGTTGTTACACAGCTAATACACTACGTTTACAATGTACACATTCTAACGCCACATGAGCCATGTGCCAATTACGAAACGCACATTATACTATTGACTAAACAATCTCGTTGACATTCAGTGCACAAATCTTATACTAAAGTCACGTGACTTTCACTCAAGCAACACAAATTATTCTAACACTACACAAATTCAGAATCTTTATACTGCACGAATCGGATGAGCTATAAAGCTCTTTTTCACAGATATACAGTAGGGGCAGGTTCAGAAAGTTACAGCAACAAACATTACAACACACGATAGGAGTGCATTATATAGAAAAGGTAAGGAAATTACTAACACAATTTTTTTTTTACCAGGTAAAGCCCACTGAGCTATTAGCTTCTTTGTCAGAAGCGACCTGGCCACAAATGATAGCTCACCGAAGTGGTTTATCATGTGGAAATATATCGCAGCCAAATAATGTAAATAAACTAAACGAATGTTTCTAAAATTCGTGAACACATCCAAGGGCTGAGCCTCTTAGCCATGTCCTAATTTCGCCTCACCCTCCCCCGCCTTCTCCTCATTACACCACCATTAACATCCTACTTGGTTAAGTCTCGTCCAGCTGTTCCACTTTGGCAACCTATACACCACCAATACCAGGCCATTCGACCACTACGTGATGGTGACGTCGTCACGGCGCCTGTGCCAGGCTGGGTGGTCTCTCCCGTCAATTTCCAGCAAACGGTTGGCGATTCCGTCCCGAGACGCCGCTTTCGGCATCACCCACCATCCCGCATGCCACGTGTCACTACGCCCTGTTTGCCACCTCACGCCAATCCCATCATTGTCGGCATCGTCACAGTCAATGTTATCACCTCCGCGAGCCCACAATCACGGTGTCATACTGCCTCCCTGTCCTTAACACTTGATATATGTAGTTTTTTTTTCCTTTATTTCCTACAGAGTGCAAACAAAAGATTATTACATTGCCTCCAAAGGTTTTGCCTGAAGAACTATCTGGCACAACGGGTTTATACGAGTTACCCGCTTCCATCACGCAACTACGTCCAAGTATAGTCTCCATCGAGTCAACCGAAGGCGTTCCTGTTGTTTCGGCCAATGAGTTGCACATAACGGAAATTACACCCAATAGCGTCAAGGTCTCGTGGGTGGTAGATCCGCACGTCTTTGACCATTTCATTGTGCAATACACGCCTACTGCCAGTGCTGAGAAACCATTGGAGACAACATTACCCGGTCAAGTCTCCATGGTAGATCTGCTAGACTTGACTGAAAATACAGAATACACCATTAAGCTGATCGGTTACAGGCGGAAAACGCCCTCCAAACCTTTGATGGCGCTGGTGACAACAGGTATTTGTTTTATTACTTTTACAGTGCTAAAGATAAACAACACAATTTTACATGAATATAAATCTGATGACATCATTGTATGCATTAACTAATCAACATGACTTATCTTTTGCAGACATAAAAGTGGTGACGTTAATGCCAGATGTGTTAATCGAGCAAATACCAGGCACAACAGCTGTATACATATTACCTGAGACCACCAAATATGTCCCTCCAAAAGAAGTTTCAGTGCGGTCAGAATACGGAGCTCCCACTGATTCAGCCGATGAATTACACATAACGGAAATCACATCGGACAGTATGAAAGTTTCTTGGGTGGTTCATACAGAAACATTCGACCACTTCATTGTACAATTCAAACCCAGTGACAGTCTGGAAAAGCCATTCGATAAAACGATACCCGGTCAAGTTTTTACGGTAGATCTGGTGGACCTCAATGAAGATACAGAATATGTCATTATACTCCTCGGATCTAGAGGTGGGAAATTATCAAGGCCACTTGTAGCTCAAGCTAAAACAGGTATTTGTTACATCACTTGTTCTTTTAAAGAGCTTGTCGTATATGAAACTTATTAATACAATTGACATTATCTCAATCCAGTAGAGGAATACAATGCAAGTTCCATTTTCATTCTTGGTTTTAAAAAGACTCAACTGTGTAGGCATGATAGAATTGTATTATGACTTACAGACAAGGCAGTACTTGATTCTACCAAACAGATTAGACGTAATTTCCTCGAAATGTAATTTAATCTGGACACGAAATTTGCATGTGCCAAGTGCACCTTGTGTAATACTTTTGTGACGGATGTGATCCCTGACATGCAATACCCCGGTGTCTACAAACTAAGCTGTGTCTGCAGCAGTAGTTCCATTGGGGAAACTAGGCGACATGTCTCAGACCGTGTTCGTGAACATAAGGCAGATCTGAAACACGGTAGGATCAATACCTCGGCCGTGGCTGATCATTGTTTTAACGCTGTGGGCAGACAGAAAATTTAGTTTTTCCAGGATGAAAGTACTCTGCAAACCCACTGGCTATCAGCAAAGATTCGTTAATGAAGCCATCCAGATATATAAACACAGACACAATTTCAACCGAGAAGATGGGTGCAAACTGAGCAGTCATCGCAATGACGTTATTAAACAGTTTAAGTCATAACTATCTGTGATGTTTCCATCCTACCTGCCAATGTTAGCAGTTATTTTCGACTCTCTGAGTTATACTACCAGGTTAAATGTCTTTACATTAACAGGCTAAATGTCTCACTAACACAGCCACCATTGCTCGTTTTCCTCGATGTGGCGGTGGCCCTCGTTTTTTCCTACATTGACATGCTAATCTCTCACAATACAATGGCCACCTCCACAGCCTCGTCGTCGTGCAGGTAGCTCAGCTCTCCGATCTGACATTCATATGCAAATTTCATTTCTAGCCCCGCCCACTTCGCTTATGACCTTTGGGCTACACCCATCTCAAACCTTTATAAAATCCTGCCTCAGCAGCTCTCCCGCTATATTTTTTCACCTGATGAAGATTGCTTGTGTTGCGATATTTTTTTGTATTATTATTTTTCTCTCTACGTGGCTTTACCGAAAGACCCAAAGAATAATAATTGTGTTGTTAATTAAACTAATTGGATGTGCAATACAGTTGCTGCCTTGGCAAAATAAAATACAGGATTGGCCCTCGCATCCATACTGCATAACATTATTGAATTGACATATGAAGAAATGTACGTAAAAAAAATCTACATTTAAATAGTCGCATGAATAAATAATTCAGGATGTGTTCATAACATTAAGAAATGTCTTGAAGAGCCCTACCTGGGCCAAATCCATAAACCGTAATTTATGGACATTAACAATTTTCCCAGGTTATACCATGAAGCTAATTGGTTACATGACATAAAAAAACCCATTGACGCCATTGGTGGAACAGTTTAAAACGTGGGCATGTTAAACACATAAATGTATTATGAAGGAACATGTATTAAAACAATAGATGTGTAAATATGTTTAATTTATTTCATATACTTAGCGGAGACCATATATGACCATCAATAGCTTATCGTGTTTTAAGTTGATTGTTTACAACAACAGTTTAAGTTTACTTGTACGAAACAAATCGATGCACAGATCTGCAAAAAGATGCAAAGACTTGGTCTGGCCAAGTGTATACAGCCTTAAAGACTGTATTAGTGAAAAGAACATCCAATCGAGAGTAAATCAAATTGAAAGAGGGATCATGTTTTATTTCATAATGCTTCAGTTACCTTTTAAATATAACAATGTTTTAATTATCTAAATATAACAATGTAATATTGATGTTTTGTTTAGAAAAAAACAAAGGTTCAACTGGCATTTGTTGTTGTTTACACCAGCAGGAGGTATTGATGACGTTTCAACAACTGAATTAATTGAGACGGCGACGCGTTTACCTGCGAGAGAAATTTTGGTGAAATCGCAGAGTGGAGTTCCCACCGATTCGGCCGATGAATTGCACGTAACTGAAATCACGTCTGAGAGCATGAAGGTGTCGTGGGTGGTAGATCCAAAAGTCTTCGAGCGATTCATTGTGCAATGCAAGCCCATTGACAGCCAAGATAAACCATTAGAAAAAACCTTGCCGGGACACATTTCTACAGTTGATTTTACAGCCCTGATCGATGACACTGAATATATCATCAAGCTCATTGGTTACAGGCGAGGAAAGCCTTCCAAGCCACTGGTGGCTCAAGTTAAAACAGGTACATCTTCATATGTTTTAATATATTTTCTTCATGATCTAAACAGTCCATATATTTGATAGAGTATGTATTATCCTTACAATTACTTTCATTTTCTTTGCAGAGCCCAAACCAAAATCAACTCCTTTACCAACGGCAGTCATCGATGAGGCCATTACACCAACCGTTGTTGAGTTGCCTGAAACTACCACACACGAACCTTCAAAGGAGGTGTCAGTAACTTCTGTGTCTGGGGTTCCAACTGATTCTGCCAATGAACTTGTCATATCTGACATCACGTCTGAGAGCATGAAGGTGTCGTGGGTGGTAGATCCAAATGTCTTTGAGCGCTTTGTTGTGCAATACAAGCCTGTTGACAGCTCTGAGAAACCACTCGAAAAAACATTACCTGGCAAAGTTTCTACAGTTGATCTTACAGACTTGATCGATGATACTGAATATATCATCAAGCTCATTGGTTTCAGACGAGGAAAGCCTTCCAAGCCACTGGTGGCTCAAGTTAAAACAGGTACATCTTCATATGTTGTAATATATTTTCTTCATTACCTGAACAGTCCATACATTTTGAAAGAGTATGTATTATCCTTACAATTACTTTCATTTACTTTGCAGAGCCTGAACCAAAATCAACTCCTTTACCCACGGCAGTCATCTATGAGGCCATTACACCAACCGTTGTTGAGTTGCCTGGAACTACCACACACGAACCTTCAAAGGAGGTGTCAGTAACTTCTGTGTCTGGGGTTCCAACTGATTCCGCCAATGAACTTGTGATATCTGACATCACGTCTGAGAGCATGAAGGTGTCCTGGGAGGTAGATCCAAATGTCTTTGAGCGCTTTGTTGTGCAATACAAGCCTGCTGACAGCTATGAGAAACCACTTGAAAAAACATTGCCTGGCAAAGTTTCTACAGTTGATCTTACAGACTTGATCGATGATACTGAATATATCATCAAGCTCATTGGTTTCAGACGAGGAAAGCCTTCCAAGCCACTGGTGGCTCAAGTTAAAACAGGTACATCTTCGTATGTTTTCATATTTTTTCCTCGTTACTTCAACATTCCACACGTTTTAAAAGAGTATGTGGGATGCTTACAATTACTTTAATTTACTTTGCAGAGCCCAAACCAAAATCAACTCCTTTACCCACGGCAGTCATCGATGAGGCCATTACACCAACCGTTTTTGAGTTCCCTGGAGCTACCACACACGAACCTTCAAAGGAGGTGTCAGTAACATCTGTGTCTGGGGTTCCAACTGATTCCGCGAATGAACTTGTCATTTCTGACATCACGTCTGAGAGCATGAAGGTGTCGTGGGTGGTAGATCCAAAAGTCTTCGAGCGATTCATTGTGCAATGCAAGCCCATTGACAGCCAAGAGAAACCATTAGAAAAAACATTGCCTGGACACATTTCTACAGTTGATTTTACAGCCCTGATCGATGACACTGAATATATCATCAAGCTCATTGGTTACAGGCGAGGAAAGCCTTCCAAGCCACTGGTGGCTCAAGTTAAAACAGGTACATCTTCATATGTTTTAATATATTTTCTTCAATACTTCAACATTCTACACGTTTTAAAAGAGTAGGTGGGATGCTTACAATTACTTTCATTTTCTTTGCAGAGCCCAAACTAAAATCAACTCCTTTACCCACGGCAGTCATCGATGAGGCCAGTACACCAACCGTTTTTGAGTTCCCTGGAACTACCACACAGGAACCTTCAAAGGAGGTTTCGGTAACATCTGTGTCTGGGGTTCCAACTGATTCCGCCAATGAACTTGTGATATCTGACATCACGTCTGAGAGCATGAAGGTGTCGTGGGTGGTAGATCCAAATGTCTTTGAGCGCTTTGTTGTGCAATACAAGCCTGCTGACAGTTCTGAGAAACCACTCGAAAAAACATTGCCTGGCAAAGTTTCTACAGTTGATCTTACAGACTTGATCGATGATACTGAATATATCATCAAGCTCATTGGTTTCAGACGAGGAAAGCCTTCCAAGCCACTGGTGGCTCAAGTTAAAACAGGTACATCTTCATACGTTGTAATATATTTTCTTCATTACCTAAACAGTCCATACATTTTGAAAGAGTATGTATTATCCTTACAATTACTTTTATTTACTTGGCAGAGCCTGAACCAAAATCAACTCCTTTACCCACGGCAGTCATCTATGAGGCCATTACACCAACCTTTGTTGAGTTGCCTGAAACTACCACACACGAACCTTCAAAGGAGGTGTCAGTAACTTCTGTGTCTGGGGTTCCAACTGATTCTGCAAATGAACTTGTGATATCTGACATCACGTCTGAGAGCATGAAGGTGTCGTGGGAGGTAGATCCAAATGTCTTTGAGCGCTTTGTTGTGCTATACAAGCCTGCTGACAGTTCAGATAAACCACTTGAAAAATCATTGCCTGGCAAATATTCTACAGTTGATCTTACAGACTTGATCGATGATACTGAATATATCATCAAGCTCATTGGCTTCAGACAAGGAAAGCCTTCCAAGCCACTGGTGGCTCAAGTTAAAACAGGTACATCTTCATATGTTGTAATATATTTTCTTCATTTCCTAAACAGTCCATACATTTTGAAAGAGTATGTATTATCCTTACAATAACTTTCATTTACTTTGCAGAGCCTGAACCAAAATCAACTCCTTTACCCACGGCAGTCATCTATGAGGCCATTACACCAACCGTTGTTGAGTTGCCTGGAACTACCACACACGAACCTTCAAAGGAGGTTTCGGTATCATCTGTGTCTGGGGTTCCAACTGATTCCGCCAATGAACTTGTGATATCTGACATCACGTCTGAGAGCATGAAGGTGTCGTGGGTGGTAGATCCAAATGTCTTTGAGCGCTTTGTTGTGCAATACAAGCCTGCTGACAGTTCTGAGAAACCACTCGAAAAAACATTGCCTGGCAAAGTTTCTACAGTTGATCTTACAGACTTGATCGATGATACTGAATATATCATCAAGCTCATTGGTTTCAGACGAGGAAAGCCTTCCAAGCCACTGGTGGCTCAAGTTAAAACAGGTACATCTTCGTATGTTTTCATATTTTTTCTTCGTTACTTCAACATTCCACACGTTTTAAAAGAGTATGTGGGATGCTTATAATTACTTTCATTTACTTTGCAGAGCCCAAACCAAAATCAACTCCTTTACCCACGACAGCCATCGATGAGGCCATTACACCAACCGTTTTTGAGTTCCCTGGAGCTACCACACACGAACCTTCAAAGGAGGTGTCAGTAACATCTGTGTCTGGGGTTCCAACTGATTCCGCCAATGAACTTGTCATTTCTGACATCACGTCTGAGAGCATGAAGGTGTCGTGGGTGGTAGATCCAAAAGTCTTCGAGCGATTCATTGTGCAATGCAAGCCCATTGACAGCCAAGAGAAACCATTAGAAAAAACATTGCCTGGACACATTTCTACAGTTGATTTTACCGCCCTGATCGATGACACTGAATATGTCATCAAGCTCATTGGTTACAGGCGAGGAAAGCCTTCTAAGCCACTGGTGGCTCAAGTTAAAACAGGTACATCTTCATATGTTTTAATATATTTTCTTCGTTACTTCAACATTCCACACGTTTTAAAAGAGTATGTGGGATGCTTACAATTACTTTCATTTTCTTTGCAGTGCCCAAACCAAAATCAACTCCTTTACCCACGGCAGTCATCGATGAGGCCAGTACACCAACCGTTTTTGAGTTCCCTGGAACTACCACACACGAACCTTCAAAGGAGGTTTCGGTAACATCTGTGTCTGGGGTTCCAACTGATTCCGCCAATGAACTTGTGATATCTGACATTACGTCTGAGAGCATGAAGGTGTCGTGGGTGGTAGATCCAAATGTCTTTGAGCGCTTTGTTGTGCAATACAAGCCTGCTGACAGTTCTGAGAAACCACTCGAAAAAACATTGCGTGGCAAAGTTTCTACAGTTGATCTTACAGACTTGATCGATGATACTGAATATATCATCAAGCTCATTGGTTTCAGACGAGGAAAGCCTTCCAAGCCACTGGTGGCTCAAGTTAAAACAGGTACATCTTCATACGTTGTAATATATTTTCTTCATTACCTAAACAGTCCATACATTTTGAAAGAGTATGTATTATCCTTACAATTACTTTCATTTACTTGGCAGAGCCTGAACCAAAATCAACTCCTTTACCCACGGCAGTCATCTATGAGGCCATTACACCAACCTTTGTTGAGTTGCCTGAAACTACCACACACGAACCTTCAAAGGAGGTGTCAGTAACTTCTGTGTCTGGGGTTCCAACTGATTCTGCAAATGAACTTGTGATATCTGACATCACGTCTGAGAGCATGAAGGTGTCGTGGGAGGTAGATCCAAATGTCTTTGAGCGCTTTGTTGTGCTATACAAGCCTGCTGACAGTTCAGATAAACCACTTGAAAAATCATTGCCTGGCAAAGATTCTACAGTTGATCTTACAGACTTGATCGATGATACTGAATATATCATCAAGCTCATTGGTTTCAGAAGAGGAAAGCCTTCCAAGCCACTGGTGGCTCAAGTTAAAACAGGTACATCTTCATATGTTGTAATATATTTTCTTCATTTCCTAAACAGTCCATACATTTTGAAAGAGTATGTATTATCCTTACAATAACTTTCATTTACTTTGCAGAGCCTGAACCAAAATCAACTCCTTTACCCACGGCAGTCATCTATGAGGCCATTACACCAACCGTTGTTGAGTTGCCTGGAACTACCACACACGAACCTTCAAAGGAGGTTTCGGTATCATCTGTGTCTGGGGTTCCAACTGATTCCGCCAATGAACTTGTGATATCTGACATCACGTCTGAGAGCATGAAGGTGTCGTGGGTGGTAGATCCAAATGTCTTTGAGCGCTTTGTTGTGCAATACAAGCCTGCTGACAGTTCTGAGAAACCACTCGAAAAAACATTGCCTGGAAAAGTTTCTACAGTTGATCTTACAGACTTGATCGATGATACTGAATATATCATCAAGCTCATTGGTTTCAGACGAGGAAAGCCTTCCAAGCCACTGGTGGCTCAAGTTAAAACAGGTACATCTTCGTATGTTTTCATATTTTTTCTGCGTTACTTCAACATTCCACACGTTTTAAAAGAGTATGTGGGATGCTTACAATTACTTTAATTTACTTTGCAGAGCCCAAACCAAAATCAACTCCTTTACCCACGACAGTCATCGATGAGGCCATTACACCAACCGTTTTTGAGTTCCCTGGAGCTACCACACACGAACCTTCAAAGGAGGTGTCAGTAACATCTGTGTCTGGGGTTCCAACTGATTCCGCCAATGAACTTGTCATTTCTGACATCACGTCTGAGAGCATGAAGGTGTCGTGGGTGGTAGATCCAAAAGTCTTCGAGCGATTCATTGTGCAATGCAAGCCCATTGACAGCCAAGAGAAACCATTAGAAAAAACATTGCCTGGACACATTTCTACAGTTGATTTTACAGCCCTGATCGATGACACTGAATATATCATCAAGCTCATTGGTTACATGCGAGGAAAGCCTTCCAAGCCACTGGTGGCTCAAGTTAAAACAGGTACATCTTCATACGTTGTAATATATTTTCTTCATTACCTAAACAGTCCATACATTTTGAAAGAGTATGTATTATCCTTACAATTACTTTCATTTACTTGGCAGAGCCTGAACCAAAATCAACTCCTTTACCCACGGCAGTCATCTATGAGGCCATTACACCAACCTTTGTTGAGTTGCCTGAAACTACCACACACGAACCTTCAAAGGAGGTGTCAGTAACTTCTGTGTCTGGGGTTCCAACTGATTCTGCAAATGAACTTGTGATATCTGACATCACGTCTGAGAGCATGAAGGTGTCGTGGGAGGTAGATCCAAATGTCTTTGAGCGCTTTGTTGTGCTATACAAGCCTGCTGACAGTTCAGATAAACCACTTGAAAAATCATTGCCTGGCAAAGATTCTACAGTTGATCTTACAGACTTGATCGATGATACTGAATATATCATCAAGCTCATTGGCTTCAGACGAGGAAAGCCTTCCAAGCCACTGGTGGCTCAAGTTAAAACAGGTACATCTTCATATGTTGTAATATATTTTCTTCATTTCCTAAACAGTCCATACATTTTGAAAGAGTATGTATTATCCTTACAATAACTTTCATTTACTTTGCAGAGCCTGAACCAAAATCAACTCCTTTACCCACGGCACTCATCGATGAGGCCAGTACACCAACCGTTTTTGAGTTCCCTGGAACTACCACACACGAACCTTCAAAGGAGGTTTCGGTATCATCTGTGTCTGGGGTTCCAACTGATTCCGCCAATGAACTTGTGATATCTGACATCACGTCTGAGAGCATGAAGGTGTCGTGGGTGGTAGATCCAAATGTCTTTGAGCGCTTTGTTGTGCAATACAAGCCTGCTGACAGTTCTGATAAACCACTTGAAAAAACATTACCTGGCAAAGTTTCTACAGTTGATCTTACAGACTTGATCGATGATACTGAATATATCATCAAGCTCATTGGTTTCAGACGAGGAAAGCCTTCCAAGCCACTGGTGGCTCAAGTTAAAACAGGTACATCTTCGTATGTTTTCATACTTTTTTCTTCGTTACTTCAATATTCCACACGTTTTAAAAGAGTATGTGGGATGCTTACAATTACTTTAATTTACTTTGCAGAGCCCAAACCAAAATCAACTCCTTTACCCACGGCAGTCATCGATGAGGCCATTACACCAACCGTTTTTGAGTTCCCTGGAGCTACCACACACGAACCTTCAAAGGAGGTGTCAGTAACATCTGTGTCTGGGGTTCCAACTGATTCCGCCAATGAACTTGTCATTTCTGACATCACGTCTGAGAGCATGAAGGTGTCGTGGGAGGTAGATCCAAATGTCTTTGAGCGCTTTGTTGTGCAATACAAGCCTGCTGACAGTTCTGAGAAACCACTTGAAAAAACATTACCTGGCAAAGTTTCTACAGTTGATCTTACAGACTTGATCGATGATACTGAATATATCATCAAGCTAATTGGTTTCAGACGAGGAAAGCCTTCCAAACCACTGGTGGCTCAAGTTAAAACAGGTACATCTTCATATGTTTTCATATATTTTCTTCATGACCTAAACAGTCCATATATTTGACAGAGTATGTATTATCCTTACAATTACTTTCATTTACTTTGCAGAGCCCAAACCAAAATCAACTCCTTTACCCACGGCAGTCATCGGTGAGGCCAGTACACCAACCGTTTTTGAGTTCCCTGGAACTACCACACACGAACCTTCAAAGGAGGTTTCGGTATCATCTGTGTCTGGGGTTCCAACTGATTCCGCCAATGAACTTGTGATATCTGACATCACGTCTGAGAGCATGAAGGTGTCGTGGGTGGTAGATCCAAATGTCTTTGAGCGCTTTGTTGTGCAATACAAGCCTGCTGACAGTTCTGATAAACCACTTGAAAAAACATTACCTGGAAAAGTTTCTACAGTTGATCTTACAGACTTGATCGATGATACTGAATATATCATCAAGCTCATTGGTTTCAGACGAGGAAAGCCTTCCAAGCCTCTGGTGGCTCAAGTTAAAACAGGTACATCTTCGTATGTTTTCATATTTTTTCTTCGTTACTTCAACATTCCACACGTTTTAAAAGAGTATGTGGGATGCTTACAATTACTTTAATTTACTTTGCAGAGCCCAAACCAAAATCAACTTCTTTACCCACGGCAGTCATCGATGAGGCCATTACACCAACCGTTTTTGAGTCCCTTGTAGCTACCACACACGAACCTTCAAAGGAGGTGTCAGTAACATCTGTGTCTGGGGTTCCAACTGATTCCGCGAATGAACTTGTCATTTCTGACATCACGTCTGAGAGCATGAAGGTGTCGTGGGTGGTAGATCCAAAAGTCTTCGAGCGATTCATTGTGCAATGCAAGCCCATTGACAGCCAAGAGAAACCATTAGAAAAAACATTGCCTGGACACATTTCTACAGTTGATTTTACAGCCCTGATCGATGACACTGAATATATCATCAAGCTCATTGGTTACAGGCGAGGAAAGCCTTCCAAGCCACTGGTGGCTCAAGTTAAAACAGGTACATCTTCATATGTTTTGATATATTTTCTTCGCTACTTCAACATTCCACACGTTTTAAAAGAGTATGTGGGATGCTTACAATTACTTTCATTTTCTTTGCAGTGCCCAAACCAAAATCAACTCCTTTACCCACGGCAGTCATCGATGAGGCCAGTACACCAACCGTTTTTGAGTTCCCTGGAACTACCACACACGAACCTTCAAAGGAGGTTTCGGTAACATCTGTGTCTGGGGTTCCAACTGATTCCGCCAATGAACTTGTGATATCTGACATTACGTCTGAGAGCATGAAGGTGTCGTGGGTGGTAGATCCAAATGTCTTTGAGCGCTTTGTTGTGCAATACAAGCCTGCTGACAGTTCTGAGAAACTACTCGAAAAAACATTGCCTGGCAAAGTTTCTACAGTTGATCTTACAGACTTGATCGATGATACTGAATATATCATCAAGCTCATTGGTTTCAGACGAGGAAAGCCTTCCAAGCCACTGGTGGCTCAAGTTAAAACAGGTACATCTTCATACGTTGTAATATATTTTCTTCATTACCTAAACAGTCCATACATTTTGAAAGAGTATGTATTATCCTTACAATTACTTTCATTTACTTGGCAGAGCCTGAACCAAAATCAACTCCTTTACCCACGGCAGTCATCTATGAGGCCATTACCCCAACCTTTGTTGAGTTGCCTGAAACTACCACACACGAACCTTCAAAGGAGGTGTCAGTAACTTCTGTGTCTGGGGTTCCAACTGATTCTGCAAATGAACTTGTGATATCTGACATCACGTCTGAGAGCATGAAGGTGTCGTGGGAGGTAGATCCAAATGTCTTTGAGCGCTTTGTTGTGCTATACAAGCCTGCTGACAGTTCAGATAAACCACTTGAAAAATCATTGCCTGGCAAAGATTCTACAGTTGATCTTACAGACTTGATCGATGATACTGAATATATCATCAAGCTCATTGGCTTCAGACGAGGAAAGCCTTCCAAGCCACTGGTGGCTCAAGTTAAAACAGGTACATCTTCATATGTTGTAATATATTTTCTTCATTTCCTAAACAGTCCATACATTTTGAAAGAGTATGTATTATCCTTACAATAACTTTCATTTACTTTGCAGAGCCTGAACCAAAATCAACTCCTTTACCCACGGCAGTCATCGATGAGGCCAGTACACCAACCGTTTTTGAGTTCCCTGGAACTACCACACACGAACCTTCAAAGGAGGTTTCGGTATCATCTGTGTCTGGGGTTCCAACTGATTCCGCCAATGAACTTGTGATATCTGACATCACGTCTGAGAGCATGAAGGTGTCGTGGGTGGTAGATCCAAATGTCTTTGAGCGCTTTGTTGTGCAATACAAGCCTGCTGACAGTTCTGAAAAACCACTTGAAAAAACATTACCTGGCAAAGTTTCTACAGTTGATCTTACAGACTTGATCGATGATACTGAATATATCATCAAGCTCATTGGTTTCAGACGAGGAAAGCCTTCCAAGCCACTGGTGGCTCAAGTTAAAACAGGTACATCTTCGTATGTTTTCATACTTTTTTCTTCGTTACTTCAATATTCCACACGTTTTAAAAGAGTATGTGGGATGCTTACAATTACTTTAATTTACTTTGCAGAGCCCAAACCAAAATCAACTCCTTTACCCACGGCAGTCATCGATGAGGCCATTACACCAACCGTTTTTGAGTTCCCTGGAGCTACCACACACGAACCTTCAAAGGAGGTGTCAGTAACATCTGTGTCTGGGGTTCCAACTGATTCCGCCAATGAACTTGTCATTTCTGACATCACGTCTGAGAGCATGAAGGTGTCGTGGGAGGTAGATCCAAATGTCTTTGAGCGCTTTGTTGTGCAATACAAGCCTGCTGACAGTTCTGAGAAACCACTTGAAAAAACATTACCTGGCAAAGTTTCTACAGTTGATCTTACAGACTTGATCGATGATACTGAATATATCATCAAGCTAATTGGTTTCAGACGAGGAAAGCCTTCCAAACCACTGGTGGCTCAAGTTAAAACAGGTACATCTTCATATGTTTTCATATATTTTCTTCATGACCTAAACAGTCCATATATTTGACAGAGTATGTATTATCCTTACAATTACTTTCATTTACTTTGCAGAGCCCAAACCAAAATCAACTCCTTTACCCACGGCAGTCATCGGTGAGGCCAGTACACCAACCGTTTTTGAGTTCCCTGGAACTACCACACACGAACCTTCAAAGGAGGTTTCGGTATCATCTGTGTCTGGGGTTCCAACTGATTCCGCCAATGAACTTGTGATATCTGACATCACGTCTGAGAGCATGAAGGTGTCGTGGGTGGTAGATCCAAATGTCTTTGAGCGCTTTGTTGTGCAATACAAGCCTGCTGACAGTTCTGATAAACCACTTGAAAAAACATTACCTGGAAAAGTTTCTACAGTTGATCTTACAGACTTGATCGATGATACTGAATATATCATCAAGCTCATTGGTTTCAGACGAGGAAAGCCTTCCAAGCCTCTGGTGGCTCAAGTTAAAACAGGTACATCTTCGTATGTTTTCATATTTTTTCTTTGTTACTTCAACATTCCACACGTTTTAAAAGAGTATGTGGGATGCTTACAATTACTTTAATTTACTTTGCAGAGCCCAAACCAAAATCAACTTCTTTACCCACGGCAGTCATCGATGAGGCCATTACACCAACCGTTTTTGAGTCCCTTGTAGCTACCACACACGAACCTTCAAAGGAGGTGTCAGTAACATCTGTGTCTGGGGTTCCAACTGATTCCGCGAATGAACTTGTCATTTCTGACATCACGTCTGAGAGCATGAAGGTGTCGTGGGTGGTAGATCCAAAAGTCTTCGAGCGATTCATTGTGCAATGCAAGCCCATTGACAGCCAAGAGAAACCATTAGAAAAAACATTGCCTGGACACATTTCTACAGTTGATTTTACAGCCCTGATCGATGACACTGAATATATCATCAAGCTCATTGGTTACAGGCGAGGAAAGCCTTCCAAGCCACTGGTGGCTCAAGTTAAAACAGGTACATCTTCATATGTTTTGATATATTTTCTTCGCTACTTCAACATTCCACACGTTTTAAAAGAGTATGTGGGATGCTTACAATTACTTTCATTTTCTTTGCAGTGCCCAAACCAAAATCAACTCCTTTACCCACGGCAGTCATCGATGAGGCCAGTACACCAACCGTTTTTGAGTTCCCTGGAACTACCACACACGAACCTTCAAAGGAGGTTTCGGTAACATCTGTGTCTGGGGTTCCAACTGATTCCGCCAATGAACTTGTGATATCTGACATTACGTCTGAGAGCATGAAGGTGTCGTGGGTGGTAGATCCAAATGTCTTTGAGCGCTTTGTTGTGCAATACAAGCCTGCTGACAGTTCTGAGAAACTACTCGAAAAAACATTGCCTGGCAAAGTTTCTACAGTTGATCTTACAGACTTGATCGATGATACTGAATATATCATCAAGCTCATTGGTTTCAGACGAGGAAAGCCTTCCAAGCCACTGGTGGCTCAAGTTAAAACAGGTACATCTTCATACGTTGTAATATATTTTCTTCATTACCTAAACAGTCCATACATTTTGAAAGAGTATGTATTATCCTTACAATTACTTTCATTTACTTGGCAGATCCTGAACCAAAATCAACTCCTTTACCCACGGCAGTCATCTATGAGGCCATTACACCAACCTTTGTTGAGTTGCCTGAAACTACCACACACGAACCTTCAAAGGAGGTGTCAGTAACTTCTGTGTCTGGGGTTCCAACTGATTCTGCAAATGAACTTGTGATATCTGACATCACGTCTGAGAGCATGAAGGTGTCGTGGGAGGTAGATCCAAATGTCTTTGAGCGCTTTGTTGTGCTATACAAGCCTGCTGACAGTTCAGATAAACCACTTGAAAAATCATTGCCTGGCAAAGATTCTACAGTTGATCTTACAGACTTGATCGATGATACTGAATATATCATCAAGCTCATTGGCTTCAGACGAGGAAAGCCTTCCAAGCCACTGGTGGCTCAAGTTAAAACAGGTACATCTTCATATGTTGTAATATATTTTCTTCATTTCCTAAACAGTCCATACATTTTGAAAGAGTATGTATTATCCTTACAATAACTTTCATTTACTTTGCAGAGCCTGAACCAAAATCAACTCCTTTACCCACGGCAGTCATCGATGAGGCCATTACACCAACCGTTGTTGAGTTGCCTGGAACTACCACACACGAACCTTCAAAGGAGGTTTCGGTATCATCTGTGTCTGGGGTTCCAACTGATTCTGCCAATGAACTTGTGATATCTGACATCACGTCTGAGAGCATGAAGGTGTCGTGGGTGGTAGATCCAAATGTCTTTGAGCGCTTTGTTGTGCAATACAAGCCTGCTGACAGTTCTGAGAAACCACTCGAAAAAACATTGCCTGGCAAAGTTTCTACAGTTGATCTTACAGACTTGATCGATGATACTGAATATATCATCAAGCTCATTGGTTTCAGACGAGGAAAGCCTTCCAAGCCACTGGTGGCTCAAGTTAAAACAGGTACATCTTCGTATGTTTTCATACTTTTTTCTTCGTTACTTCAATATTCCACACGTTTTAAAAGAGTATGTGGGATGCTTACAATTACTTTAATTTACTTTGCAGAGCCCAAACCAAAATCAACTCCTTTACCCACGGCAGTCATCGATGAGGCCATTACACCAACCGTTTTTGAGTTCCCTGGAGCTACCACACACGAACCTTCAAAGGAGGTGTCAGTAACATCTGTGTCTGGGGTTCCAACTGATTCCGCCAATGAACTTGTCATTTCTGACATCACGTCTGAGAGCATGAAGGTGTCGTGGGAGGTAGATCCAAATGTCTTTGAGCGCTTTGTTGTGCAATACAAGCCTGCTGACAGTTCTGAGAAACCACTTGAAAAAACATTACCTGGCAAAGTTTCTACAGTTGATCTTACAGACTTGATCGATGATACTGAATATATCATCAAGCTAATTGGTTTCAGACGAGGAAAGCCTTCCAAACCACTGGTGGCTCAAGTTAAAACAGGTACATCTTCATATGTTTTCATATATTTTCTTCATTACCTAAACAGTCCATACATTTTGAAAGAGTATGTATTATCCTTACAATTACTTTCATTTACTTTGCAGAGCCCAAACCAAAATCAACTCCTTTACCCACGGCAGTCATCGGTGAGGCCAGTACACCAACCGTTTTTGAGTTCCCTGGAACTACCACACACGAACCTTCAAAGGAGGTTTCAGTAACATCTGTGTCTGGGGTTCCAACTGATTCTGCCAATGAACTTGTGATATCTGACATCACGTCTGAGAGCATGAAGGTGTCGTGGGTGGTAGATCCAAATGGCTTTGAGCGCTTTGTTGTGCAATACAAGCCTGCTGACAGTTCTGAGAAACCACTTGAAAAAACATTGCCTGGCAAAGTTTCTACAGTTGATCTTACAGACTTGATCGATGATACGGAATATATCATCAAGCTCATTGGTTTCAGACGAGGAAAGCCTTCCAAGCCACTGGTGGCTCAAGTTAAAACAGGTACATCTTCATATGTTGTAATATATTTTCTTCATTACCTAAACAGTCCATACATTTTGAAAGAGTATGTATTATCCTTACAATTACTTTCATTTACTTTGCAGAGACTGAACCAAAATCAACTCCTTTACCCACGGCAGTCATCTATGAGGCCATTACACCAACCGTTGTTGAGTTGCCTGAAACTACCACACACGAACCTTCAAAGCAGGTGTCAGTAACTTCTGTGTCTGGAGTTCCAACTGATTCTGCCAATGAACTTGTGATATCTGACATCACGTCTGAGAGCATGAAGGTGTCGTGGGAGGTAGATCCAAATGTCTTTGAGCACTTTGTTGTGCAATACAAGCCTGCTGACAGTTCTGATAAACCACTCGAAAATAAATTGCCTGGCAAAGTTTCCACAGTTGATCTTACAGACTTGATCGATGATACTGAATATATCATCAAGCTCATTGGTTACAGGCGAGGAAAGTCTTCCAAGCCACTGGTGGCTCAAGTTAAAACAGGTACATCTTCATATGTTTTAATATGTTTTCTTAATGACCTAAACAGTCCGAATATTTGACTGAGTATGTATTATCCTTACAATTACTTTAATTTACTTTGCAGAGCCCAAACCAAAATCAACTCCTTTACCCACGGCAGTCATCGATGAGGCCATTACACCAACCGTTTTTGAGTTCCCTGGAGCTACCACACACGAACCTTCAAAGGAGGTGTCAGTAACATCTGTGTCTGGGGTTCCAACTGATTCCGCCAATGAACTTGTCATTTCTGACATCACGTCTGAGAGCATGAAGGTGTCGTGGGTTGTAGATCCAAAAGTCTTTGAGCGATTCATTGTGCAATGCAAACCCATTGACAGCCAAGATAAACCATTAGAAAAGACATTGCCTGGACACATTTCTACAGTTGATTTTACAGCCCTGATCGATGACACTGAATATATCATCAAGCTCATTGGTTACAGGCGAGGAAAGCCTTCCAATCCACTGGTGGCTCAAGTTAAAACAGGTACATCTTCATATGTTTTAATATATTTTCTTCGTTACTTCAACATTCCACACGTTTTAAAAGAGTATGTGGGATGCTTACAATTACTTTCATTTTCTTTGCAGAGCCCAAACCAAAATCAACTCCTTTACCCACGGCAGTCATCGATGAGGCCAGTACACCAACCGTTTTTGAGTTCCCTGGAACTACCACACACGAACCTTCAAAGGAGGTTTCAGTAACATCTGTGTCTGGGGTTCCAACTGATTCCGCCAATGAACTTGTGATATCTCACATCACGTCTGAGAGCATGAAGGTGTCGTGGGTGGTAGATCCAAATGTCTTTGAGCGCTTTGTTGTGCAATACAAGCCTGCTGACAGTTCTGATAAACCACTTGAAAAAACATTACCTGGCAAAGTTTCTACAGTTGATCTTACAGACTTGATCGATGATACTGAATATATCATCAAGCTCATTGGTTTCAGACGAGGAAAGCCTTCCAAGCCACTGGTGGCTCAAGTTAAAACAGGTACATCTTCGTATGTGTTCATATATTTTCTTCGTTACTTCAACATTCCACACGTTTTAAAAGAGTATGTGGGATGCTTACAATTACTTTAATTTACTTTGCAGAGCCCAAACCAAAATCAACTCCTTTACCCACGGCAGTCATCGATGAGGCCATTACACCAACCGTTTTTGAGTTCCCTGGAGCTACCACACACGAACCTTCAAAGGAGGTGTCAGTAACATCTGTGTCTGGGGTTCCAACTGATTCCGCCAATGAACTTGTCATTTCTGACATCACGTCTGAGAGCATGAAGGTGTCGTGGGTGGTAGATCCAAATGTCTTTGAGCGCTTTGTTGTGCAATACAAGCCTGCTGACAGTTCTGATAAACCACTTGAAAAAACATTACCTGGCAAAGTTTCTACAGTTGATCTTACAGACTTGATCGATGATACTGAATATATCATCAAGCTCATTGGTTTCAGACGAGGAAAGCCTTCCAAGCCACTGGTGGCTCAAGTTAAAACAGGTACATGTTCGTATGTTTTCATACTTTTTTCTTCGTTACTTCAACATTCCACACGTTTTAAAAGAGTATGTGGGATGCTTATAATTACTTTAATTTACTTTGCAGAGCCCAAACCAAAATCAACTCCTTTACCCACGGCAGTCATCGATGAGGCCAGTACACCAACCGTTGTTGAGTTGCCTGAAACTACCACACACGAACCTTCAAAGGAGGTGTCAGTAACTTCTGTGTCTGGGGTTCCAACTGATTCTGCCAATGAACTTGTGATATCTGACATCACGTCTGAGAGCATGAAGGTGTCGTGGGAGGTAGATGCAAATGTCTTTGAGCACTTTGTTGTGCAATACAAGCCTGCTGACAGTTCTGATAAACCACTCGAAAATAAATTGCCTGGCAAAGTTTCCACAGTTGATCTTACAGACTTGATCGATGATACTGAATATGTCATCAAGCTCATTGGTTTCAGACGAGGAAAGCCTTCCAAGCCACTGGTGGCTCAAGTTAAAACAGGTACATCTTCATATGTTTTAATATGTTTTCTTAATGACCTAAACAGTCCGAATATTTGACTGAGTATGTATTATCCTTACAATTACTTTAATTTACTTTGCAGAGCCCAAACCAAAATCAACTCCTTTACCCACGGCAGTCATCGATGAGGCCATTACACCAACCGTTTTTGAGTTCCCTGGAGCTACCACACACGAACCTTCAAAGGAGGTGTCAGTAACATCTGTGTCTGGGGTTCCAACTGATTCCGCCAATGAACTTGTCATTTCTGACATCACGTCTGAGAGCATGAAGGTGTCGTGGGTGGTAGATCCAAAAGTCTTTGAGCGATTCATTGTGCAATGCAAACCCATTGACAGCCAAGATAAACCATTAGAAAAGACATTGCCTGGACACATTTCTACAGTTGATTTTACAGCCCTGATCGATGACACTGAATATATCATCAAGCTCATTGGTTACAGGCGAGGAAAGCCTTCCAAGCCACTGGTGGCTCAAGTTAAAACAGGTACATCTTCATATGTTTTAATATATTTTCTTCGTTACTTCAACATTCCACACGTTTTAAAAGAGTATGTGGGATGCTTACAATTACTTTCATTTTCTTTGCAGAGCCCAAACCAAAATCAACTCCTTTACCCACGGCAGTCATCGATGAGGCCAGTACACCAACCGTTTTTGAGTTCCCTGGAACTACCACACACGAACCTTCAAAGGAGGTTTCGGTAACATCTGTGTCTGGGGTTCCAACTGATTCCGCCAATGAACTTGTGATATCTGGCATCACGTCTGAGAGCATGAAGGTGTCGTGGGTGGTAGATCCAAATGTCTTTGAGCGCTTTGTTGTGCAATACAAGCCTGCTGACAGTTCTGATAAACCACTTGAAAAAACATTACCTGGCAAAGTTTCTACAGTTGATCTTACAGACTTGATCGATGATACTGAATATATCATCAAGCTCATTGGTTTCAGACGAGGAAAGCCTTCCAAGCCACTGGTGGCTCAAGTTAAAACAGGTACATCTTCATACGTTGTAATATATTTTCTTCATTACCTAAACAGTCCATACATTTTGAAAGAGTATGTATTATCCTTACAATGACTTTCATTTACTTGGCAGTGCCTGAACCAAAATCAACTCCTTTACCCACGGCAGTCATCTATGAGGCCATTACACCAACCGTTGTTGAGTTGCCTGAAACTACCACACACGAACCTTCAAAGGAGGTGTCAGTAACTTCTGTGTCTGGGGTTCCAACTGATTCTGCCAATGAACTTGTGATATCTGACATCACGTCTGAGAGCATGAAGGTGTCGTGGGTGGTAGATCCAAATGTCTTTGAGCGCTTTGTTGTGCAATGCAAACCCATTGACAGCCAAGACAAACCATTAGAAAAGACATTGCCTGGACACATTTCTACAGTTAATTTTACAGCCCTGATCGATGACACTGAATATATCATCAAGCTCATTGGTTACAGGCGAGGAAAGCCTTCTAAGCCACTGGTTGCTCAAGTTAAAACAGGTACATCTTCATATGTTTTAATATATTTTCTTCGTTACTTCAACATTCCACACGTTTTAAAAGAGTAGGTGGGATGCTTACAATTACTTTCATTTTCTTTGCAGAGGCCAAACCAGAATCAACTCCTTTACCCACGGCAGTCATCGATGAGGCCAGTACACCAACCGTTTTTGAGTTCCCTGGAACTACCACACACGAACCTTCAAAGGAGGTTTCGGTAACATCTGTGTCTGGAGTTCCAACTGATTCCGCCAATGAACTTGTGATATCTGACATCACGTATGAGAGCATGAAGGTGTCGTGGGTGGTAGATCCAAAGGTCTTTGAGCACTTTGTTGTGCAATACAAGCCTGCTGACAGTTCTGATAAACCACTCGAAAAAACATTGCCTGGCAAAGTTTCTACAGTTGATCTTACAGACTTGATCGATGATACTGAATATATCATCAAGCTCATTGGTTACAGGCGAGGAAAGCCTTCCAAGCCACTGGTGGCTCAAGTTAAAACAGGTACATCTTCATACGTTGTAATATATTTTCTTCATTACCTAAACAGTCCATACATTTTGAAAGAGCATGTATTATCCTTACAATTACTTTCATTTACTTGGCAGAGCCTGAACCAAAATCAACTCCTTTACCCACGGCAGTCATCCATGAGGCCATTACACCAACCGTTGTTGAGTTGCCTGAAACTACCACACACGAACCTTCAAAAGAGGTGTCAGTAACTTCTGTGTCTGGGGTTCCAACTGATTCTGCCAATGAACTTGTGATATCTGACATCACGTCTGAGAGCATGAAGGTGTCGTGGGAGGTAGATCCAAATGTCTTTGAGCGCTTTGTTGTGCAATACAAGCCTGCTGACAGTTCTGAGAAACCACTTGAAAAATCATTGCCTGGCAAAGTTTCTACAGTTGATCTTACAGACTTGATCGATGATACTGAATATATCATCAAGCTCATTGGTTTCAGACGAGGAAAGCCTTCCAAGCCACTGGTGGCTCAAGTTAAAACAGGTACATCTTCGTATGTTTTCATACTTTTTTCTACGTTACTTCAACATTCCACACATTTTAAAAGAGTATGTGGGATGCTTACAATTACTTTAATTTACTTTGCAGAGCCCAAACCAAAATCAACTCCTTTACCCACGGCAGTCATCGATGAGGCCATTACACCAACCGTTTTTGAGTTCCATGGAGCTACCACACAAGAACCTTCAAAGGAGGTGTCAGTAACATCTGTGTCTGGGGTTCCAACTGATTCCGCCAATGAACTTGTCATTTCTGACATCACGTCTGAGAGCATGAAGGTGTCGTGGGTGGTAGATCCAAAAGTCTTTGAGCGATTCATTGTGCAATGCAAACCCATTGACAGCCAAGACAAACCATTAGAAAAGACATTGCCTGGACACATTTCTACAGTTGATTTTACAGCCCTGATCGATGACACTGAATATATCATCAAGCTCATTGGTTACAGGCGAGGAAAGCCTTCCAAGCCACTGGTGGCTCAAGTTAAAACAGGTACATCTTCATATGTTTTAATATATTTTCTTCGTTACTTCAACATTCCACACGTTTTAAAAGAGTATGTGGGATGTTTACAATTACTTTCATTTTCTTTGCAGAGCCCAAACCAAAATCAACTCCTTTACCCACGGCAGTCATCGGTGAGGCCAGTACACCAACCGTTTTTGAGTTCCCTGGAACTACCACACACGAACCTTCAAAGGAGGTTTCAGTAACATCTGTGTCTGGGGTTCCAACTGATTCTGCCAATGAACTTGTGATATCTGACATCACGTCTGAGAGCATGAAGGTGTCGTGGGTCGTAGATCCAAATGTCTTTGAGCGCTTTGTTGTGCAATACAAGCCTGCTGACAGTTCTGATAAACCACTTGAAAAAACATTACCTGGCAAAGTTTCTACAGTTGATCTTACAGACTTGATCGATGATACTGAATATATCATCAAGCTCATTGGTTTCAGACGAGGAAAGCCTTCCAAGCCACTGGTGGCTCAAGTTAAAACAGGTACATCTTCATATGTTTTCATATATTTTCTTCATGACCTAAACAGTCCATATATTTGACAGAGTATGTATTATCCTTACAATTACTTTCATTTACTTTGCAGAGCCCAAACCAAAATCAACTCCTTTACCCACGGCAGTCATCGGTGAGGCCAGTACACCAACCGTTTTTGAGTTCCCTGGAACTACCACACACGAACCTTCAAAGGAGGTTTCAGTAACATCTGTGTCTGGGGTTCCAACTGATTCCGCCAATGAACTTGTGATATCTGACATCACGTCTGAGAGCATGAAGGTGTCGTGGGTCGTAGATCCAAATGTCTTTGAGCGCTTTGTTGTGCAATACAAGCCTGCTGACAGTTCTGAGAAACCACTTGAAAAAACATTGCCTGGCAAAGTTTCTACAGTTAATCTTACAGACTTGATCGATGATACTGAATATATCGTCAAGCTCATTGGTTTCAGACGAGGAAAGCCTTCCAAGCCACTGGTGGCTCAAGTTAAAACAGGTACATCTTCATATGTTGTAATATATTTTCTTCATTACCTAAACAGTCCATACATTTTGAAAGAGTATGTATTATCCTTACAATTACTTTCATTTACTTTGCAGAGCCTGAACCAAAATCAACTCCTTTACCCACGGCAGTCATCTATGAGGCCATTACACCAACCGTTGTTGAGTTGCCTGAAACTACCACACACGAACCTTCAAAGGAGGTGTCAGTAACTTCTGTGTCTGGAGTTCCAACTGATTCTGCCAATGAACTTGTGATATCTGACATCACGTCTGAGAGCATGAAGGTGTCGTGGGAGGTAGATCCAAATGTTTTTGAGCACTTTGTTGTGCAATACAAGCCTGCTGACAGTTCTGATAAACCACTCGAAAAAACATTGCCTGGCAAAGTTTCTACAGTTGATCTTACAGACTTGATCGATGATACTGAATATATCATCAAGCTCATTGGTTACAGACGAGGAAAGCCTTCCAAGCCACTGGTGGCTCAAGTTAAAACAGGTACATCTTCGTATGTTTTCATATTTTTTTCTTCGTTACTTCAACATTCCACACATTTTCAAAGAGTATGTGGGATGCTTACAATTACTTTCATTTTCTTTGCAGATCCCAAACCAAAATCAACTCCTTTACCCACGGCAGTCATCGATGAGGCCAGTACACCAACCGTTTTTGAGTTCCCTGGAACTACCACACACGAACCTTCAAAGGAGGTTTCAGTAACTTCTGTGTCTGGTGTTCCAACTGATTCCGCCAATGTACTTGTGATATCTGACATCACGTGTGAGAGCATGAAGGTGTCGTGGGAGGTAGATCCAAATGTCTTTGAGCGCTTTGTTGTGCAATACAAGCCTGCTGACAGTTCTGATAAACCACTTGAAAAAACATTGCCTGGCAAAGTTTCTACAGTTGATCTTACAGACTTGATCGATGACACTGAATATATCATCAAGCTCATTGGTTTCAGACGAGGAAAGGCTTCCAAGCCACTGGTGGCTCAAGTTAAAACAGGTACATCTTAATATGTTTTAATATATTTTCTTCATGACCTAAACATTCCATATATTTGATAAAGGATATTATTATCCTTACAATTACTTTCATTTACTTTGCAGAGCACAAACCAAAATCAACTCCTTTACCCACGGCAGTCATCGATGAGGCCATTACACCAACAGTTGTTGAGTTACCTGAAACTACCACACACGAACCTTCAAAGGAGGTGTCGGTAACATCTGTGTCTGGGGTTCCAACTGATTCCGCCAATGAACTTGTGATATCTGACATCACGTCTGAGAGCATGAAGGTGTCGTGGGTTGTAGATCCAAAAGTCTTTGAGCGATTCATTGTGCAATGCAAGCCCATTGACAGCCAAGAGAAACCATTAGAAAAAACCTTGCCTGGACACATTTCCACAGTTGATTTTACAGCCCTGATCGATGACACTGAATATATTATTAGGCTCATTGGTTACAGGCGAGGAAAGCCTTCCAAGCCACTGGTTGCTCAAGTTAAGACAGGTACATCTTTACATATTTCAACCTTGTTATCATTATTTGAACATACTACATATTTTAATAAGAACATGTAATATTTGCAATCGTTTTAAGTTACCTTCTAGAGCCAACCGTTGTTGAATCACCTATTCCTGCCTGTTATAAATTATTGTTTTACTGAAGTAGCTTACGTCTATATTTAATCTTTAAAATTAATCAATTTCATTAACATTAATGTTGACACCACTTTTAACTGATTTAGTTACAATCCACCTACAAGCATAAAAGGTTTTAACAGACATGAAAACGGTTTACATCTTGTTCCCATGTGGCCAGGTATAGTAAGTTTAACTTATTTTGTATTTCAGGTTTTTCATAAAATTTTTGTATTTATTTTCACTGAACGATTCAAAATATTTATATGTTATATTTTTTCGCAGGTAAAATATTTCTTACAACGACAGAGGCAGCTGAAATGGCAGAGACACAGACCATCGTTGAATCAACTGATTCGACCACGCATCTGTTTCCAGAGGAAATGTCTGGGACTTCAGCACCTGGCATTCAATTTGATTCATTATATAAGCTAATCATATCTGATGTTGCACCTGATAGACTCAGAGTTTCATGGGTGGTGCATCCAAGTGTTTTTGATTATTTCCTCATAAAAGTTGAGTCTCTGGACAATTCAACAGAACCATATGAACATATGTTTCCTGGACATATCACGACAATTTACCTCACAGATCTGAGAGAAAACACAGAGTATATAATTCAGTTCTCCGGGTCCAGAAATGGAATTCTTTCGAAACCAATAAAAGCAACGGTTATTACAGGTGATAGACCAATTGCACAAGGCAATATATTGAACATTTATTTCGTCACAATTATATAACATTTATGTTCATTTTCCAGTGCTGTATTGTGCATATGAATTAATTAAGTTTGTTTTGCAGCTTTAGGGATATCTACAGAACTGCTTGTCAAAACATCAGAAATACCAAGTGTCATTGAAGTACCTGAAGGCACGACACGTGCTCTTCCAATAGGCATTTCAGTTACCTCAGAGTCTGGGGTTCCAATCGATTCTGCCAATGCTCTTCTCATAACCGACATCACACCCGATAGCATGAAAGTGTCATGGGTGGTAGATCCGAACGTCTTTGACCGCTTTCTTGTGAGATACAAGCCTACTGACAGCTCTGAAACCCCATTAGAAACGTTTCTTGCTGGCCATATCACCTCAATAGATATTTCAGGGTTGACTGAAAACACTGAATATGAAGTCACTCTCTTAGGTTCAAGACTGAAGAAATACTCAAAGCCACTGAAAACAAAGGTTATAACAGGTGATCTTCTTACCTGTACTTTAAATGTATCTTCGGCATTATTTTCTGGAACAAAACAACAATTCCGTTCACGTGCTCCAAAGCTGTATTCTCTTGTTACCAAATCTAAATAGATAGACATATTTTTAGACACGTCTTAATACCTTTGGGTGACAAATAGCACGTGTAATTGCATTCGTCGTAAGAAAGTTACTTTTTCTCATGCAGTTTTTTTCTGAATTGTAATTTCAGTCTTAAATGCAGATAATCTACTAAATTATCTAGCCATACATAACAATGTAATATTTGTATCTACTCAAACATCGTTAACTATTTTACCCCGTTTTAAATGCCTATAGTATAAAAAAAAATCATCAATAAGCTTGCAATTTTATTATAATGGTATAATATACATACAACATTCTGGAATTATTTTTTTTGTTTTTGCAGAGCACAAATTGTTGGCAACTGTAACCACCACGGTGTTAGATAAAGGAACAAAAACGCCAACCATCATTGAAACAAGTGGAACTACTATTCACCTACCATCAAGGAATATATCAGTGGCGTCAGTGTCTGGGGTTCCAATTGATTCTGCGGATGAACTTGTCATTTCTGACATCACGCCCATGAGCTTTAAAGTGTCATGGGTGGTAGACCCTGCAATCTTTGATCATTTTGTTTTGGAAGTCCAATCAAAGGATATTTATCTGAAACCATTTAAAGAAACCTTTCCTGGAGATGTCATATCTGTGGCGTTGACAGGCTTAAGAGGAAATACAGAGTATGTTGTTATTCTCATTGGCTCGAGAAAAGGAATATTTTCAAAACCACTGGAAGTTAAAGTTACCACAGGTAAATTATTTCGTTTTCAAATTATGAGTGCATTCATATTTTCAAATTTTATGAAGAAAAATGTGTTCACTAAACGTATAAAATATGAGTATTGTAATCTATTTTCAGATCTGCAAATGGCGATAGCCTCTGAAAAAACATTTGAAGATACACAAAAACCAACTGTAGCAGCTTATGAAATGTCTAGTTCTACAATGCAACTGCCACCAATGAACATTTCGGTCACATCCGTTTTTGGAGTCCCAATTGATTCTGCCAATGAATTAATTATATATGACATCACATCCTACAGCATTAAAGTGCTATGGGTGGTAGATCCAACATTTTTTGACTATTTCCTTGTACAATGCAAGCCGGCTGAGGAGAATAAATTAACATTAGAAAAGATGGTGCCTGGTAATGAATCGACAGTTGAATTCATGAACTTGGAAGACAACACTCAATATATATTACAACTTATTGGTTCCAAAGGAGGAACTGTTTCTAACCCATTAATTGCTACATTTATCACAGGTACTATGTTCTCCCACAAACTATTCCCATTACTAGAATATAACATTTACATTGAATGTTATGTTACCATTGACATTTGCAAAATGTATGAACGTCAAATCAATACTTAAGTCAATTCAAAGGTAACCAAAATAATGTGTATGCTAAATTGTAAAATAATCAAAGGATATATTTTATGCTGCTTTTCTAACATGACCATTTTTAGAAGAGCGGCAAATTTTCAGAGCATTTCCAAAAAATGAAAGTTTAATTTTAAAATATATTTTTCTCAGAATACTTTGGCTATATCTGTAATAGTGCAATCAATATTACAGTTCCTTAAATGAAAATTACTTAATTAAAGTTATTTTAATCACTGAAACTATAATTTGTTCACGTACTTACTTTGTTCACAGATTCGAAAATCGTAACACCCACAAAATTGCATGAGAAAAGCTGTGAAGAAACTGGTACAACCACTGAATTGCCTCAAAAGAAAATTGTGGTGACATCACTATCTGGGGTTCCAATTGATTCTGCAGATGAGCTGATCATATCTGACATCTCGCCCGATAGCTTCAAAGTTTCATGGGTAGTAGACCCTGAAGTCTTTGATGAGTTTATTTTGGAAGTTGAATCTCCAGACTCTACGATTATTCCTCTAAAGGAAACTGTTCCAAGACGTGTTACATCCGTTGTGCTTACAGCTTTGAAAGAAAACACAGATTATGTTGTGAGACTTATTGGCTCCATGAAAGGAAAGTTATCTAAGCCACTGACAGCTAAAGTGACCACAGGTACTGTACTGTTATCTCTCTCTGGTTTGATTGATTGAATGTTTTGTGCTCGTGAGGGATTATGTTCAAAACTAAAAAGTCAAATTTTTTATGAATTACTTTCACTCTATTTACAGATTCCAAAATCATTATAACTGTAACGCCTACAAAATTGTATGATGAAACATCGAGTTTGCCATATGAAGTAGCTGGCACAACCACTCAAGTGCCTACAAAGGAGGTCTTGGTGACATCAGTGTCTGGAGTTCCAACTGATTCTGCGGAAGAACTTGTAATTTCTGACATCACTACCAATAGCATGCAAGTGTCATGGGTGGTAGATCCAAAAGTCTTTGACCGCTTCATTGTGCAATACAAGCCCACTGACAGCCCTGAAAACCCATTGGAGAAAACTTTACCTGGTCATCTATCAACAGTTGATCTTACAGAATTGACTGAAAATACAGAATACACCATCATGTTGATTGGCTATAGGTGGAAAAAACCCTCTAAGCCACTGGTTGCTCAGGTTACGACAGGTAAATTTACACAATCTTTTCTAATGAATTAAGTAAACATTGTACTGAAAACACATTTTGTTATCAAACACAATCAGGTTCAATTAGGAGAAACTCGCGTTTGCTTTCTAACCATTAATTTCCAATGTTTCTTTTCCAGAGTCCAAAATTGTACCAACTATTGTTCCCACACTATTTGTTGAAGGAACAGGAACACCAACAATTGTTGAAACACCATTACCTACCACACGCTTACCTAGAAAGGAGGTTTCAGTGACATCAGTGTCTGGAGTTCCAACTGATTCTGCAGATGAACTGGTCATATCTGACATCAAGCCCGATAGCTTTAAAGTTTCATGGGTAGTAGACCCTGAAGTGTTTGATGAGTTTGTTTTGGAAGTTGAATCTCCAGACTCCACAATTATTCCTCTAAAGGAAACTGTTCCTGGAGATATTACATCCGTTGACCTCACAGATTTGAAAGAAAATACGGAATATGTTGTAAGGCTTATTGGCTCCAGAAAAGGAAAGTTGTCCAGGCCCCTGACAGCTAAAGTTACCACAGGTACTGTCCTGTCATTTCTCTGTGGCTTGATTGGCTGAATGTTTTGTGCTCACGGGGGGTTCTGTTCAATAGTACATTTGAAGCTCAATCTCCATTTTTTTATTAATTAATTTCACTTTATTCACAGATTTCAAAATCACTACAACTGTAACGCCTACAAAATTATATTACGAAACATCGAGCTTGCCATATGAAGTAGCTGGCACAACCACTCAAGTGCCTACAAAGGAGGTCGTGGTGACATCAGTGTCTGGAGTTCCAACTGATTCTGCCGATGAACTTGTAATTTCTGACATCACTACCAATAGCATGCAAGTGTCATGGGTGGTAGATCCAAAAGTCTTTGACCACTTCATTGTGCAATACAAGCCCACTGACAGCCCTGAAAAAGCATTGGAGAAAACTTTACCTGGTCATCTATCAACAGTTGACCTTACAGAATTGACTGAAAATACAGAATACACAGTCAAATTGATTGGATACAGAAAGAAAAAGCCCTCTAAGCCACTGGTTGCTCAGGTTACGACAGGTACATTTACACAACTTTTACACTGAACTAAGCAAACATTGTATTGAATACACATTTTGTTTTCATACATAATCAGGTTTTATTACGGGATGCTGGCGTTTGCTTTCTAACCATTAATTTCCAATGTTTCTTTTCCAGAGTTCAAAATTGTACCAACTATTGTACCCACACTATTTGTTGAAGGAACAGGAACACCAACAATTGTTGAAACACCATTACCTACCACACGCTTACCTCCAAAGGAGGTTTCAGTGACATCAGTGTCTGGAGTTCCAACTGATTCTGCAGAGAAGCTGGTCATATCTGACATCACGCCCGATAGCTTTAAAGTTTCATGGGTAGTAGACCCTGAAGACTTTGATGAGTTTATTTTGGAAGTTGAATCACCAGACTCTACAATTATTCCTCTAAAGGAAACTCTTCCTGGAGATATTATATCCGTTGACCTCACAGATTTGAAAGAAAATACGGAATATGTTGTAAGGCTTATTGGCTCCAGAAAAGGAAAGTTTTCCAGGCCCCTGACAGCTAAAGTTACCACAGGTACGGTGCTGTTATTTCTCTGTGGCTTGATTGGCTGAATGTTTGTGCTGACGGGGGGTTCTGTTCAATACCACATATGAAGCTCAAGCTCCATTTTTTATTAATTAATTTCACTTTATTCACAGATTTCAAAATCATTACAACTGTAACGCCTACAAAATTATATGACGAAACATCGAGTTTGCCATATGAAGTAGCTGCCACAACCACTCAAGTGCCTACAAAGGAGGTCTTGGTGACATCAGTGTCTGGAGTTCCAACTGATTCTGCCGATGAACTTGTAATTTCTGACATCACTACCAATAGCATGATAGTGTCATGGGTGGTAGATCCAAAAGCCTTTGACCGCTTCATTGTACAATACAAGCCGACTGACAGCCCTGAAAACCCATTGGAGAAAACTTTACCTGGTCATCTATCAACAGTTGATCTTACAGAATTGACTGAAAATACAGAATACACCATCATGTTGATTGGCTATAGGTGGAAAAAACCCTCTAAGCCACTGGTTGCGCAGGTTACGACAGGTACATTTACACAATCTTTTACACTGAATTAAGCAAACATTGTACTGAAAACACATTTTGTTTTCAAACAAAATCAGGTTCAATTAGGAGAAACTCGCGTTTGCTTTCTAACCATTAATTTCCAATGTTTCTTTTCCAGAGTCCAAAATTGTACCAACTATTGTTCCCACACTATTTGTTGAAGGAACAGGAACACCAACAATTGTTGAAACACCATTACCTACCACACGCTTACCTCCAAAGGAGGTCTTGGTGACATCAGTGTCTGGAGTTCCAACTGATTCTGCCGATGAACTTGTCATTTCCGACATCACTACCAATAGCATGAAAGTGTCATGGGTGGTCGATCCAAAAGTCTTTGACCGCTTCATTGTGCAATACAAGCCCACTGACAGCCCTGAAAAAGCATTGGAGAAAACTTTACCTGGTCATCTATCAACAGTTGATCTTACAGAATTGACTGAAAATGCAGAATACACAGTCAAATTGACTGGCTACAGAAAGAAAAAGCCCTCTAAGCCACTGGTAGCTCAGGTTACGACAGGTACATGTACACAACTTTTACACTGAATTAAGCAAACATTGTATTGAATACACATTTTTTTTCATACATAATCAGGTTTTCTTACGGGATGCTGCCGTTTGCTTTCTAACCATTAATTTCCAATGTTTCTTTTCCAGAGTCCAAAATTGAACCAACTATTGTTCCAACACTATTTGTTGAAGGAACAGGAACACCAACAATTGTTGAAACACCATTACCTACCACACGCTTACCTAGAAAGGAGGTTTCAGTGACATCAGTGTCTGGAGTTCCAACTGATTCTGCAGATGAACTGGTCATATCTGACATCAAGCCCGATAGCTTTAAAGTTTCATGGGTAGTAGACCCTGAAGTGTTTGATGAGTTTGTTTTGGAAGTTGAATCTCCAGACTCTACAATTATTCCTCTAAAGGAAACTGTTCCTGGAGATATTACATCCGTTGACCTCACAGATTTGAAAGAAAATACGGAATATGTTGTAAGGCTTATTGGCTCCAGAAAAGGAAAGTTGTCCAGGCCCCTGACAGCTAAAGTTACCACAGGTACTGTCCTGTCATTTCTCTGTGGCTTGATTGGCTGAATGTTTTGTGCTCACGGGGGGTTCTGTTCAATAGTACATTTGAAGCTCAATCTCCATTTTTTTATTAATTAATTTCACTTTATTCACAGATTTCAAAATCACTACAACTGTAACGCCTACAAAATTATATTACGAAACATCGAGCTTGCCATATGAAGAAGCTGGCACAACCACTCAAGTGCCTACAAAGGAGGTCGTGGTGACATCAGTGTCTGGAGTTCCAACTGATTCTGCCGATGAACTTGTAATTTCTGACATCACTACCAATAGCATGCAAGTGTCATGGGTGGTAGATCCAAAAGTCTTTGACCACTTCATTGTGCAATACAAGCCCACTGACAGCCCTGAAAAAGCATTGGAGAAAACTTTACCTGGTCATCTATCAACAGTTGACCTTACAGAATTGACTGAAAATACAGAATACACAGTCAAATTGATTGGATACAGAAAGAAAAAGCCCTCTAAGCCACTGGTTGCTCAGGTTACGACAGGTACATTTACACAACTTTTACACTGAATTAAGCAAACATTGTATTGAATACACATTTTGTTTTCATACATAATCAGGTTTTATTACGGGATGCTGGCGTTTGCTTTCTAACCATTAATTTCCAATGTTTCTTTTCCAGAGTCCAAAATTGTACCAACTATTGTTCCCACACTATTTGTTGAAGGAACACCAACAATTGTGGAAACACCATTACCTACCACACGCTTACCTCCAAAGGAGGTTTCAGTGACATCAGTCTCTGGAGTTCCAACTGATTCTGCAGATGAACTGGTCATATCTGACATCAAGCCCGATAGCTTTAAAGTTTCATGGATAGTAGACCCTGAAGTCTTTGATGAGTTTGTTTTGGAAGTAGAATCTCCAGACTCTACAATTATTCCTCTAAAGGAAACTGTTCCTGGAGATATTACGTCCGTTGACCTCACAGATTTGAAAGAAAATACGGAATATGTTGTAAGGCTCATTGGCTCCAGAAAAGGAAAGTTGTCCAGGCCCCTGACAGCTAAAGTTACTACAGGTACTGTCCTGTTACTTCTCTGTGGCTTGATTGGCTGAATGGTTTGTGCTCACGGGGGGTTCTGTTCAATAGCACATTTGAAGCTCAATCTCCATTTTTTTATTCATTAATTTCACTTTATTCACAGATTTCAAAATCCCTACAACTGTAACGCCTACAAAATTATATGATGATACATCGAGCTTTCCATATGAAGTAGCTGGCACAACCACTCAAGTGCCTACAAAGGAGGTCGTGGTGACATCAGTGTCTGGAGTTCCAACTGATTCTGCCGATGAACTTGTAATTTCTGACATCACTACCAATAGCATGCAAGTTTCATGGGTGGTAGATCCAAAAGTCTTTGACCGCTTCATTGTGCAATACAAGCCCACTGACAGCCCTGAAAAAGCATTGGAGAAAACTTTACCTGGTCATCTATCAACAGTTGATCTTACAGAATTGACTGAAAATACAGAATACACAGTCAAATTGATTGGATACAGAAAGAAAAAGCCCTCAAAGCCACTGGTTGCTCAGGTTACGACAGGTACATTTACACAACTTTTGCACTGAATTAAGCAAACATTGTATTGAATACACATTTTGTTTTCATACATAATCAGGATTTCTTACGGGATGCTGGCGTTTGCTTTCTAACCATTAATTTCCAATGTTTCTTTTCCAGAGTCCAAAATTGTACCAACTATTGTTCCCACACTATTTGTTGAAGGAACAGGAACACCAACAATTGTTGAAACACCATTACCTACCACACGCTTACCTCCAAAGGAGGTTTCAGTGACATCAGTCTCTGGAGTTCCAACTGATTCTGCAGATGAACTGGTCATATCTGACATCAAGCCCGATAGCTTTAAAGTTTCATGGATAGTAGACCCTGACGTCTTTGATGAGTTTGTTTTGGAAGTAGAATCTCCAGACTCTACAATTATTCCTCTAAAGGAAACTGTTCCTGGAGATATTACGTCCGTTGACCTCACAGATTTGAAAGAAAATACAGAATATGTTGTAAGGCTTATTGGCTCCAGAAAAGGAAAGTTGTCCAGGCCCTTGACAGCTAAAGTTACCACAGGTACTGTCCTGTTACTTCTCTGTGGCTTGATTGGCTGAATGTTTTGTGCTCACGGGGGGTTCTGTTCAATAGCACATTTGAAGCTCAATCTCCATTTTTTTATTCATTAATTTCACTTTATTCACAGATTTCAAAATCCCTACAACTGTAACGCCTACAAAATTATATGATGATACATCGAGCTTTCCATATGAAGTAGCTGGCACAACCACTCAAGTGCCTACAAAGGAGGTCGTGGTTACATCAGTGTCTGGAGTTCCAACTGATTCTGCCGATGAACTTGTAATTTCTGACATCACTACCAATAGCATGCAAGTGTCATGGGTGGTAGATCCAAAAGTCTTTGACCGCTTCATTGTGCAATACAAGCCCACTGACAGCCCTGAAAAAGCATTGGAGAAAACTTTACCTGGTCATCTATCAACAGTTGATCTTACAGAATTGACTGAAAATACAGAATACACGGTCAAATTGATTGGATACAGAAAGAAAAAGCCCTCAAAGCCACTGGTTGCTCAGGTTATGACAGGTACATTTACACAACTTTTGCACTGAATTAAGCAAACATTGTATTGAATACACATTTTGTTTTCATACATAATCAGGTTTTCTTACGGTATGCTGGCGTTTGCTTTCTAACCATTAATTTCCAATGTTTCTTTTCCAGAGTCCAAAATTGTACCAACTATTGTTCCCACACTATTTGTTGAAGGAACAGGAACACCAACAATTGTTGAAACACCATTACCTACCACACGCTTACCTCCAAAGGAGGTTTCAGTGACATCAGTCTCTGGAGTTCCAACTGATTCTGCAGATGAACTGGTCATATCTGACATCAAGCCCGATAGCTTTAAAGTTTCATGGATAGTAGACCCTGAGGTCTTTGATGAATTTGTTTTGGAAGTAGAATCTCCAGACTCTACAATTATTCCTCTAAAGGAAACTGTTCCTGGAGATATTACGTCCGTTGACCTCACAGATTTGAAAGAAAATACGGAATATGTTGTAAGGCTTATTGGCTCCAGGAAAGGAAAGTTGTCCAGGCCCCTGACAGCTAAAGTTACCACAGGTACTGTCCTGTTACTTCTCTGTGGCTTGATTGGCTGAATGTTTTGTGCTCAGGAGGGGTTCTGTTCAATAGCACATTTGAAGCTCAATCTCCATTTTTTTATTTATTAATTTCACTTTATTCACAGATTTCAAAATCCCTACAACTGTAACGCCTACAAAATTGTATGACGAAACATCGAGCTTGCCATATGAAGTAGCTGGCACAACCACTCAAGTGCCTACAAAGGAGGTCTTGGTGACATCAGTGTCTGGAGTTCCAACTGATTCTGCGGAAGAACTTGTTATTTCCGACATCACTACCAATAGCATGCAAGTGTCATGGGTGGTAGATCCAAAAGTCTTTGACCGCTTCATTGTGCAATACAAGTCCACTGACAGCCCTGAAAAAGCATTGGAGAAAACTTTACCTGGTCATCTATCAACAGTTGATCTTACAGAATTGACTGAAAATACAGAATACACGGTCAAATTGATTGGATACAGAAAGAAAAAGCCCTCAAAGCCACTGGTTGCTCAGGTTACGACAGGTACATTTACACAACTTTTGCACTGAATTAAGCAAACATTGTATTGAATACACATTTTGTTTTCATACATAATCAGGTTTTCTTACGGGATGCTGGCGTTTGCTTTCTAACCATTAATTTCCAATGTTTCTTTTCCAGAGTCCAAAATTGTACCAACTATTGTTCCCACACTATTTGTTGAAGGAACACCAACAATTGTTGAAACACCATTACCTACCACACGCTTACCTCCAAAGGAGGTTTCAGTGACATCAGTCTCTGGAGTTCCAACTGATTCTGCAGATGAACTGGTCATATCTGACATCAAGCCCGATAGCTTTAAAGTTTCATGGATAGTTGACCCTGAAGTCTTTGATGAGTTTGTTTTGGAAGTAGAATCTCCAGACTCTACAATTATTCCTCTAAAGGAAACTGTTCCTGGAGATATTACGTCCGTTGACCTCACAGATTTGAAAGAAAATACGGAATATGTTGTAAGGCTTATTGGCTCCAGAAAAGGAAAGTTGTCCAGGCCCCTGACAGCTAAAGTTACCACAGGTACTGTCCTGTTACTTCTCTGTGGCTTGATTGGCTGAATGTTTTGTGCTCAGGGGGGGTTCTGTTCAATAGCACATTTCAAGCTCAATCTCCATTTTTTTATTCATTAATTTCACTTTATTCACAGATTTCAAAATCCCTGCAACTGTAACGCCTACAAAATTGTATGACGAAACATCGAGCTTGCCATATGAAGTAGCTGGCACAACCACTCAAGTGCCTACAAAGGAGGTCTTGGTGACATCAGTGTCTGGAGTTCCAACTGATTCTGCGGAAGAACTTGTTATTTCCGACATCACTACCAATAGCATGCAAGTGTCATGGGTGGTAGATCCAAAAGTCTTTGACCGCTTCATTGTGCAATACAAGCCCACTGACAGCCCTGAAAAAGCATTGGAGAAAACTTTACCTGGTCATCTATCAACAGTTGATCTTACAGAATTGACTGAAAATACAGAATACACGGTCAAATTGATTGGATACAGAAAGAAAAAGCCCTCAAAGCCACTGGTTGCTCAGGTTACGACAGGTACATTTACACAACTTTTGCACTGAATTAAGCAAACATTGTATTGAATACACATTTTGTTTTCATACATAATCAGGTTTTCTTACGGTATGCTGGCGTTTGCTTTCTAACCATTAATTTCCAATGTTTCTTTTCCAGAGTCCAAAATTGTACCAACTATTGTTCCCACACTATTTGTTGAAGGAACAGGAACACCAACAATTGTTGAAACACCATTACCTACCACACGCTTACCTCCAAAGGAGGTTTCAGTGACATCAGTCTCTGGAGTTCCAACTGATTCTGCAGATGAACTGGTCATATCTGACATCAAGCCCGATAGCTTTAAAGTTTCATGGATAGTAGACCCTGAAGTCTTTGATGAATTTGTTTTGGAAGTAGAATCTCCAGACTCTACAATTATTCCTCTAAAGGAAACTGTTCCTGGAGATATTACGTCCGTTGACCTCACTGATTTGAAAGAAAATACGGAATATGTTGTAAGGCTTATTGGCTCCAGAAAAGGAAAGATGTCCAGGCCCCTGACAGCTAAAGTTACCACAGGTACTGTCCTGTTACTTCTCTGTGGCTTGATTGGCTGAATGTTTTGTGCTCAGGGGGGGTTCTGTTCAATAGCACATTTCAAGCTCAATCTCCATTTTTTTATTCATTAATTTCACTTTATTCACAGATTTCAAAATCCCTACAACTGTAACGCCTACAAAATTGTATGACGAAACATCGAGCTTGCCATATGAAGTAGCTGGCACAACCACTCAAGTGCCTACAAAGGAGGTCTTGGTGACATCAGTGTCTGGAGTTCCAACTGATTCTGCGGAAGAACTTGTTATTTCCGACATCACTACCAATAGCATGCAAGTGTCATGGGTGGTAGATCCAAAAGTCTTTGACCGCTTCATTGTGCAATACAAGTCCACTGACAGCCCTGAAAAAGCATTGGAGAAAACTTTACCTGGTCATCTATCAACAGTTGATCTTACAGAATTGACTGAAAATACAGAATACACGGTCAAATTGATTGGATACAGAAAGAAAAAGCCCTCAAAGCCACTGGTTGCTCAGGTTACGACAGGTACATTTACACAACTTTTGCACTGAATTAAGCAAACATTGTATTGAATACACATTTTGTTTTCATACATAATCAGGTTTTCTTACGGGATGCTGGCGTTTGCTTTCTAACCATTAATTTCCAATGTTTCTTTTCCAGAGTCCAAAATTGTACCAACTATTGTTCCCACACTATTTGTTGAAGGAACACCAACAATTGTTGAAACACCATTACCTACCACACGCTTACCTCCAAAGGAGGTTTCAGTGACATCAGTCTCTGGAGTTCCAACTGATTCTGCAGATGAACTGGTCATATCTGACATCAAGCCCGATAGCTTTAAAGTTTCATGGATAGTAGACCCTGAAGTCTTTGATGAGTTTGTTTTGGAAGTAGAATCTCCAGACTCTACAATTATTCCTCTAAAGGAAACTGTTCCTGGAGATATTACGTCCGTTGACCTCACAGATTTGAAAGAAAATACGGAATATGTTGTAAGGCTTATTGGCTCCAGAAAAGGAAAGTTGTCCAGGCCCCTGACAGCTAAAGTTACCACAGGTACTGTCCTGTTACTTCTCTGTGGCTTGATTGGCTGAATGTTTTGTGCTCAGGGGGGGTTCTGTTCAATAGCACATTTCAAGCTCAATCTCCATTTTTTTATTCATTAATTTCACTTTATTCACAGATTTTAAAATCCCTACAACTGTAACGCCTACAAAATTGTATGACGAAACATCGAGCTTGCCATATGAAGTAGCTGGCACAACCACTCAAGTGCCTACAAAGGAGGTCTTGGTGACATCAGTGTCTGGAGTTCCAACTGATTCTGCAGAAGAACTTGTTATTTCCGACATCACTACCAATAGCATGCAAGTGTCATGGGTGGTAGATCCAAAAGTCTTTGACCGCTTCATTGTGCAATACAAGCCCACTGACAGCCCTGAAAAAGCATTGGAGAAAACTTTACCTGGTCATCTATCAACAGTTGATCTTACAGAATTGACTGAAAATACAGAATACACGGTCAAATTGATTGGATACAGAAAGAAAAAGCCCTCAAAGCCACTGGTTGCTCAGGTTACGACAGGTACATTTACACAACTTTTGCACTGAATTAAGCAAACATTGTATTGAATACACATTTTGTTTTCATACATAATCAGGTTTTCTTACGGGATGCTGGCGTTTGCTTTCTAACCATTAATTTCCCATGTTTCTTTTCCAGAGTCCAAAATTGTACCAACTATTGTTCCCACACTATTTGTTGAAGGAACAGGAACACCAACAATTGTTGAAACACCATTACCTACCACACGCTTACCTCCAAAGGAGGTTTCAGTGACATCAGTCTCTGGAGTTCCAACTGATTCTGCAGATGAACTGGTCATATCTGACATCAAGCCCGATAGCTTTAAAGTTTCATGGATAGTAGACCCTGAAGTCTTTGATGAGTTTGTTTTGGAAGTAGAATCTCCAGACTCTACAATTATTCCTCTAAAGGAAACTGTTCCTGGAGATATTACATCCGTTGACCTCACAGATTTGAAAGAAAATACGGAATATGTTGTAAGGCTTATTGGCTCCAGAAAAGGAAAGTTGTCCAGGCCCCTGACAGCTAAAGTTACCACAGGTACTGTCCTGTTACTTCTCTGTGGCTTGATTGGCTGAATGTTTTGTGCTCAGGGGGGGTTCTGTTCAATAGCACATTTCAAGCTCAATCTCCATTTTTTTATTCATTAATTTCACTTTATTCACAGATTTCAAAATCCCTACAACTGTAACGCCTACAAAATTGTATGACGAAACATCGAGCTTGCCATATGAAGTAGCTGGCACAACCACTCAAGTGCCTACAAAGGAGGTCTTGGTGACATCAGTGTCTGGAGTTCCAACTGATTCTGCAGAAGAACTTGTTATTTCCGACATCACTACCAATAGCATGCAAGTGTCATGGGTGGTAGATCCAAAAGTCTTTGACCGCTTCATTGTGCAATACAAGCCCACTGACAGCCCTGAAAAAGCATTGGAGAAAACTTTACCTGGTCATCTATCAACAGTTGATCTTACAGAATTGACTGAAAATACAGAATACACGGTCAAATTGATTGGATACAGAAAGAAAAAGCCCTCAAAGCCACTGGTTGCTCAGGTTACGACAGGTACATTTACACAACTTTTGCGCTGAATTAAGCAAACATTGTATTGAATACACATTTTGTTTTCATACATAATCAGGTTTTCTTACGGGATGCTGGCGTTTGCTTTCTAACCATTAATTTCCAATGTTTCTTTTCCAGAGTCCAAAATTGTACCAACTATTGTTCCCACACTATTTGTTGAAGGAACAGGAACACCAACAATTGTTGAAACACCATTACCTACCACACGCTTACCTCCAAAGGAGGTTTCAGTGACATCAGTCTCTGGAGTTCCAACTGATTCTGCAGATGAACTGGTCATATCTGACATCAAGCCCGATAGCTTTAAAGTTTCATGGATAGTAGACCCTGAAGTCTTTGATGAATTTGTTTTGGAAGTAGAATCTCCAGACTCTACAATTATTCCTCTAAAGGAAACTGTTCCTGGAGATATTACGTCCGTTGACCTCACAGATTTGAAAGAAAATACGGAATATGTTGTAAGGCTTATTGGCTCCAGAAAAGGAAAGTTGTCCAGGCCCCTGACAGCTAAAGTTACCACAGGTACTGTCCTGTTACTTCTCTGTGGCTTGATTGGCTGAATGTTTTGTGCTCAGGGGGGGTTCTGTTCAATAGCACATTTCAAGCTCAATCTCCATTTTTTTATTCATTAATTTCACTTTATTCACAGATTTCAAAATCCCTACAACTGTAACGCCTACAAAATTGTATGACGAAACATCGAGCTTGCCATATGAAGTAGCTGGCACAACCACTCAAGTGCCTACAAAGGAGGTCTTGGTGACATCAGTGTCTGGAGTTCCAACTGATTCTGCGGAAGAACTTGTTATTTCCGACATCACTACCAATAGCATGCAAGTGTCATGGGTGGTAGATCCAAAAGTCTTTGACCGCTTCATTGTGCAATACAAGTCCACTGACAGCCCTGAAAAAGCATTGGAGAAAACTTTACCTGGTCATCTATCAACAGTTGATCTTACAGAATTGACTGAAAATACAGAATACACGGTCAAATTGATTGGATACAGAAAGAAAAAGCCCTCAAAGCCACTGGTTGCTCAGGTTACGACAGGTACATTTACACAACTTTTGCACTGAATTAAGCAAACATTGTATTGAATACACATTTTGTTTTCATACATAATCAGGTTTTCTTACGGGATGCTGGCGTTTGCTTTCTAACCATTAATTTCCAATGTTTCTTTTCCAGAGTCCAAAATTGTACCAACTATTGTTCCCACACTATTTGTTGAAGGAACAGGAACACCAACAATTGTTGAAACACCATTACCTACCACACGCTTACCTCCAAAGGAGGTTTCAGTGACATCAGTCTCTGGAGTTTCAACTGATTCTGCAGATGAACTGGTCATATCTGACATCAAGCCCGATAGCTTTAAAGTTTCATGGATAGTAGACCCTGAAGTCTTTGATGAGTTTGTTTTGGAAGTAGAATCTCCAGACTCTACAATTATTCCTCTAAAGGAAACTGTTCCTGGAGATATTACATCCGTTGACCTCACAGATTTGAAAGAAAATACGGAATATGTTGTAAGGCTTATTGGCTCCAGAAAAGGAAAGTTGTCCAGGCCCCTGACAGCTAAAGTTACCACAGGTACTGTCCTGTTACTTCTCTGTGGCTTGATTGGCTGAATGTTTTGTGCTCAGGGGGGGTTCTGTTCAATAGCACATTTCAAGCTCAATCTCCATTTTTTTATTCATTAATTTCACTTTATTCACAGATTTCAAAATCCCTACAACTGTAACGCCTACAAAATTGTATGACGAAACATCGAGCTTGCCATATGAAGTAGCTGGCACAACCACTCAAGTGCCTACAAAGGAGGTCTTGGTGACATCAGTGTCTGGAGTTCCAACTGATTCTGCAGAAGAACTTGTTATTTCCGACATCACTACCAATAGCATGCAAGTGTCATGGGTGGTAGATCCAAAAGTCTTTGACCGCTTCATTGTGCAATACAAGCCCACTGACAGCCCTGAAAAAGCATTGGAGAAAACTTTACCTGGTCATCTATCAACAGTTGATCTTACAGAATTGACTGAAAATACAGAATACACGGTCAAATTGATTGGATACAGAAAGAAAAAGCCCTCAAAGCCACTGGTTGCTCAGGTTACGACAGGTACATTTACACAACTTTTGCGCTGAATTAAGCAAACATTGTATTGAATACACATTTTGTTTTCATACATAATCAGGTTTTCTTACGGGATGCTGGCGTTTGCTTTCTAACCATTAATTTCCAATGTTTCTTTTCCAGAGTCCAAAATTGTACCAACTATTGTTCCCACACTATTTGTTGAAGGAACAGGAACACCAACAATTGTTGAAACACCATTACCTACCACACGCTTACCTCCAAAGGAGGTTTCAGTGACATCAGTCTCTGGAGTTCCAACTGATTCTGCAGATGAACTGGTCATATCTGACATCAAGCCCGATAGCTTTAAAGTTTCATGGATAGTAGACCCTGAAGTCATTGATGAATTTGTTTTGGAAGTAGAATCTCCAGACTCTACAATTATTCCTCTAAAGGAAACTGTTCCTGGAGATATTACGTCCGTTGACCTCACAGATTTGAAAGAAAATACGGAATATGTTGTAAGGCTTATTGGCTCCAGAAAAGGAAAGTTGTCCAGGCCCCTGACAGCTAAAGTTACCACAGGTACTGTCCTGTTACTTCTCTGTGGCTTGATTGGCTGAATGTTTTGTGCTCAGGGGGGGTTCTGTTCAATAGCACATTTCAAGCTCAATCTCCATTTTTTTATTCATTAATTTCACTTTATTCACAGATTTCAAAATCCCTACAACTGTAACGCCTACAAAATTGTATGACGAAACATCGAGCTTGCCATATGAAGTAGCTGGCACAACCACTCAAGTGCCTACAAAGGAGGTCTTGGTGACATCAGTGTCTGGAGTTCCAACTGATTCTGCGGAAGAACTTGTTATTTCCGACATCACTACCAATAGCATGCAAGTGTCATGGGTGGTAGATCCAAAAGTCTTTGACCGCTTCATTGTGCAATACAAGTCCACTGACAGCCCTGAAAAAGCATTGGAGAAAACTTTACCTGGTCATCTATCAACAGTTGATCTTACAGAATTGACTGAAAATACAGAATACACGGTCAAATTGATTGGATACAGAAAGAAAAAGCCCTCAAAGCCACTGGTTGCTCAGGTTACGACAGGTACATTTACACAACTTTTGCACTGAATTAAGCAAACATTGTATTGAATACACATTTTGTTTTCATACATAATCAGGTTTTCTTACGGGATGCTGGCGTTTGCTTTCTAACCATTAATTTCCAATGTTTCTTTTCCAGAGTCCAAAATTGTACCAACTATTGTTCCCACACTATTTGTTGAAGGAACAGGAACACCAACAATTGTTGAAACACCATTACCTACCACACGCTTACCTCCAAAGGAGGTTTCAGTGACATCATTCTCTGGAGTTCCAACTGATTCTGCAGATGAACTGGTCATATCTGACATCAAGCCTGATAGCTTTAAAGTTTCATGGATAGTAGACCCTGACGTCTTTGATGAGTTTGTTTTGGAAGTAGAATCTCCAGACTCTACAATTATTCCTCTAAAGGAAACTGTTCCTGGAGATATTACGTCCGTTGACCTCACAGATTTGAAAGAAAATACAGAATATGTTTTAAGGCTTATTGGCTCCAGAAAAGGAAAGTTGTCCAGGCCCTTGACAGCTAAAGTTACCACAGGTACTGTCCTGTTACTTCTCTGTGGCTTGATTGGCTGAATGTTTTGTGCTCACGGGGGGTTCTGTTCAATAGCACATTTGAAGCTCAATCTCCATTTTTTTATTCATTAATTTCACTTTATTCACAGATTTCAAAATCCCTACAACTGTAACGCCTACAAAATTGTATGCCGAAACATCGAGCTTGCCATATGAAGTAGCTGGCACAACCACTCACGTGCCTACAAAGGAGGTCTTGGTGACATCAGTGTCTGGAGTTCCAACTGATTCTGCGGAAGAACTTGTTATTTCCGACATCACTACCAATAGCATGCAAGTGTCATGGGTGGTAGATCCAAAAGTCTTTGACCGCTTCATTGTGCAATACAAGCCCACTGACAGCCCTGAAAAAGCATTGGAGAAAACTTTACCTGGTCATCTATCAACAGTTGATCTTACAGAATTGACTGAAAATACAGAATACACGGTCAAATTGATTGGATACAGAAAGAAAAAGCCCTCAAAGCCACTGGTTGCTCAGGTTACGACAGGTACATTTACACAACTTTTGCGCTGAATTAAGCAAACATTGTATTGAATACACATTTTGTTTTCATACATAATCAGGTTTTCTTACGGGATGCTGGCGTTTGCTTTCTAACCATTAATTTCCAATGTTTCTTTTCCAGAGTCCAAAATTGTACCAACTATTGTTCCCACACTATTTGTTGAAGGAACAGGAACACCAACAATTGTTGAAACACCATTACCTACCACACGCTTACCTCCAAAGGAGGTTTCAGTGACATCAGTCTCTGGAGTTCCAACTGATTCTGCAGATGAACTGGTCATATCTGACATCAAGCCCGATAGCTTTAAAGTTTCATGGATAGTAGACCCTGAAGTCTTTGATGAATTTGTTTTGGAAGTAGAATCTCCAGACTCTACAATTATTCCTCTCAAGGAAACTGTTCCTGGAGATATTACGTCCGTTGACCTCACAGATTTGAAAGAAAATACGGAATATGTTGTAAGGCTTATTGGCTCCAGAAAAGGAAAGTTGTCCAGGCCCCTGACAGCTAAAGTTACCACAGGTACTGTCCTGTTACTTCTCTGTGGCTTGATTGGCTGAATGTTTTGTGCTCAAGGGGGGTTCTGTTCAATAGCACATTTCAAGCTCAATCTCCATTTTTTTATTCATTAATTTCACTTTATTCACAGATTTCAAAATCCCTACAACTGTAACGCCTACAAAATTGTATGACGAAACATCGAGCTTGCCATATGAAGTAGCTGGCACAACCACTCAAGTGCCTACAAAGGAGGTCTTGGTGACATCAGTGTCTGGAGTTCCAACTGATTCTGCGGAAGAACTTGTTATTTCCGACATCACTACCAATAGCATGCAAGTGTCATGGGTGGTAGATCCAAAAGTCTTTGACCGCTTCATTGTGCAATACAAGTCCACTGACAGCCCTGAAAAAGCATTGGAGAAAACTTTACCTGGTCATCTTTCAACAGTTGATCTTACAGAATTGACTGAAAATACAGAATACACGGTCAAATTGATTGGATACAGAAAGAAAAAGCCCTCAAAGCCACTGGTTGCTCAGGTTACGACAGGTACATTTACACAACTTTTGCACTGAATTAAGCAAACATTGTATTGAATACACATTTTGTTTTCATACATAATCAGGTTTTCTTACGGGATGCTGGCGTTTGCTTTCTAACCATTAATTTCCAATGTTTCTTTTCCAGAGTCCAAAATTGTACCAACTATTGTTCCCACACTATTTGTTGAAGGAACACCAACAATTGTGGAAACACCATTACCTACCACACGCTTACCTCCAAAGGAGGTTTCAGTGACATCAGTCTCTGGAGTTCCAACTGATTCTGCAGATGAACTGGTCATATCTGACATCAAGCCCGATAGCTTTAAAGTTTCATGGATAGTAGACCCTGAAGTCTTTGATGAGTTTGTTTTGGAAGTAGAATCTCCAGACTCTACAATTATTCCTCTAAAGGAAACTGTTCCTGGAGATATTACGTCCGTTGACCTCACAGATTTGAAAGAAAATACGGAATATGTTGTAAGGCTTATTGGCTCCAGAAAAGGAAAGTTGTCCAGGCCCCTGACAGCTAAAGTTACCACAGGTACTGTCCTGTTACTTCTCTGTGGCTTGATTGGCTGAATGTTTTGTGCTCAGGGGGGGTTCTGTTCAATAGCACATTTGAAGCTCAATCTCCATTTTTTTATTCATTAATTTCACTTTATTCACAGATTTCAAAATCCCTACAACTGTAACGCCTACAAAATTGTATGACGAAACATCGAGCTTGCCATATGAAGTAGCTGGCACAACCACTCACGTGCCTACAAAGGAGGTCTTGGTGACATCAGTGTCTGGAGTTCCAACTGATTCTGCGGAAGAACTTGTTATTTCCGACATCACTACCAATAGCATGCAAATGTCATGGGTGGTAGATCCAAAAGTCTTTGACCGCTTCATTGTGCAATACAAGCCCACTGACAGCCCTGAAAAAGCATTGGAGAAAACTTTACCTGGTCATCTATCAACAGTTGATCTTACAGAATTGACTGAAAATACAGAATACACGGTCAAATTGATTGGATACAGAAAGAAAAAGCCCTCAAAGCCACTGGTTGCTCAGGTTATGACAGGTACATTTACACAACTTTTGCACTGAATTAAGCAAACATTGTATTGAATACACATTTTGTTTTCATACATAATCAGGTTTTCTTACGGTATGCTGGCGTTTGCTTTCTAACCATTAATTTCCAATGTTTCTTTTCCAGAGTCCAAAATTGTACCAACTATTGTTCCCACACTATTTGTTGAAGGAACAGGAACACCAACAATTGTTGAAACACCATTACCTACCACACGCTTACCTCCAAAGGAGGTTTCAGTGACATCAGTCTCTGGAGTTCCAACTGATTCTGCAGATGAACTGGTCATATCTGACATCAAGCCTGATAGCTTTAAAGTTTCATGGATAGTAGACCCTGACGTCTTTGATGAGTTTGTTTTGGAAGTAGAATCTCCAGACTCTACAATTATTCCTCTAAAGGAAACTGTTCCTGGAGATATTACGTCCGTTGACCTCACAGATTTGAAAGAAAATACAGAATATGTTGTAAGGCTTATTGGCTCCAGAAAAGGAAAGTTGTCCAGGCCCTTGACAGCTAAAGTTACCACAGGTACTGTCCTGTTACTTCTCTGTGGCTTGATTGGCTGAATGTTTTGTGCTCACGGGGGGTTCTGTTCAATAGCACATTTGAAGCTCAATCTCCATTTTTTTATTCATTAATTTCACTTTATTCACAGATTTCAAAATCCCTACAACTGTAACGCCTACAAAATTGTATGACGAAACATCGAGCTTGCCATATGAAGTAGCTGGCACAACCACTCACGTGCCTACAAAGGAGGTCTTGGTGACATCAGTGTCTGGAGTTCCAACTGATTCTGCGGAAGAACTTGTTATTTCCGACATCACTACCAATAGCATGCAAGTGTCATGGGTGGTAGATCCAAAAGTCTTTGACCGCTTCATTGTGCAATACAAGCCCACTGACAGCCCTGAAAAAGCATTGGAGAAAACTTTACCTGGTCATCTATCAACAGTTGATCTTACAGAATTGACTGAAAATACAGAATACACGGTCAAATTGATTGGATACAGAAAGAAAAAGCCCTCAAAGCCACTGGTTGCTCAGGTTACGACAGGTACATTTACACAACTTTTGCGCTGAATTAAGCAAACATTGTATTGAATACACATTTTGTTTTCATACATAATCAGGTTTTCTTACGGGATGCTGGCGTTTGCTTTCTAACCATTAATTTCCAATGTTTCTTTTCCAGAGTCCAAAATTGTACCAACTATTGTTCCCACACTATTTGTTGAAGGAACAGGAACACCAACAATTGTTGAAACACCATTACCTACCACACGCTTACCTCCAAAGGAGGTTTCAGTGACATCAGTCTCTGGAGTTCCAACTGATTCTGCAGATGAACTGGTCATATCTGACATCAAGCCCGATAGCTTTAAAGTTTCATGGATAGTAGACCCTGAAGTCTTTGATGAGTTTGTTTTGGAAGTAGAATCTCCAGACTCTACAATTATTCCTCTAAAGGAAACTGTTCCTGGAGATATTACGTCCGTTGACCTCACAGATTTGAAAGAAAATACGGAATATGTTGTAAGGCTTATTGGCTCCAGAAAAGGAAAGTTGTCCAGGCCCCTGACAGCTAAAGTTACCACAGGTACTGTCCTGTTACTTCTCTGTGGCTTGATTGGCTGAATGTTTTGTGCTCAGGGGGGGTTCTGTTCAATAGCACATTTCAAGCTCAATCTCCATTTTTTTATTCATTAATTTCACTTTATTCACAGATTTCAAAATCCCTACAACTGTAACGCCTACAAAATTGTATGACGAAACATCGAGCTTGCCATATGAAGTAGCTGGCACAACCACTCAAGTGCCTACAAAGGAGGTCTTGGTGACATCAGTGTCTGGAGTTCCAACTGATTCTGCGGAAGAACTTGTTATTTCCGACATCACTACCAATAGCATGCAAGTGTCATGGGTGGTAGATCCAAAAGTCTTTGACCGCTTCATTGTGCAATACAAGCCCACTGACAGTCCTGAAAAAGCATTGGAGAAAACTTTACCTGGTCATCTATCAACAGTTGATCTTACAGAATTGACTGAAAATACAGAATACACGGTCAAATTGATTGGATACAGAAAGAAAAAGCCCTCAAAGCCACTGGTTGCTCAGGTTACGACAGGTACATTTACACAACTTTTGCACTGAATTAAGCAAACATTGTATTGAATACACATTTTGTTTTCATACATAATCAGGTTTTCTTACGGGATGCTGGCGTTTGCTTTCTAACCATTAATTTCCAATGTTTCTTTTCCAGAGTCCAAAATTGTACCAACTATTGTTCCCACACTATTTGTTGAAGGAACAGGAACACCAACAATTGTTGAAACACCATTACCTACCACACGCTTACCTCCAAAGGAGGTTTCAGTGACATCAGTCTCTGGAGTTCCAACTGATTCTGCAGATGAACTGGTCATATCTGACATCAAGCCCGATAGCTTTAAAGTTTCATGGATAGTAGACCCTGAAGTCTTTGATGAGTTTGTTTTGGAAGTAGAATCTCCAGACTCTACAATTATTCCTCTAAAGGAAACTGTTCCTGGAGATATTACGTCCGTTGACCTCACAGATTTGAAAGAAAATACGGAATATGTTGTAAGGCTTATTGGCTCCAGAAAAGGAAAGTTGTCCAGGCCCCTGACAGCTAAAGTTACCACAGGTACTGTCCTGTTACTTCTCTGTGGCTTGATTGGCTGAATGTTTTGTGCTCACGGGGGGTTCTGTTCAATAGCACATTTGAAGCTCAATCTCCATTTTTTTATTCATTAATTTCACTTTATTCACAGATTTCAAAATCCCTACAACTGTAACGCCTACAAAATTATATGATGATACATCGAGCTTGCCATATGAAGTAGCTGGCACAACCACTCAAGTGCCTACAAAGGAGGTCTTGGTGACATCAGTGTCTGGAGTTCCAACTGATTCCGCGGAAGAACTTGTCATATCCGACATCAGTACCAATAGCATGATAGTGTCATGGGTGGTCGATCCAAAAGTCTTTGACCGCTTCATTGTGCAATACAAGCCCACTGACAGCCCTGAAAAAGCATTGGAGAAATCTTTACCTGGTCATCTATCAACAGTTGATCTTACGGAATTGACTGAAAATACAGAATACACAGTCAAATTGACTGGCTACAGAAAGAAAAAGCCCTCTAAGCCACTGGTTGCTCAGGTTACGACAGGTATATTTACACAACTTTTGCACTGAATTAAGCAAACATTGTATTGAATACACATTTTGTTTTCATACATAATCAGGTTTTCTTACGGGATGCTGGCGTTTATTTTCTAACCATTAATTTCCAATGTTTCTTTTCCAGAGTTCAAAATTGCATCAACTATTGTTCCCACACTATTTGTTGAAGGAACACCAACAATTGTTGAAACACCATTACCTACCACACGCTTACCTCCAAAGGAGGTTTCAGTGACATCAGTGTTTGGTGTTCCAACTGATTCTGCAGATAAGCTGGTCATATCTGACATCAAGCCCGATAGCTTTAAAGTTTCATGGGTAGTAGACCCTGAAGTCTTTGATGAATTTGTTTTGGAAGTTGAATCTCCAGACTCTACAATTATTCCTCTAAAGGAAACTGTTCCTGGAGATATTACATCCGTTGACCTCACTGATTTGAAAGAAAATACGGAATATGTTGTAAGGCTTATTGGCTCCAGAAAGGGAAAGTTGTCCAATTCCCTAACAGCTAAAGTTATCACAGGTACTGTACTGTTATCTCTATGTGGCTAGATTGGATGAATGGTTTTTGCTGACGGCGGGTTCTATTCAATAGCACAATTGAAACTCAAGCTCCGTTTTTTGTTATTAACTAATTTAACTTCTTTCACAGATTCTAAAATCATAACTGTAACGCCTACAAAATTGTATGACGAAACATCGAGCTTGCCATATGAAGTAGCTGGCACAACCACTCAAGTGCCTACAAAGGAGGTCTCGGTGACATCAGTGTCTGGAGTTCCAACTGATTCTGCCGATGAACTTGTAATTTCTGACATCACTACCAATAGCATGCAAGTGTCATGGGTGGTAGATCCAAAAGTCTTTGACCGCTTCATTGTGCAATACAAGCCCACTGACAGCCCTGAAAAAGCATTGGAGAAAACTTTACCTGGTCATCTATCAACAGTTGATCTTACAGAATTGACTGAAAATACAGAATACACGGTCAAATTGATTGGATACAGAAAGAAAAAGCCCTCAAAGCCACTGGTTGCTCAGGTTACGACAGGTACATTTACACAACTTTTGCGCTGAATTAAGCAAACATTGTATTGAATACACATTTTGTTTTCATACATAATCAGGTTTTCTTACGGGATGCTGGCGTTTGCTTTCTAACCATTAATTTCCAATGTTTCTTTTCCAGAGTCCAAAATTGTACCAACTATTGTTCCCACACTATTTGTTGAAGGAACAGGAACACCAACAATTGTTGAAACACCATTACCTACCACACGCTTACCTCCAAAGGAGGTTTCAGTGACATCAGTCTCTGGAGTTCCAACTGATTCTGCAGATGAACTGGTCATATCTGACATCAAGCCCGATAGCTTTAAAGTTTCATGGATAGTAGACCCTGAAGTCTTTGATGAGTTTGTTTTGGAAGTAGAATCTCCAGACTCTACAATTATTCCTCTAAAGGAAACTGTTCCTGGAGATATTACGTCCGTTGACCTCACAGATTTGAAAGAAAATACGGAATATGTTGTAAGGCTTATTGGCTCCAGAAAAGGAAAGTTGTCCAGGCCCCTGACAGCTAAAGTTACCACAGGTACTGTCCTGTTACTTCTCTGTGGCTTGATTGGCTGAATGTTTTGTGCTCAGGGGGGGTTCTGTTCAATAGCACATTTCAAGCTCAATCTCCATTTTTTTATTCATTAATTTCACTTTATTCACAGATTTCAAAATCCCTACAACTGTAACGCCTACAAAATTGTATGACGAAACATCGAGCTTGCCATATGAAGTAGCTGGCACAACCACTCAAGTGCCTACAAAGGAGGTCTTGGTGACATCAGTGTCTGGAGTTCCAACTGATTCTGCGGAAGAACTTGTTATTTCCGACATCACTACCAATAGCATGCAAGTGTCATGGGTGGTAGATCCAAAAGTCTTTGACCGCTTCATTGTGCAATACAAGCCCACTGACAGTCCTGAAAAAGCATTGGAGAAAACTTTACCTGGTCATCTATCAACAGTTGATCTTACAGAATTGACTGAAAATACAGAATACACGGTCAAATTGATTGGATACAGAAAGAAAAAGCCCTCAAAGCCACTGGTTGCTCAGGTTACGACAGGTACATTTACACAACTTTTGCACTGAATTAAGCAAACATTGTATTGAATACACATTTTGTTTTCATACATAATCAGGTTTTCTTACGGGATGCTGGCGTTTGCTTTCTAACCATTAATTTCCAATGTTTCTTTTCCAGAGTCCAAAATTGTACCAACTATTGTTCCCACACTATTTGTTGAAGGAACAGGAACACCAACAATTGTTGAAACACCATTACCTACCACACGCTTACCTCCAAAGGAGGTTTCAGTGACATCAGTCTCTGGAGTTCCAACTGATTCTGCAGATGAACTGGTCATATCTGACATCAAGCCCGATAGCTTTAAAGTTTCATGGATAGTAGACCCTGAAGTCTTTGATGAGTTTGTTTTGGAAGTAGAATCTCCAGACTCTACAATTATTCCTCTAAAGGAAACTGTTCCTGGAGATATTACGTCCGTTGACCTCACAGATTTGAAAGAAAATACGGAATATGTTGTAAGGCTTATTGGCTCCAGAAAAGGAAAGTTGTCCAGGCCCCTGACAGCTAAAGTTACCACAGGTACTGCCCTGTTACTTCTCTGTGGCTTGATTGGCTGAATGTTTTGTGCTCACGGGGGGTTCTGTTCAATAGCACATTTGAAGCTCAATCTCCATTTTTTTATTCATTAATTTCACTTTATTCACAGATTTCAAAATCCCTACAACTGTAACGCCTACAAAATTATATGATGATACATCGAGCTTGCCATATGAAGTAGCTGGCACAACCACTCAAGTGCCTACAAAGGAGGTCTTGGTGACATCAGTGTCTGGAGTTCCAACTGATTCCGCGGAAGAACTTGTCATATCCGACATCAGTACCAATAGCATGATAGTGTCATGGGTGGTCGATCCAAAAGTCTTTGACCGCTTCATTGTGCAATACAAGCCCACTGACAGCCCTGAAAAAGCATTGGAGAAATCTTTACCTGGTCATCTATCAACAGTTGATCTTACGGAATTGACTGAAAATACAGAATACACAGTCAAATTGACTGGCTACAGAAAGAAAAAGCCCTCTAAGCCACTGGTTGCTCAGGTTACGACAGGTATATTTACACAACTTTTGCACTGAATTAAGCAAACATTGTATTGAATACACATTTTGTTTTCATACATAATCAGGTTTTCTTACGGGATGCTGGCGTTTATTTTCTAACCATTAATTTCCAATGTTTCTTTTCCAGAGTTCAAAATTGCATCAACTATTGTTCCCACACTATTTGTTGAAGGAACACCAACAATTGTTGAAACACCATTACCTACCACACGCTTACCTCCAAAGGAGGTTTCAGTGACATCAGTGTTTGGTGTTCCAACTGATTCTGCAGATAAGCTGGTCATATCTGACATCAAGCCCGATAGCTTTAAAGTTTCATGGGTAGTAGACCCTGAAGTCTTTGATGAATTTGTTTTGGAAGTTGAATCTCCAGACTCTACAATTATTCCTCTAAAGGAAACTGTTCCTGGAGATATTACATCCGTTGACCTCACTGATTTGAAAGAAAATACGGAATATGTTGTAAGGCTTATTGGCTCCAGAAAGGGAAAGTTGTCCAATTCCCTAACAGCTAAAGTTATCACAGGTACTGTACTGTTATCTCTATGTGGCTAGATTGGATGAATGGTTTTTGCTGACGGCGGGTTCTATTCAATAGCACAATTGAAACTCAAGCTCCGTTTTTTGTTATTAACTAATTTAACTTCTTTCACAGATTCTAAAATCATAACTGTAACGCCTACAAAATTGTATGACGAAACATCGAGCTTGCCATATGAAGTAGCTGGCACAACCACTCAAGTGCCTACAAAGGAGGTCTCGGTGACATCAGTATCTGGAGTTCCAACTGATTCCGCAGAAGAACTTGTCATTTCCGACATCACTACCAATAGCATGATAGTGTCATGGGTGGTCGATCCAAAAATCTTTGACCGCTTTATTGTGCAATACAAGCCCACTGACAGCCCTGAAAAAGCATTGGAGAAAACTTTACCTGGTCATCTATCAACAGTTGATCTTACAGAATTGACTGAAAATACAGAATACACAGTCAAATTGACTGGCTACAGAAAGAAAAAGCCCTCTAAGCCACTGGTTGCTCAGGTTACGACAGGTATATTTACACAACTTTTGCACTGAATTAAGCAAACATTGTATTGAATACACATTTTGTTTTCATACATAATCAGGTTTTATTACGGGATGCTGGTGTTTGCTTTCTAACCATTAATTTCCAATGTTTCTTTTCCAGAGACCAAAATTGTACCAACTATTGTTCCCACACTATTTGTTGAAGGAACAGGAACACCAACAATTGTTGAAACACCATTACCTACCACACGCTTACCTCCAAAGGAGATTTCAGTGACATCAGTCTCTGGAGTTCCAACTGATTCTGCAGATGAACTGGTCATATCTGACATCAAGCCCGATAGCTTTAAAGTTTCATGGATAGTAGACCCTGAAGTCTTTGATGAGTTTGTTTTGGAAGTAGAATCTCCAGACTCTACAATTATTCCTCTAAAGGAAACTGTTCCTGGAGATATTACGTCCGTTGACCTCACAGATTTGAAAGAAAATACGGAATATGTTGTAAGGCTTATTGGCTCCAGAAAAGGAAAGTTGTCCAGGCCCCTGACAGCTAAAGTTACCACAGGTACTGTCCTGTTACTTCTCTGTGGCTTGATTGGCTGAATGTTTTGTGCTCAGGGGGGGTTCTGTTCAATAGCACATTTCAAGCTCAATCTCCATTTTTTTATTCATTAATTTCACTTTATTCACAGATTTCAAAATCCCTACAACTGTAACGCCTACAAAATTGTATGACGAAACATCGAGCTTGCCATATGAAGTAGCTGGCACAACCACTCAAGTGCCTACAAAGGAGGTCTTGGTGACATCAGTGTCTGGAGTTCCAACTGATTCTGCGGAAGAACTTGTTATTTCCGACATCACTACCAATAGCATGCAAGTGTCATGGGTGGTAGATCCAAAAGTCTTTGACCGCTTCATTGTGCAATACAAGCCCACTGACAGTCCTGAAAAAGCATTGGAGAAAACTTTACCTGGTCATCTATCAACAGTTGATCTTACAGAATTGACTGAAAATACAGAATACACGGTCAAATTGATTGGATACAGAAAGAAAAAGCCCTCAAAGCCACTGGTTGCTCAGGTTACGACAGGTACATTTACACAACTTTTGCACTGAATTAAGCAAACATTGTATTGAATACACATTTTGTTTTCATACATAATCAGGTTTTCTTACGGGATGCTGGCGTTTGCTTTCTAACCATTAATTTCCAATGTTTCTTTTCCAGAGTCCAAAATTGTACCAACTATTGTTCCCACACTATTTGTTGAAGGAACAGGAACACCAACAATTGTTGAAACACCATTACCTACCACACGCTTACCTCCAAAGGAGGTTTCAGTGACATCAGTCTCTGGAGTTCCAACTGATTCTGCAGATGAACTGGTCATATCTGACATCAAGCCCGATAGCTTTAAAGTTTCATGGATAGTAGACCCTGAAGTCTTTGATGAGTTTGTTTTGGAAGTAGAATCTCCAGACTCTACAATTATTCCTCTAAAGGAAACTGTTCCTGGAGATATTACGTCCGTTGACCTCACAGATTTGAAAGAAAATACGGAATATGTTGTAAGGCTTATTGGCTCCAGAAAAGGAAAGTTGTCCAGGCCCCTGACAGCTAAAGTTACCACAGGTACTGTCCTGTTACTTCTCTGTGGCTTGATTGGCTGAATGTTTTGTGCTCACGGGGGGTTCTGTTCAATAGCACATTTGAAGCTCAATCTCCATTTTTTTATTCATTAATTTCACTTTATTCACAGATTTCAAAATCCCTACAACTGTAACGCCTACAAAATTATATGATGATACATCGAGCTTGCCATATGAAGTAGCTGGCACAACCACTCAAGTGCCTACAAAGGAGGTCTTGGTGACATCAGTGTCTGGAGTTCCAACTGATTCCGCGGAAGAACTTGTCATTTCCGACATCAGTACCAATAGCATGATAGTGTCATGGGTGGTCGATCCAAAAGTCTTTGACCGCTTCATTGTGCAATACAAGCCCACTGACAGCCCTGAAAAAGCATTGGAGAAATCTTTACCTGGTCATCTATCAACAGTTGATCTTACGGAATTGACTGAAAATACAGAATACACAGTCAAATTGACTGGCTACAGAAAGAAAAAGCCCTCTAAGCCACTGGTTGCTCAGGTTACGACAGGTATATTTACACAACTTTTGCACTGAATTAAGCAAACATTGTATTGAATACACATTTTGTTTTCATACATAATCAGGTTTTCTTACGGGATGCTGGCGTTTATTTTCTAACCATTAATTTCCAATGTTTCTTTTCCAGAGTTCAAAATTGCATCAACTATTGTTCCCACACTATTTGTTGAAGGAACACCAACAATTGTTGAAACACCATTACCTACCACACGCTTACCTCCAAAGGAGGTTTCAGTGACATCAGTGTTTGGTGTTCCAACTGATTCTGCAGATAAGCTGGTCATATCTGACATCAAGCCCGATAGCTTTAAAGTTTCATGGGTAGTAGACCCTGAAGTCTTTGATGAATTTGTTTTGGAAGTTGAATCTCCAGACTCTACAATTATTCCTCTAAAGGAAACTGTTCCTGGAGATATTACATCCGTTGACCTCACTGATTTGAAAGAAAATACGGAATATGTTGTAAGGCTTATTGGCTCCAGAAAGGGAAAGTTGTCCAATTCCCTAACAGCTAAAGTTATCACAGGTACTGTACTGTTATCTCTATGTGGCTAGATTGGATGAATGGTTTTTGCTGACGGCGGGTTCTATTCAATAGCACAATTGAAACTCAAGCTCCGTTTTTTGTTATTAACTAATTTAACTTCTTTCACAGATTCTAAAATCATAACTGTAACGCCTACAAAATTGTATGACGAAACATCGAGCTTGCCATATGAAGTAGCTGGCACAACCACTCAAGTGCCTACAAAGGAGGTCTTGGTGACATCAGTATCTGGAGTTCCAACTGATTCCGCAGAAGAACTTGTCATTTCCGACATCACTACCAATAGCATGATAGTGTCATGGGTGGTCGATCCAAAAATCTTTGACCGCTTTATTGTGCAATACAAGCCCACTGACAGCCCTGAAAAAGCATTGGAGAAAACTTTACCTGGTCATCTATCAACAGTTGATCTTACAGAATTGACTGAAAATACAGAATACACAGTCAAATTGACTGGCTACAGAAAGAAAAAGCCCTCTAAGCCACTGGTTGCTCAGGTTACGACAGGTATATTTACACAACTTTTGCACTGAATTAAGCAAACATTGTATTGAATACACATTTTGTTTTCATACATAATCAGGTTTTATTACGGGATGCTGGTGTTTGCTTTCTAACCATTAATTTCCAATGTTTCTTTTCCAGAGACCAAAATTGTACCAACTATTGTTCCCACACTATTTGTTGAAGGAACAGGAACACCAACAATTGTTGAAACACCATTACCTACCACACGCTTACCTCCAAAGGAGGTTTCAGTGACATCAGTCTCTGGAGTTCCAACTGATTCTGCAGATGAACTGGTCATATCTGACATCAAGCCCAAAAGCTTTAAAGTTTCATGGATAGTAGACCCTGAAGTCTTTGATGAGTTTGTTTTGGAAGTTGAATCTCCAGACTCTACAATTATTCCTCTAAAGGAAACTGTTCCTGGAGATATTACGTCCGTTGACCTCACAGATTTGAAAGAAAATACGGAATATGTTGTAAGGCTTATTGGCTCCAGAAAGGGAAAGTTGTCCAGGCCCCTGACAGCTAAAGTTACCACAGGTACTGTACTGTTATCTCTATGTGGCTAGATTGGATGAATGTTTTTTGCTGACGGTGGGTTCTATTCAATAGCACAATTGACACTCAAGCTCTGTTTTTTTATTAACTAATTTAACTTCTTTCACAGATTCCAAAATCATAACTGTAACGCCTACAAAATTGTATGATGAAACATCGAGCTTGCCATATGAAGAAGCTGGCACAACCACTCAAGTGCCTACAAAGGAGGTCTTGGTGACATCAGTGTCTGGAGTTCCAATTGATTCTGCGGAAGAACTTGTTATTTCTGACATTACTACCAATAGCATGAAAGTGTCATGGGTGGTAGATCCAAAAGTCTTTGACCGCTTCATTGTGCAATACAAGCCCACTGACAGCCCTGAAAAAGCATTGGAGAAAACTTTACCTGGTCATCTATCAACAGTTGATCTTACAGAATTGACTGCAAATACAGAATACACAGTCAAATTGATTGGCTACAGAAAGAAAAAGCCCTCTAAGCCACTGGTTGCTCAGGTTACGACAGGTACATTTACACAACTTTTACACTGAATTAAGCAAACATTGTTTTGAATACAAAATTTAGTTTTCATACATAATCAGGTTTTATTACGGGATGCTCACGTTTGTTTTATAACCATTTATTTCCAATGTTTCTTTTCCAGAGACCAAAATTGTACCAACTATTGTTCCCACACTATTTGTTGAAGGAACAGGAACACCAACAATTGTTGAAACACCATTACCTACCACACACTTACCTCCAAAGGAGGTTTCAGTGACATCAGTCTCTGGAGTTCCAACTGATTCTGCAGATGAACTGGTCATATCTGACATCAAGCCCGAAAGCTTTAAAGTTTCATGGATAGTAGACCCTGAAGTCTTTGATGAGTTTGTTTTGGAAGTAGAATCTCCAGACTCTACAATTATTCCTCTAAAGGAAACTGTTCCTGGAGATATTGCATCCGTTGACCTCACTGATTTGAAAGAAAATACGGAATATGTTGTAAGGCTTATTGGCTCCAGAAAGGGAAAGTTTTCCAGGCCCCTGACAGCTAAAGTTACCACAGGTACTGTACTGTTATCTCTATGTGGCTAGATTGGATGACTGTTTTTTTGCTGACGGCGGGTTCTATTCAATAGCACAATTGAAACTCAAGCTCTGTTTTTTTTATTAACTATTTTAACTTCTTTCACAGATTCCAAAATCATAACTGTAACGCCTTCAAAATTGTATGATGAAACATCGAGCTTGCCATATGAAGAAGCTGGCACAACCACTCAAGTGCCTACAAAGGAGGTCTTGGTGACATCAGTGTCTGGAGTTCCAACTGATTCTGCGGAAGAACTTGTTATTTCTGACATTACTACCAATAGCATGAAAGTGTCATGGGTGGTAGATCCAAAAGTCTTTGACCGCTTCATTGTGCAATACAAGCCCACTGATAGCCCTGAAAAAGCATTGGAGAAAACTTTACCTGGTCATTTATCAACAGTTGATCTTACAGAATTGACTGGAAATACAGAATACACAGTAAAATTGACTGGCTACAGAAAGAAAAAGCCCTCTCAGCCACTGGTTGCTAAGGTTACGACAGGTACATTTACACAACTTTTACACTGAATTAAGCAAACATTGTATTGAATACACATTTTCATAATAAAGGTTTTTGGGTTAGATCACGTTATTTATAAATGTGTCGTAACCCTCCACCACCCGACACGGCCAAACAGTAAAAAATGTGTCACGTTTACAAAGGACAAATAGTTCACTACTTTAGCCCACCGGTGTGTTGAAGAGTGAATCAACATCATTTAAAATTTGAGTACGACGTTTCGCTGGTAATAACATCCAGCTTCATCGGGCAATTCGCCAGAATGGTAAAGCCCTCACTTGCTCCCGGTCTTAAATAGAGCAGCAGGGTGACGTCATCATTTAACGTATTCAGGTGCAGCGATTTTAGGCGGAGATGGTTGGTATTGTAATTATATAATCGATTGGGAATCAGTCAATGGTTATGATTAGTAATGACTTGTAGATTAGTAATCAGTTGTAATGTGTGTTATTGTGATTATATGCTACGTTAGTAATCCGTTAATTAGTATGCGTTTCCCCTATAAGGAATTGTAGTATGTATAATTTACTAATATGCTTCCAAGCTTCTTTGGTTCTTTCGGTAAAGTCACGTAGAATGAGAATAAAATAATAAAATAAAACAATAAAATTAGCACGACGTTTCGGCCACAACACAAGTGGCCTTCTTCACTTGTGTTGTGTCCGAAACTTCGTGAGAATTTTATTGTTTTATTTTATTATTTTATTCTCATACTACGTGACTTTACCAATAGAACCAAAGAAGATGAATCATTGCAGTCACGAAAGCTTTAAATCGAAAAATGCTTCCAAGCTGCACTAAGCCTGTAGCTGTCAGAGCGATTAAAGTTATTTCTATTTCTCTCAATTTCAATGGATTCTCTAATTAGTCTTTGCCAGTAATAATTCGTTTCACATAACACTTCAACGTTATCAAAATCAATTGAGTGTCCTTGTTGACAAGCATGTTCTGCCACTGCCGACAGTTGTGTTTGAGATAATTTAATATGTCTTTGGTGTTCTTTTAGTCTTATGCTGATGTTACGTCCCGTCTGTCCAATATAGCATCTGCCACATAAACAGTTAATCCGATATACACAATCTGTTGATAATTTAGGTAATTTGTCTTTAGTGCAAGATACTAGGTTTTGAATTTTGTGTACTGTACCAAATCTTACTGTAATGTTTTGCTTTTGCAAAACACGGGCTAATTTGTCAGTTACTCCTGAGATATATGTAATTTTAATTGTTTTAACAATCTGATCGCTTTCAGCAGTGTTGCTTTGCGATCGTGATTTGGCATTCAGTGCTCTGTTAATTTGAGTATTATTGTAGCCATTCTGTCGTAATGCTTCTTTAACGTGTTTGATCTCTCTCACTAGACTTTCACCATCTGACACTGTTTTAGCCCGATGTATGAGCGTCTTGATAAGAGAGGATTTCTGAGCTGGATGATGATGCGAATCTGCATTCAGATGGGCATCAGTGTGCGTTTGCTTTCTGTAAACGCTGTGTGTTATTTTATCGTTTAGGTCATGTCCAAGCAAAATATCTAGGAATGGGAGTGTGTTATTCACCTCCATTTCCATGATGAACTGGATGGCCGGGTTTTGTGCATTGAGATGATTTAGAAAAGAATTGAGTGTATCTTTACCATGTGGCCAGACAGCCAATCGATTATACAATTATAATACTCCCCCCCCCCCCCCCCCGCCTAAAATTGCTGCACCTGAATACGTTAAATGATGACATCACCCTGCTGCTCTATTTAAGACCGGAAGCAAGTGAGGGCTTTACCATTCTGGCGAATTGCCCGATGAAGCTGGATGTAATTACCAGCGAAACGTCGTACTCAAACTGTAAATGATGTTGATTCACTCTTCAACACACCGGTGGGCTAAAGTAGTGAACTATTTGTCCATTGTAAACGTGACACATTTTTTACTGTTTAGCCGTGTCGGCTGGTGGAGGGATACGACACATTTATAACTAACGCGATCTAACCCAAAAACCTTTATTATGAGTAATATTGGTCGAGAAAGCCTACCTGTTAAATACACATTTTGTTTTCATACATAATCAGGTTTTATTAATGGATGCTTGCGTTTGCTTTCTAACCATTAATTTCCAATGTTTCTTTTCCAGAGTTCAAAATTGTACCAACTATTGTACCCACACTATTTGTTGAAGGAACAGGAACACCAACAATTGTTGAAACACCATTACCTACCACACGCTTCCCTCCAAAGGAGGTTTCAGTGACATCAGTGTCTGGAGTTCCAACTGATTCCGCGGAAGAACTTGTCATTTCCGACATCACTACCAATAGCATGCAAGTGTCATGGGTGGTCGATCCAAAAGTCTTTGACCGCTTCATTGTGCAATACAAGCCCACTGACAGCCCTGAAAAAGCATTGGAGAACATTTTACCTGGTCATCTATCAACAGCTGATCTTACAGAATTGACTGAAAATACAGAATACACAGTCAAATTGATTGGATACAGAAAGAAAAAGCCCTCTAAGCCACTGGTTGCTCAGGTTACGACAGGTACATTTACACAACTTTGCACTGAATTAAGCAAACATTGTATTGAATACATATTTTGTTTTCATACTTAATCAGGTTTTATTAATGGATGCTTGCTCCCACACTATTTGATGAAGGAACAGGAACACCAACAATTGTTGAAACACCATTACCTACCACACGCTTACCTCCAAAGGAGGTTTCAGTGACATCAGTGTCTGGAGTTCCAACTGATTCTGCAGATGAACTTGTCATATCTGACATCACGCCCGATAGCTTTAAAGTTTCATGGGTAGTAGACCCTGAAGTCTTTGATGAATTTGTTTTGGAAGTTGAATCTCCAGACTCTACAATTATTCCTCTAAAAGAAACTGTTCCTGGAGATATTACATCCGTTGACCTCACTGATTTGAAAGAAAATACGGAATATGTTGTAAGGCTTATTGGCTCCAGAAAGGGAAAGTTGTCCAGTCCCCTGACAGCTAAAGTTACCACAGGTACTGTACTGTTATCTCTATGTGGCTAGATTGGATGAATGGTTTTTGCTGACGGCGGGTTCAATTCAATAGCACAATTGAAACTCAAGCTCCGTTTTTTTATTAACTAATTTAACTTCTTTCACAGATTCCAAAATCATAACTGTAACGCCTACAAAATTGTATGATGAAACATCGAGCTTGCCATATGAAGTAGCTGGCACAACCACTCAAGTGCCTACAAAGGAGGTCTTGGTGACATCAGTGTCTGGAGTTCCAACTGATTCTGCGGAAGAACTTGTAATTTCTGACATCACTACCAATAGCATGAAAGTGTCATGGGTGGTCGATCCAAAAGTCTTTGACCGCTTCATTGTGCAATACAAGCCCACTGACAGCCCTCAAAAAGCATTGGAGAAAACTTTACCTGGTCATCTATCAACAGTTGATCTTACAGAATTGACTGAAAATACAGAATATACAGTCAAATTGATTGGCTACAGAAAGAAAAAGCCATCTAAGCCACTCGTTGCTAAGGTTACGACAGGTACATTTACACAACTTTTACATTGAATTAAGCAAACATTGCATTGAATACACATTTTGTTTTCATACATAATCAGGTTTTATTAATGGATGCTTGCGTTTGCTTTCTAACCATTAATTTCCAATGTTTCTTTTCCAGAGTCCAAAATTGTACCAACTATTGTTCCAACACTATTTGTTGAAGGAACAGGAACACCAACAATTGTTGAAACACCATTACCTACCACACGCTTACCTCCAAAGGAGGTTTCAGTGACATCAGTGTCTGGAGTTCCAACTGATTCTGCAGATGAACTTGTCATATCTGACATCACGCCCGATAGCTTTAAAGTTTCATGGGTAGTAGACCCTGAAGACTTTGATGAATTTGTTTTGGAAGTTGAATCTCCAGACTCTACAATTATTCCTCTAAAAGAAACTGTTCCTGGAGATATTACATCCGTTGACCTCACTGATTTGAAAGAAAATACGGAATATGTTGTAAGGCTTATTGGCTCCAGAAAGGGAAAGTTGTCCAGTCCCCTGACAGCTAAAGTTACCACAGGTACTGTACTGTTATCTCTATGTGGCTAGATTGGATGAATGGTTTTTGCTGACGGCGGGTTCAATTCAATAGCACAATTGAAACTCAAGCTCCGTTTTTTTATTAACTAATTTAACTTCTTTCACAGATTCCAAAATAATAACTGTAACGCCTACAAAATTGTATGATGAAACATCGAGCTTGCCATATGAAGTAGCTGGCACAACCACTCAAGTGCCTACAAAGGAGGTCTTGGTGACATCAGTGTCTGGAGTTCCAACTGATTCTGCGGAAGAACTTGTAATTTCTGACATCACTACCAATAGCATGAAAGTGTCATGGGTGGTCGATCCAAAAGTCTTTGACCGCTTCATTGTGCAATACAAGCCCACTGACAGCCCTGAAAAAGCATTGGAGAAAACTTTACCTGGTCATCTATCAACAGTTGATCTTACAGAATTGACTGAAAATACAGAATATACAGTCAAATTGATTGGCTACAGAAAGAAAAAGCCATCTAAGCCACTCGTTGCTAAGGTTACGACAGGTACATTTACACATTGCATTGAATACACATTTTGTTTTCATACATAATCAGGTTTTATTAATGGATGGTTGCGTTTGCTTTCTAACCATTAATTTCCAATGTTTCTTTTCCAGAGTCCAAAATTGTACCAACTATTGTTCCAACACTATTTGTTGAAGGAACAGGAACACCAACAATTGTTGAAACACCATTACCTACCACACGCTTACCTCCAAAGGAGGTTTCAGTGACATCAGTCTCTGGAGTTCCAACTGATTCTGCAGATGAGCTGGTCATATCTGAAATCACGTCTGGGAGCATGAAGGTGTCGTGGGTGGTAGATCCAACAGTCTTTGAGCGCTTTGTTGTGCAATACAAGCCTTCTGACAGTGCTGCGAAACCACTTGAAAAAAGATTACCTGGCAAAGATACTAAAGTCGCTCTTACAGACTTGATCGATGACACTGAATACATTATTAAACTCATTGGCTTCAGACGAGGAAAGCCTTCCAAGCCACTGGTGTCTCAAGTTAAAACGGGTATAGCTTCATATGTTTTAATATATTTTCTTTTTTACCTAAACAGTCCACACATTTTTAAAGAGTATGTCTTATCCTTACAATTTATTTCATTTTGTTTGCAGAGCCCGAACCAAAATCAACTCCTTTACCCACGGCAGTCATCTATGAGGCCATTACACCAACCGTTGTTGAGTTTCCTGGAACTACCACACACGAACCTTCAAAGGAGGTGTCGGTAACATCTGTGTCTGGGGTTCCAACTGATTCTGCTGATGAACTTGTCATATCTGACATCACGTCTGAGAGCATGAAGGTGTCGTGGGTTGTAGATCCAAAAGTCTTTGAGCGATTCATTGTGCAATGCAAGCCCATTGACAGCCCTGAGAAACCACTCGAAAAAACATTGCCTGGACACATTTCTACAGTTGATTTTACAGCCCTGATCGATGACACTGAATATATGATTAAGCTCATTGGTTACAGGCGAGGAAAGCCTTCCAAGCCACTGGTTGCTCAAGTTAAGACAGGTACATCTTCATATGTTTTAATATCGTTTCTTAATTAACTAAACATTCCTCACGTTTTTAAAGAGTATGTGAGATGCTTATAATTACTTTCATTTACTTTGCAGAGCCCAAACCAAAATCAACTCCTTCACCCACGGCAGTCATCGATGAGGCCATTACACCATCCGTTGTTGAGTTGCCTGGAACTACCACACACGAACCTTCAAAGGACGTGTCAGTAACTTCTGTGTCTGGGGTTCCAACTGATTCCGCTGATGAACTTTTCATATCTGACATCAGTACCCATAGCATGAAAGTATCATGGGTGGTAGATCCAAATGTCTTTGAGCGCTTTGTTGTGCAATACAAGCCTGCTGACAGTTCTGAGAAACCACTCGAAAAAACATTGCCTGGCAAAGTTTCTACAATTGATCTTACAGACTTGAGCGATGACACTGAATATATCATTAAACTCATTGGTTACAGGCGAGGAAAGCCCTCCAAGCCACTGGTGGCTCAAGTAAAGACAGGTACATCTTCGTATATTCAACGTTGTTATCATTACGTGAACATTGCACATTTGTCAATAGAACATTCTAAATTTACAATGTTTTAAAGTTGCCTTGCAGAGCCATCCGTTGTTGAGTCGCCTAGGTCTGCTTATGTAAAATGATACTTAATTTTACATTTATATAGTCTTTTACACTGAATGTAACACACGTTACCTCAATTTTACTCAATTAATCTTTCATATGTGTTGCTTTTTTTCACTTAATTTTTTATTCACTTTTTTATTTCTTAAAAATTTTCTTCCTTTACAACACTCTTCTCGGCCTGATTCACAATTCTTTCTTTTAATTATTGTTAATACCACCGATACATTAATCGTAAAACTTGTCATATTTGTGTTAAAACACATTGTAGATGTCTGGTGCTTGAATTGTCTTGTTTTGTAGTGTTGCACTTCACCTTTTCAGATTGTCTTTATACATTAGCTACAACTTTGAAAGTGTTCATTGCCTATACAGTAATCCCTTAGTAATTGCGAAGGGGGGGGGTTGCGTTCTTTTTCCGACAGCTTGAATGTAAAAATAATAATGATGTACCCTTATTTATAAGGAATCTTCCACTGATGTCTCGAGGCATCAGTGGAAGGTTATATTTTAAATATTCCTATCCCTTGTGCTTCACCACCGGACAAGAAGTGGTGAGGCGTGGACGCTCTCCCTCGCAGTTGACCCTTAGTCTGGCGCACAGTTTATCACGCGAGTGGCCTTTCCTTTGCAATGTTGTGGAATGTTTATACCGTGTAATATTCGTTTATTTAAGTATCAATGCGCTATCGAATTCGAGAATGAACAACAGCAATTCCTCACGGGCTTGGTAGCTCTTCTCAGTTTTAAATATCTAAAATTTCTTAAGACATTACTGGAATGAAAAATGCCTTTAAAAATACGTCATATATATTGTTGCGTACATGCTGATCCTTTTAAAGGGTCTAACTTTTTTTTTTATAGATTTGCATTCAATCTTGATTTGAAGCTTTCGGTAAAGTAAAAGGGCATTGCTGCTGCATTGGCACTCGTGTACCGCCCATGCTCCTGGTGCTGTTGATACACTTGGGCTACGCCCATCCCCAAACCTTTATAAAAAAAAAGTTTGCCTTTAGAAGCTGACTCCTTTGCCTGATGACGACCGCTTGTGTTTTGCGATCGAAACGTCGTGATGAGATTTGCATTCCTTTAGCAATTTAGGGACTGCTACAATATTTACAGAGACTCTAGAAACGTTTACCTATCTGCTGCCTCTATCACACGCTTGCCTCTTGATGAGTCTGCTGATGAACTTGTCATAACTGACAGCACATGCGCTAGCATGACAATCTTACAGCGGTAGATCTAAAAGTCTTTGACGGATTTATTGTGCAATACAAACCCACGAACAGTCCTGAGAAACCAATTAAAATTGCATTACCTGGTCACGTGTAAATAGACGATATCCTGTACCTGACAGAAAATACTGAATATAGATTAATGTTGAATACCTACAGAAAAAGAAATCCCTCAAAGCCACTGGTGGAAGAAGTTGGAGTTGGTTATTTTCTAGGTTGTCGTCCTGAAATTATGGTATATTTTAACAAAACTTATTAAAGCTGCTTGAAATTCTTTATAAATATAAACCAATATTTATTTGTACGGTGATGGTAGATGTTTCACCACCCCCCCCCCCCCCCTCAGTTTTACAGACTCCAAAGCCATGTTAGTTGATAGGACAGATATGCTAATCTCAAAGGAAGTACTACACATGTACCACCTCCACAGGATTGTTCAATAATCTCAGTGTCTAGGATTCCAACTGATACTGTCAACAAACTTGTCATATGTGATATCACGTCTGATAACATGATGGTGTCATGGGTGGGTAAACAAAGAACGTATTTGTGCAATACAAGCCCACTGACAGTCCTAAGAAACCATTTTCAACAGTTAATCTAATATCTTGAACCAAACTTTACTTTCTGTGTCTACATTGGTGTAACTCAACATAAATATCCCACTCACCCCATTTCCTCATATTTTGTCTAAAAATCCCTATCAAAATTAATATTGGTAATGAAATGTGGTTTTCACTTGATAAATGTATCAACTATCTGACCATTGTGAACTCAAAAGAGTAACAAGTTTAGATTGACATGGTAATATACTGCAAAAAAAATGATATAATCTACTTACAGGAGTTGCAAATGTATTTTTTTATATATATTGTACGGTGATGATGTTTAGTTGTGTATTTTAGAGAATGTCTCATCATCAAGTAAAAACTTATTTTTTTCTTTTTCAGAAATTAAACTGTTAACACCTCCAGAACCCGCAAGTGTAGTTGAAGGATCAGAACCAATATCTACTTTTGAAGACCTTGAAATTGCCACGAAGATCCCCGACAGAACGATTTCAGTGACATCTGTTTCTGGGGTGCCAATCGATTCTGCCAATGCACTTGTTATATCTCATATCACAGCCAATAGCATTAGGATTTCGTGGGTAGTAGATACTAAAGTGTTTGACCGCTTCATTGTGCGCTTCAAACCAACGGGCAGCATTGTAACGCCATTTGAAAGAAATTTGGCTGGGCATGTCACCACCTTAGATATATTCGAGTTAACAGAAAACACCGAGTATACTATTATTCTCCTTGGTGCAAGGCGTGGATTGTTTTCCAAACCTCTGATGGCGAAAGTAACAACAGGTATTTGATTTGATACAATTATTACGATGAGCGCGAATACATGTCCATATTTTAGTCACCTCGAGTTGGTCGTCATGTTGAGCTGAAGTCCGAATTCTCCAGGCCGATTTTTTTGCTTCTCAGGCTGGCCTGAATTCCCAGCATCAGATCTAAAATGCTTTCCCAAACATGTCAAACAACACTGTCGGCGGTTAAAACATTTAATTGAGCATTTAATTTCATCAGCGGTGCAATCTTGACCTATTTTTTGGGAGAGTCCTGCCCAACTCACATGATGAATTGATTAAATCAGGAAAAGGACACTTTTCTTTTAAGCAGTATGAGTTGTCCTTAAAATGATTATTTTTAAGATATCATTTACATTCTCTTTTGACTCAAATTCCGGCCAAATCAAGTGTACTTGAGTCGATTCGAGTTGGTTGAAAACAAGGTCTAATTATATAACAGTTTACATACTAACTAAATGTATTGCTTTTACAGAAACCAAAGTGAAGTCCACTGCAGATACTTCAACGTACCTTGCAGTACCCACGACTGAAGTTCCACGGCATGTCCAGCAGATAACAGTGACTGCCACTCCTGGTGTTCCATTTCAATCTGCCAATGAACTCACAATATCTGAGATAAGCGACGATAGCATTGTCGTTTCATGGAAATCAGATCCAAAATTGTTTGATAAATTCATCATCCGATACAGACCTACCTGCAGCTCAAAAAAACCTTTGGACCGCATTGTGTCCAGCCATGACTCCATGGTTAAAATTAAAGGACTTCTTGAGAGCACGGTTTACGAAATATCCATCCTTGGCATAAAACGAGGGAGATTCTCAAAACCTGTTTCAGCAAAGATTATCACAGGTATTCTTCCATGTTATAATATTGCTAAACTTGTCCACGACGATTATCTACATTCTTACCAACGATAAACCGCTAATCCTGACTTATATATGCTTAATCACTAATGTGAAATTGCAGGAAATGGATTATGCATTTAATAAGCATGTCTGTTTTCTTTCACAGTGTTTAAGAAGACAATGTGTTACTGTTGAATGCTTGTTTATGTCCTCCTAGCAGGAGTAATATTTTATTCTTCTTTTCTAACAGCATTGTCAAAGGATAAAGGCATGAAGCTTGCCACAACAGCGATACCCACTGAAACCGATTTCCCTGTGCATACCACATCATTCCCTGATACGGAAGTTGTATCTGTGTTTGCAATTTCTGGAGTTCCAGTCGACTCTGCAAACCAACTGTATATTTCTGAGATAAAGCCACACAGCATCAGAGTTTCGTGGGTGGTGCACGAATATGTGTTTGACAAATTTGTCGTGAAATACAAGCCCGTGGATAGTGCTGATAGACCTTTAGAACAGATTGTACCTGGCGACGTTAAAACCATCGTGCTTAAACATCTGAAGGAGAGCACAGAGTATGAAGTCACAATAGTTGCAAAGAAAAGAAGGAAATATTCCAAACCATTGACTGCAAGGGTGATTTCAGGTACACATCAAGAATGTCTGTGCATTACAAAAAGTTTTCAATGCGTATTTCATTCAGCAAATGGAAAGTGGGAGAACATTTAAATCTATTGTCTGAAAGCAGGCATGATGTAATTTCCCGCACCTCCGATTAGCGCGGTTGGCTACGTACGGTGCGAAAGAAGTTCAACCTACATACATTAATTAGCATGATATTGGTGGAGAGGCACATCTTGTCGTCATTGAATGTGCGCTGTTATTTGCACATTGTGAAGCGTATAAACTGGTACTTTTGTAATCAGAGAGGGGATTTTTTGAACGAATACACATTTTGATAATATACAGTAGAGTATTGTTAATTACTAGCTTGTTTGCCCGTTCAAGGACGGGTGTATATTGCAGTCAATCTGAAATATTAAATAGAAAAATTGTTCAGCTCATGATTTTTAATGAAGGGGGGGGGAGTTGCCCTATGTGGAGTGACGTCACGCGCAGGATACACACACAAACACAGCCTTTTGGCTCGTTATGTTAGTTGCTGCGTTAATTTCTTTATTACCTTCCGTGAAGAAAGGTCAAAATGAAAGCCAGTTTGCCTAAACAAAGTTTCGTTTCGGCTCCACCTTCTTCACGCGGAGTGACGTCACCCGTTCATGATTATTAATGATGGGGGGGCTGGTCGACGTGGAGTGACGTCACAAACTTTACACACAGACATTCTTGGGTAAATCTAGAAGCCAAATGTCTGCCTGTCAAGCAAGATACGCCCTTGCAGACATTTCTAAATAAGAGCATTTTAAGCTTGCCGTGTTATGCACTCGGTGCTGTCTCGCGCGGTTTCCCCTCTTTGCCTCCAGGTATTGACGGGCCAAAGAATCTGCAGGTGGTGTCCGTGACCGAGTCCACGATGGACATCGAGTGGGAGGACACCCAGTCTCCCATCGATCACTACACGGTGCATTACAGCACCTCGTCAGGAGACCCACCAGGCAACATCAAGGTGTACAAGAGCGCACAGCCTACCACCAAGATAACAATCACTGGTGAGTTCGCCGGACACGCGCGGCTTCTCCACCTTTGGAGCGTGTTGTGTTAGTGTGTGCGCGCGCGTGCGTGTGTGAGTTGAGCTTCTTTCGCACCGTACGTAGCCAAACCGTGCGAATCGGAGGTGCGCCTTCTATAATCTAAGCGCAGGTATTGTGGTTTAAAAAAAAGGTATCAGTTTTGTTGCCAGATAAAAGGGTAAAAAAAACCTGTTTTAATATTTTGCAACTGGCAAAGGAGGTCTCATGATGTAAATGCTTACCCCGAGCTCTCAATACTCTGACGGTGCGTTGTCTTTGAGTTGTGCGCCTTTTGGCGTCTTCTGGCCCAACACCAATGTGAGACTGAGCTCTAAGAAAAGCTGTCTCGGGTGTGGACCAATCAATTTCAAGAACATTATCAGAGTTGTTTTTTGTTTGCATTTTGACCGCAGGTATTGTGGTTAATGCAAACATGATCCCTTGTAAAAAAAGGTATCAGTTTTGTTGCCAGATAAAAGGGTAAAACACCTATTAGCCCAAGAATAAGTCGACATTATAGTTAGACTGCCAGTATACTCACCAAACTTAATAACCAGGCTACAGTCTACATTATAGACTGCCAGTACACTCACTCAGGTTAAGAACCATTACTACAGTCTACATTATAGACTGCCAGTACGCTCACTCAGTTCAATAACCATTGCTACAGTCTACATTATAGACTGCCAGTACACTCACTCCGATTAAGAACCACGCTACAGTCTACATTATAGACTGCCAGTACACTCACTCAGGTTAAGAACCAGGCTACAGTCTACATTATAGACTGCCAGTACACTCACTCAGGTTAAGAACCAGGCTACAGTCTACATTATAGACTGCCAGTACACTCACTCAGGTTAAGAACCAGGCTACAGTCTACATTATAGACTGCCAGTACACTCACTCCGATTAATAACCAGGCTACAGGCTACATTATAGACTGCCAGTACACTCACTCAGATTAAGAACCAGGCTACAGTCTACATTAGTATTTTATTGTTATCCTAATTTTTCTATTTACGTGACTTTACCGAAAGAAACAAATAACATAATCAACGTTCGTTATGTGTGTGCAGTATACAAACACATTTGTCTTGTACCTCCTGTCGATTGTCCACTAAAATAGCAGTACCTGCTGTTGTCTCTTCAATGGTAATCCCCATTGATTGAAGCATGGTGACCTGTATATGCTTGCATTTAAACAATGTGTGCGTTAAACTGACAATTACACGTGGGCAAACACTTTTGTCAATTCACTTCTGGATGAGAGGCCCTGGGGGAAAGGCCCCTCAATCTGTGTGACACGGGCCACACAATATTAGTAATGTACTTGAAAATGTTGCGATCCAAGTTTTAGTGTGCTTTTTTTAAAATATCACTTTGTTCGTGTTGAATTACACTTTTATCTGTTACAGCCTCGATGCTCCCCCGAAGGCGATGATGATGATGATGCGCTCTCGAAGGTGTTAGATGAGTTTGCGTCGAAGGGGGACGTTAATTGATTTATTTTATTGTTTTTGTTTTATAGGCCTGCAGCCTGGAACTGAATACAAGATATCTGTGGTGGCTGTTAAGGGGAGCAAAGGAAGTGCTCCAGCAAGTACGACCGGACAAACTGGTAAGGTCGATTTTACATCGTCCGTTAAACACTTTAATTGCAATAATTTTTGTGAAGCTGAATTCCTCGGTCCAGAAGTTAGCCCAAATCTCAGTTACGATGACAGCCGCTTATCATATCGAACAACATTTAACATCCATATTATTTAACACACATTTAACAGGAAACAGTTTAACGTCTAATATCTGCCCAAAACATCTGTATCGCCTCCTACAGGCCCTGAATAACACTGCATAAACGAGACGTACTTTCATAATTCAAAATAAACACATTATTTTTTTACATCAAATTATATGAACAATATGTAAATTAGAAAAATCATATTTTACCTACAATAAACATATTTAACAAGTATTCTTTCTTATACACGAATCGGGAACGTAACCTCTTGCAATAACACCTGTACCGCTCACACACCACCTGTCAGCCTCTTATCAGTGCCCGACCTAATTACAGACCAATTCAGACCTCATTGGTTACCCCGTGCCCTGATAAACCTCAACGTTCATTCTACAGTCCCATCACAAGGGAGAAACACAAACAAATAGACGCAAAAAAATTGGGTTGACAGGTATGCTATTTCACCTAGCTCTCCGTTTAGCTGTGTTTCTTAGGTCCTCGTATGCTATACAGAGTGCATAATTATACGTGCTATTAATTACAGGTAAGCCTACACCGGCTACATGTCACGCACAGGAACAGCTGCCCCTGGGGGGGGGGGGGGGGGGGGGGGTTCCCCTTCTGAGTTGCTGGGACATGCACTTGCTTTATAAATACAAATCATCAGTTCTCTGCTTCAATTATTTTAAAGCCACGAAGAATGAGGAGTCTGGTGTTTAGACGTTCGAGAACCCCTTTAACCCCCTGCTTTGCCTTATTTTGCAGTCATTGACGGTCCAAAGGACCTGCAGGTAACCGATTCTAGTGACACCAACATATCGCTCAGCTGGACGGCTCCCAGCACCAGCTTCGACCGCTACACCATCACGTTTGCCTCGGACACCAGCGACGATGGCCGGGAGGTGACCGTCCTGGCCGACGCTACCACGGCCACCCTCTCGGACCTGGAGCCAGGCACAGAGTACACCATCAGCCTGCGGGCCGAGAAGGGGTCTGTACACAGCGCCCGGGCTTTGACCAGCGGCAAGACTGGTGGGTCGGAACGTCGATATGTTAAGAGCACCGCGCGTCGGGAATTTTTGTTTATATATACACGTTACGGATAATCGTAAAAGATTGGTGGCGGAAAGATGTGCACTACTTGGGGATATTTGGCACAAGACAGTGGAAAGTGGAAATAAGTGACGAAATGTACAGTCGACACCTAAGGGGTATCTGCCCATGGATTGTGTTGATGATGATAATGACGACAGATAGTCACCAGTCAGTGAGTGACTAATGTAGATTTTATATTTTACTTATTTCAGCAGGAAAGGCCCATGGGAGTCCTGCAACTGCACTGATGTTATACAGTGCATTGTAATGATGATCTGTAAGGGCTGTAAAGCAAATGTTTGATAAGAATATGTCATGCTTAAGATTATCAGTCGAACAAAATTGAAACGTGAAAGCTTTAAATTTGGCCCACAAAAATGTAAGGACAGTTCTCCTGAACTCTCATTAGTTCGTTTTTTAACTTTGGATTACAATCGATTGTATCTGGAAGATTTGAAATATATTGAATCTAAGGATGACAATTTTGCACAGCGTGCCAGGCCCTGACCAATGGAGAGACTGGTCGGATAGGACATTATGTATTAAGGCTTCTTATATGTTTTTTATGGTCATTATTCAATGTCTGTTGTAAATTCTCATGATGTTCTAAAAGGGATGGAAAGCTGAAATTTGCAATGGAATATAGTTCAATCTCCGTGCTCAACTAAGCACGTAAATAAAAAAATGCTTGGAATTACATTGAGGGACAGAGGAACACACAGATGAGAGAACATACGTAGGTTAAACACATAATTCCGTCGGAAAAAGTAAGTTGGCTTAGGTAGGTCACGTAGCTGCAAGGCAGCTACGTGACCTACCTAAGCTTTTTAAATTAATTGCAGCCACTTGATTATTCAATTTACAGGAGTACGTTTGACAATATCTCCATCCTCTAAACCCCTTGAGCTATTTATACAATGTTATAGTTTAACTCTCAAATATTAATTTTTCTTCTCTTAAATTTGCAACTGAAATGTGAAATATTAAATATTCTTTCCAATCCTTTTAGAATGCAGACTTTCACGGAATTTCTTTGTCAAATAGTTTGCACTTTAATGTTGTAAATATTGCAATTTAATGTATTTGTGTTTGTTATAAGCTAACCTGTCATTTACTTAATGTGTTTTTAACAACTTGGACTAACAATGCAGTGAATTTAACAACAGTATCAAATTACCAATTTGCCATCAATATTGATACGACAAAAGTTGCTTCCCATTTTCAACTGCTCTCCTTGTACACAACATTTATTCATATATCAGATAAGTCTCACCTTCACTGGGAATTATTGAGCATGTAAATTATTCATTACTTAAGATTGATTCTTATGGTCACGTAATTGTATGCAAATGTATTTTTTTTCCGGCTAAAGGAACAAAGTGAGACAACGTGTGAGATAGACGACAACTAGAGCGAATTCTTAAATTGGATTATAACCTCCAAATCCTAACAATTCATCAAATGCCAAGTTTTGGGGTAACAAGGCAAGGGTGCGGGTGGACAAGTTGAATCAGTACATGCCTAATTGCCAATCTACCTCCGGGCATATTCACAAAGTCTTGTGTGCAGCTATTATGTGTATAAGTTCGTTCGACAACGTGTGTGTTATGATGCTCACTCCAGGCTGCAAGCCGGCCACTGCAATGCGGTTTTCCGATATCACTCCGACCAGCTTAGTAGCGTCTTGGGCATCGCCACCCGCTACACCCGACTACTACATTGTCAAGTACAGCCAGAGGAACAGAGAGCCACACACGGTCGCAGTGAGTGGAGGACAAAACTACGTGGTGTTGTCTGACTTAAAACCTGACACAGAGTACAGAGTGCGGGTCATTTCCGTCAAAGGGGTATCTTCGTCCAAACCCCTGATTGGTGACGTCTTCACAGGTACATTACCCAGAGCGCATTGCCGCTCACCTCTCTCGCTCTCTTCGATTGCCTCAAAATGTCTCGCCTTATCTTTGACATATATAAGAAAGAAAGCAAAAAAAAAACCCATCAATGATGTGTTGTCCGGGTTGGAACTGCACGTCGTTCGACTTGCGTCTGACCACCTTTCCCTCCACGTGCCTTGGAGCTTCCTGGAGGTTTCGAAACGTCGGGCGCCCATTACGAACCCAGTAAACCAATCGGAGAGCTGCCCACACAGCGCGACCGTGCACATCTAAAGTGAAATTTAATTAACGTTTCTTTTCTGCAGAGTGTTGCCAGACCGGAGGGGGGGCGGGGGGTTGCGTCCAAATGGAGAGCTTGCGTTTTAAGTGTTGAATGCACACTTTACTTTGGGAAGATTTGTCTTTCAGGTTGTCGCCAGCTTGGCTTGGAGCGACTGCGCAGTGCTTCCTCGTCCCACCCCCAACCTTTGTTGCTCACCCAGAGTTTTCTTCCGTATAAAGACGCCGAGACGTTTCCCTCCATACTGTCGTCACACACAAATATTTGTAAAAACACACATTTTGTATGACGACAGATATATGAGGATGCTTCCGTACGGTGATGGTTAGCGCAGTGGACTTTCAAATCCAGGGGTCAATCTCCCGGATGGGGCGGTTGAAACAATGGGAACATTTATTAAATCCCCCCCAAACCCCACCTCTCATTACCGAGCAGCCATTAATGGGTACAACACCAGTTGGTCGATCACGATCGGCAGGCAGCGTGTGGTGGGTTTAAAGTGTGGGTACTTCCCACCTCATAAAACTACTTCCCACCTATATTCTCGGTTCTTTCGGTAAAGTCACGTTGAAGGGAAACAATAAAATAATAAATTATATATCAAATATATATAAAACAATATTGTTTTATATTTTTTTATTATTATTTTATTGTTTCCCTTCAACGTGACTTTACCGAAAGAACCAAGAATATGAATCACTGCAGTCACGAAAGCTTTAAATCAAAATACTTCCCACCTCTTCTGTGAAATCGAGCCAGTATGGAAGAGTAGGCCAAAATAGCCTCTCGAGGGACTCTCTAGGGCTTCTGCGAGTGGAGCACCTTCTGCCAGCATTGGCATGAGCAAGCGATTGTAGGGCCGCACCTTAAAAAAAAATACTTTCACCAAGATATCTGCCTTGAGAAGAAATAAAAAAAACGTTTTTCAGATTAAAACCCATTTTACGGCAGCCTGCATGTTTATCCTCTTAGCCGTGACATCGCAAAAGTGAATTAATTTGTTCAATCGTTCCCCACCCCCCCCTCCCCCCCCGAAAAAAATTTCTCCACCACCTCTACAGCTTCAGGAAGCCTCCAGCCACCGTGCCCCGACGCGAACGCCGACGATGAGGATCTGAATAGCAGAGAAACGGGGGAGCCAGACTACGTCGAGATACAGCCTGCCTCCAACGACGCGCAAAAATGCAAATTCACAGAGAACGCCGAGTCGGCCTCGACCGCGCCACCCCCCGCCGACAAGGAGCTGTACGGCCTCAGCCCTGTTGACGTAGAGTCCTCAACAATGAGGCTGTCGTGGGCGTCGAAGCCCTTCGCTTTCCAGAACTTTGTCATAAAGTACGGGCCGGTGTCCGCCGGGAAGATGCGTAAAGTAGTGGTGGCCGGAGACTCCCGGTCGCTCAAAATTTCAGGGCTTAAAGGCAACACCGAGTACGTGGTTTCGCTCGCAGGGGTGCGTGATGATACCCTGTCACCGCCACTGACAATACGTGTCACGACAGGTACTGGATTATCCTTTTTTTATTATTTTTGCTCACGAACAAAACATTTTAATTGCAAAGATTTTAGAATTGTCTCTTCAACTGTCGGTGTATACATCACGTATGAACACTGTTCTTATTGTATTGCAAAAGGATGCGGCTTTGATCCGATGTTCATTGTAAAGGATATTTCTGCGGCGGTGTAGCGGTTAGCAACAACTCGACTTTGCAACGCAGAGGTCGCCGATTCGATTCGATCTCCCCTGCGTGACGGTTGAAACGACCGTGGCAAAATTGTCCTAAATCGTCCTCCTCGTCGTCCTCCATCCCCTGGCACCTGTCCAACACCGGCAGTGTGAATGGGATCAGCAAAGTGCGTCGATGGGCAAGGTTGCCTGCAGGTGGGGGCAAAGTGTCGGTGTATTCCCACCTCTCCCAAGATATCTGGCCATCATGGAAAAGGTAGAAAAATATATCCTCCAGAGGTCCCTGCAGTGGAGGCCCTACCAACAGCAGTGGCATGTACAAGAAATCGCAGGGCTGCACCTTTTACCGTTCAGAGAGATTTGAAAGGAATTTAAGCTTCTCAACGTTGTTTGGTCAATGTTAGGCCACTGCATCATTTTTTTGTTCGTACCACCAGGGCGTAGAGTTTCAGCTCCTATTGGGCTACGATATTTTATCGGCGGGGGGGGGGGGGGCATCTGATTTAATTGTATTCAAATATCGTACTCAAAGCAACAACGTGTCAATCTCCACCACGACGTTGTTGATTAACATCTTCCGTTTGTGTACACTCTACTTGAAAAGCCACAGCCTCCGAACGCGTGAGAAGAAGCCTTGGTTTGAGGCGTGCAGACAGCGTCCACAAGAAGTCGTTGGCTGCTACGCTTAAGGATGAAGGTGAAATCTTGAGCCAATTGACAGACGTGTCAGCCTCGATACCCCACAGAAAACGCGGGTCTGACAATCACGTTTCAGGGGACACAGGTACTACATTCAATATGAGAGGCAAATAGCCGCATTGCTTTATTTCCTGCCCTTTTCACTAACACTTTTTTAATTATGGGAACATAATACTTAGCTATCAAAATGATAAATTTGTATGGAAATTGAGCCCCCCAGGATGTATTGTGGGCAGCTTTCCATGGACCAGATTGATGAAGTATGGTTAAATAGCCCTGACGATGTGCACGGTGTGGGAAGGCTGTCACCCAGCAATGGATTGACAAAAGGGAAGCACATGTCCCTGTAGGGAATTGATGGCAGACGACCTGATACAGCAAATAGATTATTGAATCTATTGATTCTTGAATCTATTTATTCTTGAATCTATCTGTCGCCAAGCTTTGACCATTACTCCTTCGTATGCATGGGTATCCTCTGGCTAATCCAGTTTCCTCCCATGTGACAAACACTCGTTAATGGCATTCAGAATCAGCATCTGTAGTTAGACTAAAAGAATCCGATGAGCTATGAAGCTCTTTTTAACAGATGCCCAGTAGAGACATGAATTTCCATTAATTGATCAAACATCTCCAATGTAGCAGGATCCTCTTACAAAAGTCTTGAGACTTAGTGAGGTTTTCACATTATTATTACTACAATAAAAATGTAGGTGATGTAAAATTTATTTCATTTACCAACTTGTGTTTCCTCCTACAATTGCCTGTCTCACTTTATCCTAAAGTTGTTGTCTTTTTTACGCACTTATAATTTCAAACGAACATGTTATGACCTCACATTTTCTGAAACCACATGCTTTGCCCTATCCTTCATCAAATTAAAGCTTCAGTAACAATAATTCTATAAAAAAAAATAACAGATGTGTTTAGTTTAATATGCATTAAAAAAACTGTTTTGTTTTGAAGGCATTATTAACGTGAGGGAAACAAATGAGTGGAGAAACTCAGAGGCCTTTACATTACAAGTTGCCATTCACCTCTGCTTGCCAGCCTTCTCTCTTAGCGAGCACTAATCGAGCCGTGTCCGAGCGGTCAATATTAAACTTCTTTTGCCCCACCCCGCTTGCTGTGGGACCCCCGTATGGTTTGGGGCAGCGAGCCCATTTCTCCATCTTTCTATCCCCTCCTTTTCATAACCAGTTTGGCTCATGTCGACGGTGTGTACGTGAGTCATAACGTGATGTAACGGGCCCGCACATTGCCTCGATATACATGGTCAAAGAAAAATGTTCAACTTAATTCAACCACCAGTTGCTGACGTTCACGCACTCCGCTAAAGTGCCGACTTTCTGCCTGTCATTCAAACGCCTCGGGCTTTCACGACCCCGCGCCTCGTCGCCGCTTCGTAACGCATCTCTCCTTCTCTTTACAGGGCTGAGCAAAGCTTGGTCACTTCTAACCACCCGTGCGCGCGCGCGCGTGTGTGCGTGTGTGTGTTGTGTTTCTCTTCTTCTTTTGCTTTCAAGTTGACATTTCACTTCTCAATGTCTTTTTGTTGTTGATGCCCCGTTGTTTTGCCCCCTCCCCCCCGCCACCCCCAACGAAGCAGGTCTGGAGGTGAAACTTGTAAAGTCTGCATCTGTGATTGACCGCAAGGCACCCGAAGTTATATCCGAGAACGGTTATTTCTCCGAGATATATTCCTTCCTCAGTGGTTTAACTACAGATTTCAGCAGCGCAGCTAAGGGAAAAGGTACATGGAAATTAAACGCGTGCTTTAAATTCAATTACTTAATGAGAACATGGTGAGGATGTTGACAACTGTATTTTTATTCGGGGTGCAGCGTTGCATCTGTCTGTCATTTATTATCTATTCGTAAGTCTCACGATGTACGCATCGATGTCCGCATGTAAGAATCGCTGTCTTTTTTTTTATTGCTAAAAAATATCCACGCCAAAGTCACAGCTAGGCTAATGAAGTGAACTAAACAGTTACCAATGCAGTTCCAGAGGAAATGATCATTCTTCGCGACATCGTTTCGAAGGACGTGTTCTGTTGGTACACATTGCAGCGTGGGTCTTGGTGATGCAAGGACGTTAACCCCAACTGTTCAAATGTCGTTTGAAATCTCCTTCTGCGTGCGATGCGCAGATCCACCCATCCATCCCATTTGCATCCGAATGCTCTTCCTCTCCGGATCATTCTTTAACAGTCTTCTCATTGCAGCCTGCCGAGAGTGCCTTGGGGAACCGGCGAATTGCCCGGGTCGCGTGATGCCACCGATTTAAAAGCCTTCCCATCCCACCGCAAGAGGTTAAACTGCGAAGAGGGAGGCACTGTTGTCAGACTCCCCCCTCCCCGCCCCTCCGCCCTTTGGGAACCACCTTGCCTCTCGATTTGCATCACGTGACCTGCGAGGGTCCGCGCAAACAAAAAAAGATGCCCACGTGGCCGGTGATTTCGGTGAGAATTTGGGGCAAATCCGAGCGTGGGCTGGAGGGCATCGGGTCAACAGGGTTCCCCTCTCAGTTTAACACCTCCCTCCATTGCGATAACCACAACATGCTGACACCATGGCTCACAATGCAGAGTAAAATTCCCGTGAGCTTCATCGAGCGCTTGCACAAGCACCGAATCTGGTGGGGGGGGACCATCCCCCTCCTGCACGTCGATGCTTGGTGAGAGAGGGAGGGAGGGAGTTTGCAAATCCCCAATCCTTTGATCGGAATAACCAAAATGCTTCTGATCTCATCTGGATCTCGAGTGCTAAGCAGGTTTGAGCCTTGACATTGCTCCGACGGGCAACCGCCTTCGATACAAACACAAGCTGTTGTAGGCTGCTTGCAGGGCATCGTCAGCAGAGAGCCATGCAGCAAAATTAATTGTATTGCACTATGCGCCCATGTCTTCGCTGCCTGCGTTCACCAACCTGCGCTGACCAGCGCGGTAAAGTACTGTACAGTCAAATAGTCCCATGGCTTGGGGAGGCCCTCATCCAGCAGTGGATTGACAAAAGGGCTGTTACATGTAGACGTATTTTTTTTTTGCTTCGTTTTCACGACGCAGCCGCGAATATAGTGACCCCGGTTCCATATGAGGTGCAGGGCAGCTGGTTAGAGCTATCCATGCTACTCCAACGTCCCCCCATTCACGAACTTTCCCTCCCCCCACTAAGCTAGGTTGTGCCCAGCTGTATAAGGGAACACATGCATGCGTCCATCCTTTCAAGAAAGGCAAACTCCTTCATGATAGCCAAATGCAACAACAAAATGCCAATCCATTCACTGACTTTCATGGCAAATCTCCACAACGTGTACCTGGATTAACATCCGTTTCGCTTCACTGCATTGCCATTCCGATCGCCGTCTCCTGTGCAAATGTCATGTTCGCTTTGCAAGGAGATAAAACCGCATGGTCCCACGCTGCATGCAGCATCACATCTATCTAACCCATTAACTTTTTACACGACTAATCGCGACCCGCGCTTTGATGTATCAGCGTTCGTCTTTTTTTTTTATGCCCCGACTTGTCGTCTGCAAAGTCGGTCGTGCGATTCGGGTCGCTCGCCTCTCGGCCGCTGCCTCGCGCGCCCAAGATGCTGTATCTCTTGCGAACGTCGAATGCTGTGCGTGGCTGCGAGCAGCGATAGACACTCCCAGGGACATTGACTTTAAGGACACCAGGGAGACGTCCGTCGTCGTGGCCTGGACCGCTCCGTCCGCCGACGCAGACAGCTTCAAGATCGCTTACGTCCCGACGGCTGGAGGTACGCTAGCATAGGCGGTGCTGGGGAGGGTCATGTGGGTGGGGGGGGGGGGGGGTTCTGGGGGGGGGGGGTGGTCCGGGGGGGGGGCAGAGGGGAGGGCCATAAGGGGAATAATAGACTCAAGATCCGGTCACCACCTTCGTTAAGTGGCGAATAAATAAAAAAATCCAGCTGATGGCACTGCTGCAGAAGCTGTGAACCACTGCCAAGTGGCCCAAATTCAAGAGAGATGGCAGCAAGGGACTCGTTCAGCCGTCACGTGGCTGTCAAACTTGGACGTATAGAACCCTGAGGGCGATATTCACGAAGAGTGGACTTAAGTTCCCTCAACTAAACACTCGACCCATGTGAACGGGGTTTGTAGGAGCCATTTGATTTTTGTTTTATTGTAATGGGACAATGGCTGTGGATAACATCGGCTGCACCAAGCATCTAAAACGATCCTGGGTCTCTGCTCGATCAGCTCAGTCTTAAGTGAGTAACTGGTGTGGTTTGTAACATTGGAACATTGCCCTTTTACTGACTTTTGCTAGCCTTTAAATACAGTATGCTCGCTAACAGCGGGTCACATACCAATACCCGCCAATCGCCACTAAGTGACGGTGATGCCACCACTCCGTTTGTGCCAGACGAGGTGCACTTTGAGGCCACGTGAAGTGTCGAAAGCTTGCTGGCAGGAGGTCACGGAACAGACCCAGGTGCCATGGGTTGAGCGACTGATATGACTGGCAGATGCACCAGCTGTTCCTCCAGGAACAGGAGACTACTGCGCGTCACATGCCCCCAGAGCCTCTGACGCTAACGGGGAGGGTTCTTTGTCGTGATGTGGCAGGCGAGCCCGAGAGCCGGCGGGTGGCTTCGTCGCTGACGGAGGTTACGCTGACCCATCTGACCCCCGGCACGGAGTACGAAGTGAACCTCATCAGCGTCAAGGGCTTCCAGGAGAGCGATCCCCTTACGGGGACCTTCACCACCCGTACGTCCACAGAGCCCTTCACACATCCCCTCCCGTCCCCTCCCTCTTTCGTTTGAGATGAAAAAAAGTTTACAGCTCACAATACAGGGTCCTTCGAAAAAAATGTTAACACTTACATGGGAATAATCGTTTTTAATGGAAAAAGAAGATTATAACAAATGTATGTTAATAGCTTCAAAAAGTCAAAAGTCTGCACTTGTTCACCACATTGTCAACACGTGGCCTGGAATATTCTCCAGGTGGTCTCCAGAGCCCTGAGGCAGCAGCACATTTCTTGTGGTGTTGTTGCAAATTCTCAGAAAGTAATAATAGTTTTTTTAAGCACCCTAAAATTATCATCAGCCATGGTCACTCTTCTGCTGGATGAAGACCTCCCTCCTCACTGAACCTATGACACCCAACATACAGACCAAACAATCAATTATCACACGTGCAAATTTGACGCACGTATCACGCACATCGCGCGGGTAAGATTTGACTCGCCAATGAATCGACACGTCGTCCGCATAACTCGAGAATATGCGACGCTGACCGATCGTTCGCTTGCAACAACAAAAATATTCCATCCAGCTCACATCCGCCGGAATAATGCACTCTCGGGAGCCGCTGGCGGCGGCGGCGGCGGCTACGAGGACCTTTGATGGGCAAGCAAACGCGCGGACACGGTTGGGGTCAGGTGAATGTCATGCGCGCGCCCCGGGGTGCTGTGTGTTGCAGTGCTGGATAGCCCGTCCGTTCTGAGCGCGGAGGATGTCACCGACAGCTCGGCCCTGCTCAAGTGGAAGCCCACGATAGGCCCCGTGGACACCTACGCGCTCACCTACAGCTTCGAAGACGGTGAGCAAATGCATCCAGTAGGTTTAAAGCATCACGACTGGCCCAGAGAGTGATGGTACCCCATTCGTTTGGGATAGAAAGAAGAAAAATAGTGCGTGCACATGGATCCTTTCAATGCTTTACAACGTGCGTTTTGTCCTTGGAAGTCATTTAATCAGCGGCATGGAAGGCGAAGGATATGTTTTGGGCCTGAAAACCCATCCATTCTTGCGAATACTCTCGACGTTTTTGCGCTTTTTCCATCTCAAAGTTGTAGGAAACCCGTTGATAAATTTTGCCAGTTATTAACACAACTTTACAGTAAGGTTTCGTTCACATTGGATCACCTTTACCAGAGTTATCGTGCATCCCCGTTACGGACGGACAGCCGGACACAGCTACTGCATTAATGCTTTCGACCTCAATCGGCGTAACCTTTGCCCATCCTTTTCTCGTGGCAACGTCCATTTGTTGTCCTTCCCCCGCACCTACGTACGGTTCGAAATAAGTTCTACATGCATACGTCAATCACAACACATTATTATGTCACTGCGCCACCACTCCCCCCACCACCACCACCTGCGGTCTGAATTCACCGTTTCGTGAACGCAAAAGCGGATCAATTATGGCCATCCGTTGCGGCTTTACCCTCCCCCCCCCCCCCCCCCAAATTAGAAGAGCCCGTGACCGTCACCGTTTCGGGCGGCACGGTTGAACACCAGCTGACCGACCTGAATCCCAACACGCCGTACGTCGCCAGGGTTCGCGCGGTCAAGGGAGCCCAGCAGAGCGCGGACACGGCAGTCGACTTCATCACCGGTGAGCGATGGTCACGGCCGGCGCCCCGGATGCCACTTAGAGGTTGCCACCTGGCCCGGTTTTCTCAGGATCGCCCTCGTGCGGAGGTAGATGATAATAATAATGATGATGATAATGCCTTTTATATTTATCCAGGGGGCGGTGTGGTCGCCCAAATTGGGTAATTTCTAGGTTGAAAAATTTGGACGATGACACCGGCGCACATCATGGGCTATGATTTTTCGAATAATATCATGGAATCTTTAACACGTCGGCTTTCACGACCAATATTATCCGTGATAGAGGTTGTGTTGTAAGATCGAATTGTAAATGTTGTGGGTTTACTCTCCAACACACCGGTGTGCTGAACTAGTAACCAATTGGGATGTTTTGTTTACGTGACAAACCTTACTAAATGGCTGTGTTAGGTGGCGGCGGGTTTAACGACACATTTATATTTACGCGATCTCACCCAAAAAAACAACCTCATTATGAACAGTAGGAGGCAACACTTTCCCACCTGCCCTGTCCCTAAGATAATGTCTGTCTCTCATATTGGGATTTAGCCAATTTCAGTGCAGAACCAAATGTTATATTGCGCGTTTTTTTGTGCAGATATTCGTGACTGGGCTGATATCATCAATTGTGCACAATCCCTTGAGAACCCATTGTAATCACAGGTGGCTGCCAGCATTCGAACCCAAGATCTGAACAGCTTTTGCCTCAACTACGCAGTCATCTGTTTTATTTTTTATCGGTAACATTTCTATTATGTTACACATATGAATAATGTTTCCTCTGTGACATCTGGTCGTAATGAAAAAGCAGCAGTAAATTTCTCGCATTTAATCGCTTACATCTGGCCACGTAAAAGGAATGCACCATGTGTTACTGATGTTATCCACTCGGGATGTATCAATCATCCCCTCCACTATTCATCGTATGGTCACAATTCGGGATCAGGATTCAATTCATGAGCTTTTTTTGCCATGGTGGTGCACAGAGAATATGTAGTGATGAATATATATATATCATTTAAATAATTTAGTCCTTTGTCAATCCACTGCTGGACGAAGGCCACCCCGATGCCGTGGTCAGTCATGGGGGTTGTTTGATTATACATCACCTTCGGCAACCGATGCTGACCAGTGTGGTGAAGTATGGTTAAACAAACCTCCCTGCCAGGCACGACACGGAGAGGCCTTCATCCAGCAATGTCTTGAGAAAGCATAGTCAATGATCTGTTGCGCTCAGCGGATTGTTGAATAGTGTTGGTGCAAACTGCATAACAAATTTGAGGATTCATCTTCTTGGTTCTTTCGGTAAAGTCACGTAGAATGGAAATAAAATAATAAAAATTAAACATAATAAAATAAAATTCTCACGACGTTTCGGCCACAACACAAGTAGCCTTCTTCAGGTGAAGGAACAGAACTGTCGGGACGACAGCGCTTCAATGAACACTGCTAAGCTTGGCAGCGTCTTTTAAGCTGGGTGGGAGGAGCAGAGCGCCTTGAAAAAGGAGTTATACATATCAACAGAAGAATTTAGCATTGAAGTAGCTGTGTTAATGTGTTGGATTAGCAGGGTGTTAAAGTCAGAAATTAGCATGTAACTGGGAGATTAGCATGATATTAGTGTGAGGGATTAGCATGTAACTGGTCACGGAAGTAGCTATGTTAAAGTCAGAGTTTACATATCAACAGAGGCATTTAGTATATTGACGCTAAAGAACTGCAACTACCCAACTATCATACAATAAGCCGATGTGAAAGAACTAAGTATAAACTACATCAATATAATAAATATACTCAATATATTATTCAATAAGTTGAGCTATTAACATAAAGTTACTGGGTATACACTACACTATATAATGAATTTGAGGATCGCTGACCAAAACCTAGTGGCCATACGGTTTCGGAAAGCCCACTGCTCTATATCAAGTAAAACAGCACGAGGATGACGATGACGACGACATTATACAGAGCAAAATCCATAAGTATGTATGTTGAACTTCTTTCGCACCGTACGTAGCCAACAGTGCTATTTGGAGGTGCGGGGAAAGGACAACAAAACTAAACACCAAAAATCAGTTTTAAATAAATTCGTTTTCAATCTAGATTTGAAAGTGCGCAGCTCCAGTGGGCTTCCTAATATCGGAAGGAAAGAGCGTTCCAGACGGCCGCAGAGGCGCATCCGAAATCACCGCGTGATGCGGTGACCGCCCTTATTCGATCGCCAGCCAAAATCCGCCCCTGCAGCGTTCGCCGCGGTGGGTTAATGCTCCTTGACGAGGCGATCAGCAAGCTATTGTGCTTCATTTGTGGCAACGTTGTTGAACGATGATTATTGAACCGTTGCGAGCAGCCCGAAAGAAGACGAGCTTCCCCAGGGACTGCAGCGAGGCCTTGCAGGGCGACCAGGCCAGCGGCGTGTTCACCATCTTCCTGAACGGCAACGCGAGCCAGCCACTGCCGGTCTACTGCGACATGACCACCGACGGCGGAGGATGGATCGTGAGTGGCCATTTTTCTCAACCGGGGTCGTTTTTTGTTCTTTTTTCCTCCTCTTCCTCACAATAATTTACATTTCCCTGACGGAAGTTGTACAGAAGTTGTACAGGAAACGATGTGGCATTGCGACGGGGCACGTTTAATTCCTCAGCAACTCAAAAAGAACCTTTTGCGTGACATTTCGTCTCACAAGGGGACCCCCCCTCCCTAGTGGCAGCTGTCCCTGTGCGGCACAAGGTGTATCAGAGGGCTGCAGGGTTGCTGCGGGCAGTCCATTGATGTACTGCAAATCTATGCTTCCCGCCTCCACCGACTGACTGTTGTGGTGAAATATGGTCAAACAAATGCCACGACACCATACAAACTTTTGAGGGCCCTCATCCGGCAGTGTAGAGACAAAAAGGCTGTAAATGTCAAATGTTACATCTCGGAATACTTGTCAGTGTCTAGCCACGGGAAAATCTTTGGAGCTGACCAACCGACTCACGAGTTTTTTACGACTGACGTACGCGGCATTGCCTTGGCATTCGTTCAGAAAGGTTCGCTAAGCGCGGTGTTTCATGTGCATTCACACAGGTCGTACAGAGGCGTCAAAACGGGCTCACGGACTTCTTTCGTAACTGGAAGGCGTACGAGAAAGGCTTTGGAGACATCAACGATGAATTCTGGCTCGGTAAATAGCATCTCAGCCGTTAGCCTCCGTCACCCGAAATGCACCCCATCTGATAATTTTTTGGAAGCCGCGCAGAGGGCTAAACCTGGATGGAGCTGCACACTGCTGCAGATCTGCTGCCGCCGCTACGTCGGGAAAGAAGAGTGCAGCAAAATCGACTGTTGTACTGTGATTCTATCCCCCCCCCCCCCCCCCCCCGTGTTCACAAACCTGCATTGACCAGCGTGGTGAAATATGGTCAAATAATCCTTACGACCTGCACGACATGTGGTGGGGAGGGGAATCCTCATCAAGCGGTGGATTTACAAAAGGGCTTAGTTTCTTAGTTTTATGGTGTCGGACTCAATTTGATATGAGGTGAGGAGCACTGTTAAACGTCATTCGTTGACTAATGTACTTTCCGTTTAGAGGAGCAACGTGCGTCTCTATAAACGTGCGTTTTAGATTATCTGGCTGCTGTAAATTTCCACGCGATAAGCCACGTCTCGTTGAGCTGTCGTTTGTGGCCAGATCGCTTCTCAAAATAGATCTGCATGGCTTAGCGGGCCTTACCTGGTAAAATAAAATACATAGTTTATTAGTTTAGTTTAGTTTTACTCGTATTGGTTTTACATTTTATGGCAATAAAACAGCTGTTAAATGTTCAAACACCAAATAGATAATGAGGTCAATCACTTTCAAAGACAATGCATATATAAATCAGAGAGTGTTTGTATGTTTTTCCACAAGTACTCTGTGTGGTTAATGCAGACTCGATTCCTTGCAAAAAGGGGTAGCTATTTGGTGTTTGAACATCATAACAACTCCTGTTTAATTGCCAGAAAGGGGTAAAACCAATTCTTCATACTCTTTGGTTCTTTCGGTAAAGTCACGTAGATAGGAAAATAAATAATAGATCAGGACGTTTCGATCGCAACAACAAGCGACCGTCTTCAGGTGAGAGAGAGAAGCATGCCGTCGTGGCGAGAATTCCTGCAGTCACGAAAAGCTTCAAATCGCAATTCTTATTAATATTATCATACATTTTTCATACTTTGATGCTGGCAAAAAAGGTCCCATAGCTATAGGTTACTCGTCCCTGCGTGAGTTTTTACGGGTTATACGGCATCGTTCTCCCGATGCGTTTTCGGGGTCGCGGCACAGCAAGCCCCGAAGTCGCACGTCAGTGGCGAGGTCAGGGTTGTGGGGGGGGGGGCTTCACGTCCTCGTCCTCGTCTCTCAACCGCCCTCGCCGCTGCGTCACCCCCGCAGGCCTCCAGAACATCTTTGCGCTGACGTCGCAAGGGCGCTACGAGCTGCGCGTGGACCTGCGAGACGGCGAGTGGGGCGCCCACGCCGTGTACGACCACTTCTCCGTGGCCAACGCCAGCGGCCTCTACCGACTCAAAGTCGGCGAATACAGCGGGACGGCCGGTGAGAACCCTCCCCCGCCCGGTCGGAACGAGATAGACAGAATTATCCACCCCGCCACCGCCCACCGCCTCCCGCCACCCCCCCCCCCACCCCCCCAAAGATAAATGACACTTGTTCTTCAATCGCTGGACGTTTCAGAGCAGCCTCTGATTGCTGGGTGGGGTGGGGGGCGGGCGGTGAAAGAGGCCCGAGCCCCCTCTGCTGAATGGTTCAAGTCACCCTTTTTGCCATTAATGTGCGAGCTTCGTTTGATATACAAACCCTCCACGGCAGTTGGGGGGGAGGGGGGGGGCGGGCTGTACAAAAAGCCTCGTAGTATCTGTTGAACTTGTTTCGCACCGTACGTAGCCATCCGTGCCAATCGGAGGCAGAGTAGAATTAAGCGATGGGCATTGCCGCCTTGCCTCGTACGCACAGGGAGAGTGGGGTGAGGCTGAGAGCAAAATCCACAATCGACAAGCACAGACGCTGCCGTTACTTACTCATTCTGCTTAGCGTTTAACTTCCCTATTCAGTTTGTTAAGCATCGACTGCCGTGCTCGTATTGTGTCCTCCCCCCACCCCAGTTTTTTGTAAACAAGGTCGCGTTATGGGGCTGTCTCAGGATTTCTTGCGTTACGTTGAACTTCTTTCGCACCGCACATAGCCAGCCGTGCTAATCGGAGGTGCTTGTCACTTCCCTGTGCGCCGCCCTCCGCCCCCCGCCATCCACCCCACGTGGTCCTACGCAGGCGACTCAATGACCTACCACCAGGGCCGTCCGTTCTCGACGGTGGACCGGGACAACGACCTGGCCATCACCAACTGCGCCGTCTCCTACCACGGCGCCTGGTGGTACAAGAACTGCCACCGGGCCAACCTCAACGGCAAATACGGAGACACAAGCCACAGCCAGGTGCGGGCACGGCACTCGGCCTCGCGGCACGGCCACCGATCAGCATACGTACATACAAAAGTATCACGCATCATGTATCCCTCCGTCGCGTATTTTTGGCAGTCAAGACTGATTCGCGAATTTGAAACGAGGATCTCAGCAGTGGCAGCTAATCGCGCTGACCTCTAAACCACCCAGCCATCACTTCGGGTTTTGATCTGCGTTAGCTTAACATAATACACTCCGATTGCTGGAATTTGTGACGTTGCTAAGATTTTCGTAAGCTATGTCCAATGTTGAAGTAACGACAATGAAGATTTATAATAAATAAAAACTTTACTAAAACATATTTTGGGTTTAAATATCATTGAACGGTGTCTACGATGCGAACGTTGTCAACTTTTCACGCATTTTCATTTCTCACCCCAACCTTTGTGGCTACATTCGTTTGTCGTTTTTTTTTTGGTTTCGTTTTCTCCGATAACAGGGCGTCAACTGGTACCACTGGAAAGGCCACGAGTACTCCGTTCCGTTTGTGGAGATGAAGATTCGCCCGTTCGCCGCTGCCAAGAGGGGCAGCAGACAGCACCTGCGGCAGCTCGGGAGAGAAGGGCGGAATTAGACGTGGGCTTTGATGTAGCATGTGGGTTGGCTACGTACGATGCAAAAAATGTTCAACGTACTTGCATTCATTGAAGGAAGAGATGCCTCCGCACCCACCGCCCTCCTCCCCCCCAAAAAAATAACGAAACAGCTTTTTGCCTTTTGTAGACACACACGTAGCCTGTCGGTCCGACGTGCGATTGAAGTTTGTCAGCGAGTAAAATACTTTCAAATTACTCTTTTGGCGTGCCGTCGTTGTGGCACTGCAGTAACATTGTAGTAAAGTGTAAATCAATTCGAACAACACGCGCCGTACAACCTGAAAACACATCGGAGAGCTGTACAGTTATGTCGCAGCGCGATCATGAGATCAAATTTTTGTTTTTCATTAACGAAGCTTCAATCTCGTGTCGGGCAGCCCAGGTGAACACAGCGCCTAGCTAGGCGAGTATAAAATCTGCGAACTAAGAGCTGTCCGGCTCTCAGACGTGTTTTCAGGCTGTACCACGTGTCCTTTGGTATCATGTCCGTCGTTTTACGCCACGTTCTGAGACCTTATCCAGGGACAAAATTGAGCATCTCCCGTTCTACCTTGACTGCGTAAACGTCACCGGCTACTGCCGGTGTCGGTCATCGTCAAGAACCAGCCACAAGAGCGGCACTCCAGCGACGCTATATAATCAAGGGAGAACGGCGATCTGTGCTCAATTCGGTTCCCGGAGAAGCTCCCGGCACGTGGAGCGAAACGTCGGACATCATTCCAGAGGACGCGCGGCAACGACCCGAAAACAAATAGCGGGGATCTGCACAACTCGACCGCGACGACCTACGCAGTAGAATAACAGCTGATTTGCTTTTTTGTAGAGTTGTCTTACGTAACGGACAGTGCTGGCAGTTGACTGACACGTTGGGTTCCACGTTGAAAGTCAACGGGTCAACAATTACACATCACGCATCCGGGAATTTTCTTTTTTTCTTTTTGAACGTCTAGCACAGCGTCCGTGAGCAGTGTCAGCAGACGACCTTGCTGCCAGCACCGTGCTCTAACAGATAGTTGACAAAGAGATTTGAAAGATCAGTTTATATATTCTTAACAAGCATAGAGACAATACTTTATTATGACGAAATGTTTCATTTATGTTGTTTTTATTTGGGTCAACTCCGTTTATGTTATTTTACCTATCAGAAGCAAGGAACAGAGAGTTTAGATAAACGATCAAAGCTCTAGCTTGGTGATTGCCCACCATCCAATTGCTTCCGTTGCTATACGATGTTATTTCATGTAGTATTGAGAGATGTTATTCAATACAGTCTATTACATTATATTAAGTACCCAAAAGAATCGACATTTTTTGTCATCTGTGTCCTAGAATAAACACATTTCCTTTTGGCAAGACATTGATAACCCTGCATAGACGCCTCTGTCGGGTTACAAGGTGTGAATGGTGCTAGATTAAAAAAAAAAGTTATTACAAATTTCACACTGCCTGAACTAACCTTCGCTTACCCTGGCTAAGATGGTATATTTGCTGTTTTGAGAATATTTTTACCAAAGCACTGTACATAAAAGAGATGATTATATAAACGGTCAGTACACAAAACTTGTGAAACTCATAGCTTTGTATTGCAATATATTTTAATTCTGAAAAAACAAATCTTAATTATATATATCTCTTGAAAGAAAAAAATTCAACTTAACAAGTTTAAGATTAAGAAGTTTAAGATTAGCATTACTGCAGCTCGAATTTTGAAGGGCATTGTCAAGAGGACACTGTGGTGCCAAAGCTTTTTTTGTCTTGTATTTAAGTAAATGTATATGAATAAATTGGTTAAGTCCCTTGGAGTTAAAACTATATCCAAATTAATTGGAACATTTTCAGTTTCATTGCTCTATATGCTGTGGATGTGTTTCAAGTAGGGGTGGAATGATTTACCCGCCGCTGGCAATTAAATGACTTCTCGTGAACCGGGATCATAGTTCGATTTGGTGAATGGTAGCCGCCACCTCAAGCGGCTGCAGGAGTGACATTGATTTTTACGTGTGCTTAATAATGTATTCCCATGAATCGATGTATCATCCCACCCTTAAATTCGAGACACTGGCGATGTTGCTGTCAAGCTTAAAGTTAAGTACCAGCATTTTACTTGCTGGAAATCTGCATTTTATCCAGTAGAATGTCAATGTTTATGGCATCAGACCTGTTATGTTTTTTTGAATAATCTTAAGATGCCTCTCATCATAAATGCTCCTGTTAGAATGAAATGCTTTATTAAATCAACATCGGCTTCATATTCCCTGTACAACAGTGTATTGCAATAAATGGGAATGATCCTCAACAATGTTGTGTTTGTTACATAATTGTTATTGTTTTATGACTGGGGATGTGAACGTGTTTTTGTTTATACAGGCCTTGAGCACCACCACGCCACGACGCTCTGCAAGGCTACCGAGTACTCAGGACTCACCCTGGGGAACACTTTTGTGTTAATTAGTTCGAAAGCAGAATGACAATCAATACATCACCAGCACTTTGAATAGAAGTGAGTTTATTTAGTAATACCGTTTTGATTATAGAAGGGTTTGTTACACAATGGATACTATTCATATATTTTAAAACTGGTAATCAGAAAAATTATTTTTAAATGTAAGTCTCATCAGGCCTCATGGTGTCACGTGAAATCTGCCACTGTTATTGTTCAGACCATATCTTGGGCCTCGCGACAGTGCTATGACAAACGGCCATTGCCCGAAGCATTAACATTCCAGCACGTGACAATTAGGGGCCTCCAATGAACAATCGAAACCAACCAATCGCTTCATCGCATGGTTCTGCCCTCTCGGTCAGGTCATGCCTTCCTTAAGACAAACGAAAAATGATTTTGCAACGTGGTCTGCTACTTCTTGTAGCAGACTTTTTGATATGCGTGTAGTGCTTAGTGTAGTGGGGTCAGCAGACCCCGATTGCATCGTTTTAAATGGTTTTGAAATGTATTTTAAAAAAACGTCTGAAAGCCATGTAGAACAGCACACATCACTCCAACTCCCTCGTTAATCGCGAGCCCCGTCTAGGACTCTGCTCCTTTAAATCCTCATACCCCCCCCATAAAATCCTCGTACCCCCATAAACTGATCTTTCAAAGAAGAAGTCATTTTTTTCTTTTGTCTTTCACCACAAAATTATTCCGAGAGCTGCATCAGACGCAAAGCTACACGAACACAGCAAGTACACAGCATATGAAAAACAAATTCTGACTTAAACAAAATAGGTGATGGAATAAACTGCATATTATAGTACAAAGACGAGAATAAAGTGACATGTTTTTTTAAACAGCTGCCAACAACGAAACAGCCATAGAGCCGCAAGGGGGCAGTCAAAGAGTCGTGTGCGGCTCCGAAGCCGCAGGTTGGTGACCCCTGCCCTAAATCCTCATTCGCCCCCTCTCCCTGATCCGTTACAAAATGCCGAACGAGGTCACCACAGCCAGAATCGTAAATCCGCAATCAAACCCGACACGTGAAGATGCGTAAATCACGTCTCTCCGTCCAGAGCCGGAATCAACAAACAACCCCACACACAACGAGAAACTGCAAGTGCGCGCACGTGTCCCCAGCATGAACGGACACGGTACCTTGTGATCGAACAAACTCGTGTGTTAATGACAGAGACCATCCCTCTCACCGACATGCTTCGTCCTGCGGATGGTGGGCCCACAGGACGTGGGCCAACGTAGCCAGTTCGGGCCGGGCCCGACCTGGCTACGTGGGGTCACCCGGCCACCAGGCGTTTTGCCGGCGAACATCACTCCCGGGCCGGGCTCCGGGCGGGTGTGTCACGTAGGGGCCGGATTCAGGCGCGGGGCTTTAGGGGCCGTCCATAAATGACGTCACGCACCTGGGGGGGGGGGGGGGTCAGACATTTGTGACGATGTGTTACGAGGGTGGGGGGGGGGGTGAGAAATGTGACGTCACATCAAAATGAGCAACTTTAAATAAATATAGACAACACGTTCTACTTAATTGAATAGACTTTTAAATAAATGTTTTCTCCTACAACATCAGAGTGCAGCACCACATTAAATACGCACTACAATGACAATAGTTTAAAGCGATTTGAAGCATGTTTTATATATATTTGGGGGGGGGCACAGCTTTGTGACGTCATATTTGAGGGGGGGGGTCTGACTCTTTGTGATGCCGTGTGACGAGGGGGGGGGGGTCAAAAATCGTACAAAATCACGTGACGTCATTATGGACTGTCCCTTAGGCGCTGCAGCCCAGGGGACTCCGTCAGCTGGAGGGCCTCCAGAGATTCAGTGAAAAGTTATTTCGTTTGTGAATGCTGAATTTTATTTGTTGTTAGCCTTGTAAAAATAAATAAGATTTGTATTTTTACTTTGGTTTCCTTTTGAAAATATTACTGGGGGCCTCACAGTACCTGTAGCCCAGGGGCCTACAAAATGTTAATCCGGCACCTGGTGTCACGATATCCCTTTGGTGCTTTGAGACCATTCATGATTTGGATTTTGTTTGGGACTGTTATTTGTCTGGAACCTCCCCACCAGACCTGTTCGCCAAGGGAGACCCGACCAGGAGTGTAAGACTCCAGGCGACATAGCTCTGAGGTTCATTTGAACACACAAACTCCACCACCACCACGACATCAGCTGTCAACCCACACCGGTTCACACCGTATTCTTGTACAGGGAAATTGAGTTTTCAGGCCCATACGGCGTACAGCCGTTTCAATACGGGCAAAAAAAGACCATTTCTATTTGTTTGGGTTTCTCCCTTGTGGTGGGGCTTTGTCGGATGAACGCTGAGATTTATAAGGGGCGCGGGGTGACCAAAAAGGTCTCAATTGGTCTGTAATAAAAGAGGCACTGATAAAGGGTTGACAGGGATGCCACGATATGGTTTACGATCCGCCGGTGGGGATGGTAATAGGTTCAGGAGGGAAATGCCAACGTCGAAGTCTGCTTGACCACCACTAGAGGGCTTCGGAAGAGCGTTCGCGTCGTGTTCCTGCTCCGTTGAAGGATCGCTGACTGCGGTGGTTTCCTGCATGGTTCACAATGTTGGTTGCATGACCTACAGTCACACTGCTTCTGCCTTGTCTTTAAATTTACTGCGTATGCTACCCGACGCTGCAAGTGATCGTGCTGTATTAGTGTACACTCACATTGCGAGTAATATACAGGGTGGGAAAGTCCCTACATCCTTACCTGCAGCAGTCATAACACGTTTTCAAGCCAGGGACTTCTATTATATATTTCGCACACGCCATACCTCATGAGCAATCGTCTAGGTATTCCAGTGGAACGTTTCAAATTAATTTAAATAATGAGAGAGTGGTGTCCGGAAAACATGGCTTCGATTCCTGACTGTGACTAGCACCCATGGCGAATTATATCTGAACCGGTCCTGGAAATCCCCCCCCCCCCCCTTGTTCACCAAATCGCACGAAACAAGCGTGCTGAAGTATGGACTACGTACGGTGCGATAGAAGTCCAACGTACATACAGCATGGCAGGGATTTAAAAATGCTGAAAATTAGAATTGAAATCACAATTGTTCAATATAACCACAAGGTGGAGCTCGTCGCCCAGAGCCTGCTTGCGGGGATCAGTTTATATTTTGTATTGTTTTCAACTATACAATTTAATGCGTAAGCAAATCATAGTGTCTAAATAGTTTCAGCATGTCGGCACAGGATATACGGCAGTGGAAACAAGTGACACAAATTGCAGTGGACACCTACGGGCTTTTTGCCCATGGAGTTTGATGATGATATAAGCACAAACTTCGGTTGGCTACGTACGGTGCGAAAAAAGTTAAACATACATACAGTATGGCAGGGCGCGCAGCAGTGGATTTGCAAATGATGAAAGTAAAACTTGTAAACACAATTGTTCAATAGAACCACAAGGTGGCGCGCGTCGTCCAGAGCGTGTGTGAAGGATCCGCTTATATTCTGTATTGTTTTCAACCATACAATTTAATGCGTAAGCAAATTCATAGTGTCTCAATTGTTTCAGCATGTTGGCACAGAATATAGGGGCAGTGGAAACAAGTGACACAAATTGCAGTGGACACCAACAGGCGTTTTGCCCATGGAGTTTGATGATGACGATATAAGCACAAACTTCGGTTTAACACTTAGGCTTTCGCGGCCGATATTAACCATAAGAGGTTTTTTGGTTTTACTCTCCAACACACCAGTGTGCAGAAATCGTAATGAATTGGCACGTTTTGTTTACGTGACAAACCTTACGAATTGGCTGTCTGGTGTTGGCGGGTTTAACGACACATTTATATTGACGCAATCTAACCTAAAAACCTCCATTTTAAACAAACTTATTAACAGTGATATAAACTAGGCTAACACTAGTTTGACTATGTCAAAACTATTTTATATAACTTTCTTTGTTGTTGAAATGCCGGCCGAATATGTTTTCCCCTGCAGTGTCATTAATTGTTTTCCCTCCACAACTTTATTGCGATTGTGCTCTTGCAGTATTCTTTCCGGAGACAAAGCAACTCTTGGGATCTCACGCAAAACCGCCCGCGGAAGTGAATATCACAGAACTACCGTGACATTCCTTCATGTGACCTTTGTACCACACAAGCCGAGGGCAAAACTCTCCCACCCGCCACTTCGACTGACACTTAATCCGATATTGTGAATTCTGAGAGCTGATTTTTTTTTTCCAAAAATAATTGCAGAATCAAGTTTAATTTCATTTTTGCGGTAATTGGTGGCCGTTCTCACACTAGACTTGAGAACGTAATTAAATCACAGGCTGGCCGAAATTTGGATTCGAAACCTGGTTATGTAGCGGTGCCAGCTCAACGCTCTGACCTTTGATCCCACCCGGTCATCTCTGACCTCTGAACCCATCCACTATTTTTCTCCAATTAAGTTAGGACATTGTTTACCCAAATTCATTTGAGCGTAATTCTTTCACCCTTTTGATTGACATTTCCTTTGTTCCGTTTGGTTTTGCGTGAGACGATAACGGATTGTCCGGAGAACACCCGTGCATACCAGGGGAGACCACTGCACAACATCACTGAATGTTATTGCATAAAAATGTGACATCGTTTACAGTCTACGCGTTATCGAAAGCATGCCTGGGTGCACGGAATGCACATCTATTGTGTTATAGGAATCAATAGAAGGTTTGCCACGCTATTTGGCTTTAAGGGCACACTTTTTTCTGAATAATTAAGAACAAAAACATCTAATTTTATATTTGAATTCATCTTCATGCTCAGCCATTATCAATCCACTGCTGGATGAAGGCCTCCTCAAGCCTTTGCAATATTTTACGATCCTAAGATTTAATACTTAACCTAACACACGAGCTGAACGCGTCGTTCCGTCTCCTCTAGAGGCACTTAAATGCGTTTCATTCATTGATTGCCAGCGCATTTGAATTCGGCATTCGCTAAATGTCCAGATACAAACTATGGGCACCCCCCCTAAGCTCAAGCACAAAAGCGTTCACTATTGGATGGGGGACAGCCGATATTATTTTAGAATGTTAACATCTTGTGTTGGGAATCAGAAACCCTTCAAAAACCTCCAGATACTGACTTGCATAGCTCTACATTCAAACGCACAGCACGTGTTATGGCTTTGTCTAGATTTTTTTTGGGAGCTACAATTCTTTTGTACATTTGATGTTATTATTTTCTAATCTTATTGCATACTGCACGTGGATTTAGCAACGATGAAAACCTCGAGATTAAAAAAAAAAACATCCGTAAAAAAGTTTGTTATTTTGTTGTTGATCCTAAACTATTCGGGAAGGTCAAGTGCGTAAAAATAAAACCAACCATATGTTTCTATTTACAAGCACATAATCAACTGTATAGTTACGTAAATATTTTCAGCTTGCTATCCCTCTTTGAACATCAGTCGAACTTAGATCAAGACAGTCTTGATGCACGCGCTAAATCGAGTGCTATTGAAATATAGCAGCAGCAGCAACAACAAGAACAGAATCTAAATGAAGTGAACACACGTGGGCCGGCCTGAATGGCTTTGGCCCACTCTTGCTGGTGTTGTTGTCGTCTCATTTTGAACCAAGGGAACACACACAAAAAAAACACATCCAAGGCGCGTATTCACATTTGTGTTCTGGCCAAAGCTTTGCGTTGGGGGTAAGGGGGAGGGGGGAGTTCGTAAGCTCTGCCTAGGTTTTTTTTTCTCTCTAGGGGAGGGTTGGAGGATGGACTCTGGGAGGCGAGAGGGCGAGGGAGGGGAGGGGAGGAGAGAGAGAGAGAGAAGAGAGATTAGCGCTGCTCCGAGTTCAAGAGACGAGTGGAACGATGGTAGCTTTACCGCTCCGACTACCGTCATCATCATCACCATCACACTTCTCGCTCGGGGAGATGTGTCTCCGCACCCGCTCATGGGATGGTGTAGCAGCGACCGGGAGCCGGGCTAAGCGTCCGGGCTGCGTTTGATTCAAGAGGAATAAGACGACGAAGGATAGCGAAGGGAAGTGAAGAGAGGTTGGTTGGTTGGCGGCGGCGGCGACGGCGGTGGTGGTGTGGAGAGGGTTCGAGATTGAAGGGAGGTCACGAGTGGTCGTGGGGAGACGGAACGCTGGTGGATTCGCAAGCGACTGGGCACGCTTACTGGCACGTACGCATTCGCGTCTCCAGACACACGTGGTGGACTCTCAATCACATCCACTTTAGACGCTACGTACACATGCGCTGTATACACACGTGCACTGCGTTCATACGTGAAACAAACACACTGCATTAATCAGACTGCTTGTTCATGTTGTACGTACACACACACAGTAACAGCGTATGCGCTATGTAACGCACACGTGCCGTACATACATGTAAACACACACTACATTCACACTACTTGCGCATGTGCTGCGTACACAATCCACTACACACATGTAACGTAACACACACTGCATTCACATACTACTTGTACATGTGCTGTGTACACATGCACTACATATATGTAACACACGCGACATTGACATACTACATGTCATGTGCTATGTACATATACACGCTATGTTCAGATGTACATACATGTAACATACTACATTCAAGCGCTATGACACGCATGGCACATGTATGAATGTAGCGCGTGTAATGTGTGAACAGCATACGCGTGTCAATGTGTTTCATTGTGGTGTAACATGTCAATGTGTGTGTGTAACATACGTTTAACATGACACAGTATACACTACACTACGTGTTTGAACATACGTAGTGTAGTGTATACTGTGTGTGTAGTGCATGTATATAGCATGTATATGAATGCGTGTGAAATGTGTTTAAATGTAGCTTGTGTAACATGCCTTCATTTAGTGTGTGTGTGTAAATATTGTGTGAATGTATGAAACTGTTTCAAAACATTTTCTTATTTACACGTTACACAGTAACTCATGCGTACTACATGCACACTACATTCACGCATCACACACTACATTCACACACGTTGACACATGTAAACTGTGTTACACATTACACACACTTCATTCATACATGTAACACACTACACATACATTGACACATGTAAACTGTTGAGACATTACACACTTCATTCATACATGTAACACACTACACACACACTGACATGTAAACTGTTTACACATTACACACTTCATTCATACATTTAACACACTACACACACACTGACACGTAAACTGTTCACACATTTACCACTCATTCATACATGTAGCACACTACACACACGGACACATGTAAACTTTTTACACATTACACACTTCATTCATACATGTAACACACTACACACACACTGACACGTAAACTGTTCACACATTTACCACTTCATTCATACATGTAACACACTACACACACGGACACATGTAAACTTTTTACACATTACACACTTCATTCATACATGTAACACACACACTGACACACTTTACATGCAGCACATGCAGACACACATGTTAACACACGTACGTTCGTATGCCAATTAATGGAAATTCTGACATGATGTTTAAGCACGCAAGGCTACATTCACACACGTTAAACTACTGTATTTACTATTGCACACACACGCATGCCACATACACTCCTGGGAAGTATAACACTATAATATAACACTCATTATTATTACATACATGTCGTGTGTTAACAACGTATTACGGTCTAACACATACAGCCATACATGTGCAACGCATGTTCACACACGGGAACACATTACTTTGAATGCACGCGTGTGTAGTCACCGCATTCTGTATAACGTGTGAGAATGCACGTGTCATGTATGTTGGAATACATTGCGTGTATGCGTGTGTGTTTGACTTGTATCTTGTGTGTATGTTGTAGCGTGTGTGTTTAATGTTCATTGCAGCCTGTGTGTGAACATCTGAATGTGAGTGGCATGCGCCGTTCCGGCTTTCATAGGTGCCACTAACAGCACTTGCCCAAACAGGCTGTTAAAGCTATACGGGGGATCTTTGTCTTTGTGTGTAGAGTCTACGAACTCGGTGACACGAGTTCGATTCCCACTCACGGCTAACACCAATGACAAGTAACTGAACCGGTCCTGGGCCTCCCTTAGGTCGACTCAGCCTAAGATTATCACGCGCTGTGATGTACAAACATCCCAAAACGTCTGTGAAGCCTACACGGGGTTTACACACCGCAACAGGTATTCATTTGAGGCTGAGTCGACCTAGGGGAGGCCCCGGAACCGGGTCAGATAATCTTCACCGGTCTTGGCCGTGAGCGGGACTCGAACCCGCGTCGCCGGGTTCGTAGCGCTGCGTGCCGAAAACGCCACTAACCGCCTCCCCCCCACACACCACGCACACCATACACACACCACACACACACCATACACACCATACACACACCACACACACCATACACACACCATACACACACCACACACACCATACACACACACCATACACACCACACACTCACACTCCACACACACACACCACACACACACACTCCACACACACCATACACACACCACACACACCATACACACACACACCATACACACTACACACACCACACACACACACCATACACACACCATACACACACCACACACACCATACACACACCACACACACACTCCACACACACACCACACACACACACTCCACACACACCATACACCCTCCACACACACACACTCCACACACACCACGCACACCATACACACACACCATACACACTTCACACACCACACACACACCACACACACTCCACACACACACCACGCACACCAAACACACACACCACGCACACACCACACACACACCACGCACACCACACACACACACCACGCACACCACACACACACACCACCCACACACACCACACACACAGACACACTCCACACACACTCCACACCACACACTCCACACACACTCCAAACACAAACACTCCAGACACACTCCACACACACACACACACCACACACACACACTCCACACACACACACACACACTCCACACACACATACCACACACACACTCCACACACACCACACACACTCCACACACACCACACACACACTCCACACACGCGAACACATACCACACACACACTACACACACACACACACTCCACACACCACACACACGAACACACACACTCCACACACCACACACACGAACACACACACATACCACACACACTACACACACCACAAACACACACCACACACACTCCACACCACACCACACACACCACACACACACTCCACACACACCACACCACACACACTACACACTCCACACAAACGAACGCACACACATCACACACATCACACACACTACACACACCACACACACACTCCACACACACCACACACACAACACACACACACCACACACACACTCCACACACGCGAACACATACCACACACACACTACACACACACACACTCCACACACACACTCCACACACCACACACGAACACACACACATACCACACACACTACACACACCACAAACACACACCACACACACTCCACACACACCACACCACACACACTACACACACCACACACACACTCCACACACACCACACCACACACACTACACACTCCACACAAACGAACGCACACACATCACACACACACTACACACACCACACACACACTCCACACACACCACACCACACACACTACACCACACAACACACACACACTCCACACACACCACACACACAACACACACACCACACACACACTCCACACACACCACACACACACAACACACACACTCCACACACACCACACACACTACACACACCACACACACACCACACACACTACACACTACACACACACACCACACACACTACACACACCACACACACACTACACACACCACACACACACCACACACACACTACACACACCACACACACACCACACACTCCACACACACTCCACACACACTCCACACACTACACACACACACCACACACACTCCACACACACCACACACACACACCACACACACTACACACACACACCACACACACCCCACACACACACTACACACGCACGTGTGGAAAACGCAACAGGCCTGCAGGTGAGGGGGGGTGTGGTGGCCCAGGTGGAGCGATTTTATGGGGCAACAGCAAACGAAATTCGGGGAGCACAACAGGTGGTCCATCCTCCCCGACAACAAGGGCGGCGTCAAGAGGGATCTCTCCCGACACGGACTGCACTGCAATGTCTTCGCCGAGCACGGTACCTCTGCCCTGCTGATGCCGCAATTACAGACTGCACCCCACACGTGCCACCCAGTGTGGGCAACTCGTGCCATCGTAGGGATTATGATGCCTCCCTCTATCCTCATCCTGCACCCGTGCTATATTATTGCCTGTCGTACGCACCCACAACCCGACCACTGTAAATCCGAGCTACGTGCGTTTTTTGTTTGTGTGTATGTACGTTGAGGTTCTTCCGCACGGTACGTAGTCAACCGTGCTCATCAGAGGTGCGGTTAGTTCGGGGGCCCGCGTCAAACCAGGCCAGTGCGGCTCCGGTTGCTTTTCCACTGCAGGAGCTGAGCCGTGCCGCTGACGTTGCGCGCGGATAATGAACAAGTCGAAGGCGCACGTGTGTAGGTGTCGCGGTGATGCTGTGTCCTCGCAGCGCACTGGCTGATGTCGCACGCAACGGACTGGTCGTAAGCACCGTCGGCTGCTGACCCTGGTTCGTCCAGTACCAGATTCGGGTGCCGCGGCAGCGAGATGTTAACTACCTCGCCCGGTATGCAGGAAGTCGTGGGGTTCGATCCCAACTCTGAAGCCTGTATATTTGGAGTTTGCATGTTTTTCCCGATGGTCACCTGGAGTTTTCTCCGAGTCCTGTAGTTTTTCCCTCCGCGTTTAGAAACATGCGTTTAAGGTATTTGGCTGCAATGAATTTCCACATGATAAGCCACTTTGTTGAGCTATCATTTGTGGCCAGGTTGCTTCAAAAAGAGCTAAATAGCTTAGTGGGCCTTTACCTGCTGAAATAAAAAAAATAGTTTAGAAATTTAATTTACATTGATACATTCTGTGAGACCAGTGTAACACGTTTGGGTCTGGCTCGGATATGCTGGTGGAAAAGGGGCGAAAAACGATGTCTTGTCCTTGCTGCACTCTGCCATATGATGATGTCTGTGCCATATAACCACCCGGAGAAAATATTCATACTCTATTTATATTTAGGAGTTACTAAAACGTGATTGCCGGATCAAAGCAATTAAACCTAACCTTTTGTTGAAAGAAGCAGAGGAAATAGTTTATCATTCCTCAAAGGTAAATATCACCATAAGGTTTTGGTGGCATTTAGATGACCCGTGTAATTTGCTCTCCACTGCACCACAAAGACTCCCCCTAACTCTAAAGGCAATCCTAATGTATCTTACTGTCAACATAAGTTACACTCTGACCTACAGCTCACTCCGTTAATGGCGAGCAGTGGACGGTGAGGGACGCTTTGGGTTACTCTCTGGTCAGACGAGTCCCATGCGACTTTAACAACAATTTCAACTCGTGTAACGTGCCCGCTATTTTCTCGCTCGCGCTCGCGGAGAGAGAGGCCGTGAGGAGAGGCAGCAGTCAGTCGGTGAACCGGTGCCAACTCCCCCCTCCTCGCCCCCTCCCCCAAGCTCTGTGGTCCTTTATGTATTAAGGTGTTTTAGGCCAATTAATGGGTGTTTACATATGGGAGGAAACCGGAGCATCGGAGAGAAACCCCACACGTGCGAGGGGGAAACACTCTATTCCCATACACACGGAGAACAGGTCCATATTTGCTCAACCACCTTCTGGCAATCACTTTAATGTGCTTTACAATTTGGACGTAAGGACTTTTTTTTCTATCTCCCAGGAAACCAACTGAGTGCCTCCGTGAATTTGCAGAGCGTCGATCGATCGATCGCTCTCGGGGAGTGGATAACGTCGACCCGATGTATTTCAACTCCGGTCACATAACATTTCATAAGTACACATCCCAGAATATATATTTTTTTTCAAGGTGGCATCCGAAGTGAAGCTGAGAAACAAATATTTGGTTAGGTTTAAAAATGTAATGCGGTGCGTTTGTCGGATGTATTGATAAAAAAAACGGAATTGCTGGTGAGTGATTTTTTTTGTAAGGAGTGGGTAAAGCGGAAACCCCTCTAAGAAAGGCTCCTTTTTCATTGTTCACAAGAATAGGCGACTGATTCGGGGGCTTTTTTGTTGTAATAATAGGGGGGGGGGGAGGAGGTGGGGGGGGGGGGCATGTTTAGCCTCGCAATGTGCAAACATTTAACATGTGCAGATAGGCTCGTATCCAGGGTTACGGAGATGAACACGTATTCACTCCTTGGGCTGCAGCGTACAATTGAGCTGCTGAACTGGGCTTGGGGGGGGGGGTGGGGGCCGGTGGCAAATTTTTTGTTCGACGAATGTTTATTTTTTTATATATATATATAACTCGACAGAAATTAGTTCTGAGCGGAGCGGTGGGACAGCGGTTAGCTCGCCGCGTTTTGAAACGCCAGTGACCGCCTTCGCAAATGCGCCGCGAACCAGCCACGGTGAAGCATGGTCAAACGACCCCCTCACACGACCACCGTGGCCGTGCCTTCATTCAATAGTGGATTTACAAAGGCTTGCGACTTGTGTTGGTTTTTTTCTTTTACCGCAACAAGTTTGTTGTTTTGAATAACGTTGGCGGTAGCGGTGTCTCCATGTCTGACTTCCATTCTACTAAGTATTTTGAAACTTTTTGTTTTAATATAGTACTTACACAGAGAGACTGTTATATGTCCTGATATGGTGGCACTATTGACCCTTGTTATTATTATAACCACCTACCTGCCCATTTTGTTCCTCATATCCGCATAAGTGTGGCAAATCACGGATTTTAGGATGAATTTTCCATCACTTTTCTTATCCGCAAATAGGCGCTAACGTTCGTGCGGATTATAGGCAGGTCGATTCGTGGCAGGATGGCGGATAATTTGCAGTGTGGTTAATAAGGAAGAGCGAGAAAATAGGCTAGAATTTAAAACGCAAGCCAAAGGCTGCGTCGAATGTACACAATGGACTTCACGAAAACAACTTTAGACTGTCTATTTTCAGACTCGTGGCAAAGCAACGATCACAGGAGAGCAAGCTACATGGTCGCGTACAATGTACTGCGTTTGCGTGCAGCGATACGGCGGAGTGATACGAAACGCATGTTCGTTTGAACTGTGTTACACCGGCTCTCAGTCGTAAATTTTCAGTCGTAAAATATGGGTTGCGCTGTTGACAGGCGGACCAGCGCTCTGAGTTGTGCTGTTGCGTTCTCTCACCACATCAGCTGATTTTACAGCTCATTTGCCACTTGCCTTAATTAAATTGAGTTGCGTTGTTGGGCGTCGATTTGTAATTCGCGGTACCGGGAAATTTCCGTGTATTTAAAATCACTCCTCTTTAATCTGTCTGGCTTTGGCACGCTCAGTGTAAAAACATAGGAGGCCGTTCCCACCGTCTAATTGAATTGTCGGTAATTAAATTTCATGCTCGCATACATCTCTGCGTGCCGCTTGTTTATATGCACTGCTTCATCAAATGTTATAATATGTCCAGTGGCACGTAATGATTAACCCACACTCCCTCACTGCAAAACCCCCCCCACTCCCCCCACTATTTAATATTGATGAGCCAGCACCATTGAGCTCTTGGGTTTTGAGTTTGAATCCAGGTTTAAATCACCTGCGATTAACCTAGTTCTCAAGCGTAGTAGTGAGCTGACGGTGAGTTGCACAGACAAAAAAAACCCCATCATAATGAATTCGGTTTTGCACTTAACTTAATTAAAGCCTAGAAATACTGTACATCGGCCGTGTATCCCTGCAGCCTATAACAACCTGCTTTATGCAGGGTGGTGGTCACCCATCCAAGCACTATCCAGGCTCAAACATGCTTAGCCTCTTATGTCTGACGAGAGCGGGTGGGGGGAGGGGGCATTCCAGATGATTTAACCATGGATATCTCTCGAATATTAATAATTAGTGAGATTTCATAGCAATTATGAATTAAGAGTTCACCGAAGCAAAATACCTGAGCTACCAGCACCACCATCATCATCATCATTAACACTGTCTTCATAACAAAATAATACATTTTTGATTTAAAGCATTCGTGACTGCAGTAATTCATATTCTTAGCTCTTTCGGTAAAGTCACGTTGAAGGGAAACAATAAAATAATAAAGAGCTAAGAAAAATAATACATATTATGCTGACAGGCCAATGGCCTGACCGCATTTTCATTATTGCAATTGCGTTTATAAAACAGTTTGAACTCACATACCTTCTAAATGTGACTGCATCTCGAAATGCAATTCGGAAACACGAGGCATATTTATAATAGGAATGCATTGCCTTACTCGGGGAAAATATATAACACACTAACATTGCAACAGAAAAATTATGCAGGGGGGAGGGGGGGGGTGGGGGCAATGCCACCATCAGTGGAGCTGAGAAACCGGCCGGAGGTGTACACGTGTCGCTACGTCTCGTTTGGAATTCCCAGATGCCATGGTAGCGTCACTGATCGACTGCTCAAGCCGTGCGCCTAGCACCAAGGCTTTATTATATTTCGAGTGTGCACCGGTGGAGAGAGAGAGTGGAGAGTTTCTGAATTCCGCCCGCCCGACCGGTGGCAACGTTCACTCGGAGCGGTCCGTTTGTCATTTCCACGGTGGCCGGGCGCGTAGGCTAAGCTATATTTTGAGTGTGGATCGGCAGAGAGAGAGAGAGTTGCTAAATTCCGCCCGCCCGACTGCCCTCCGTCAACTGGGTGGCAACGTTCACTTGGAGCGGTCCGTTTGTCATTTCCACGGTGGCCAGGCGCGGTAACCTCCCCTTTCATGGACGTCAGGCCGGCGTGCGTCAAGAGGAGGAGAGGGCATCGTCTTGGTTTCATCACTGCATACAGTGATCGCCATACAACATCCAGTTTAACCCCGACGTCCTCTCGGCACTTACGCTCGCACACGGACGGACGGACTGACCTGGCAATATGCAATGCCATGCAGTAGCTGGGGAAGAGGGTTCGGGGCAGGTGTTCCTGTCTGCAAACTTGTCCGCCGGGACCGTCGACAGTGTGTGCAGCTGCCCGTTAAAAAAAAAAAACGTCGCTGCCCGAGACAAATATGTATGCTTTCGGCAAGACGTATTACATCTGTTGCTTATCGTGCGGCCAGCGTAGTTGGTCT